TACTGATTATTTCCACATGTTTTGGATATTTTTGTCTATTCTCTGTTGCTTTTATGTTTTTGTAGGTCTGTGGCTTTGATCCTGGAATGAAAATTAAATTAGATGCAGAAGGCAAAATAAAAACATGGAATAATTTGCCATTCCCAGATAGTTTTTCCTCAATGACCAAACCAGCAAACAACAACAAAGCAAAACATAAAAGCCACTACATGTTTTGATACATTTTTAATTTACAATAATTTTACTTACAATGTTATTAATTTACTTTTTATATTCTGTTATTTATTACTGTTGGTAGTGACAGTGTAAATACAAATAGTACATAAAAGCAGTGCTGTCAAACATGTAGCTTACTAACCTAATCTTTGGCTATATTTTTAGATTAGAGGATGATGTAATGCAACCAGAAAAAGGCACAGGCATGCTTATGTGTGTGTGTGTGTGTGTGTGTGTGTGTTTCATGTTTTTATATCCCAGTGGGAACTTCAACATGAATACACACTAACAGAAGGGGACTTCCGTCACCGTGGGGACAAAAATTGAGGTCCCCACAAGTAGAGCCGCTTTCTGAGGGTTAAGACTTGGTTTTAGGATTCAGGTTAGAATTAAGTCAAGGTTAAGGTTAAGAGCTAGGTAATGCTTTTATGTCAACGAGATGTTCCTACAAACGTGTGTGTGTGTGTATATGTATACTCGGGGAAGGGGGGCTGTGTGTGCAAGGGTTTGCATGCATGTGTGTAATTCTTGTGTGAATGTGTGAAATCCTGCATCTCACCCTGATGTCTGGGGAATTTGAGTGCATGTTGAGTCAAAGCTGTTTAGATTTTCCCTCTTTTTTGACGATTGGAAATAGTTGACTTTTTCATAAAGATAGTGTCACGTTGCAACTTGGTTTGGCATATGGATCTCTGCAGGAGGCTACTATTATTCAAATTATAGGCCAGGTTTATTATAGTCATTAAGGTCAGTGTAGCATGTCACAGCAGAGCAAGCTGTCGCATCTTTTGACATCTCGCACACACACACACACACACACACACACACACACACACTGTGACACAGTATGTCAGTCAGTAGTTGCACCCCCATTTTCTTCAAAGAGCTCAAAATGTGTTAGATGTTTACTGCTAGCTTTCTCAGGTGTCTGTCATAAAGGTTACAGTGTCTTCTCAACTCCCTTGCTTGGCTTTTTGATCGCCATAAACCGCGTGTGTCCTTAAAGTAAAATGGAAAGCCCACAGAGGGAATCACTTTTGTCCACGCTATGAATGGGGAGAGTAGCACAACAAGAGACTGAAGTTAGTTCTCGCAAAACAGATTTTATTTCACCCTGAAGTGAATTATTGCCCCTCTGAGATCGTCCTCCCACGTTCCTGTTCGGTTTGATGTGCCTTCTTTTTCACTATGGGTCTCATGAAGCTTTGAACGCAGAGTTTGAAATGAACTGCTTTACTTTACGCTGCCTCGTAGAGCAGTCTGCGTAGTGATGAATGCTTGCCTTCTGTCAAGTTGAAAACTAAAAGTAGGTCAAAGAGCAGAGTGGAAGAATTCAGAGCCAGACTTTAAGATGTTCCTGTCAGGCTTTTTGGGGTGGATGAGATTACAGTTTGTCTGTTGATGTCATATAGACTCAGAGAAACCACCACTTATGAGGCCTCGTAAAAGCAGCAACGGGCTCTCACCCATAAGTAGATCAACTCCTAGTCAATCAATAGATAGAAAATGAAGGATACTAATTTGATAATCCATTAATCATTTAAGTTATTGTTTTAAAATGATCTGGTTCCAGCTTCACAAATACGAATATCTGTTGATATTGATTGATACAAAACAAGCTACTCGAATATGTCAACTTGGGCCTTTGGAAATTGTATACAAATTTTTATTGGCCCAAGATTAATCAACAGACTAATCAGTAATGAAAATAATTTTTTTTTTTTTTTTTCAGCTCTTCCTGTGAGGTGTACCCATGATATTTAGGCTCACTGCTCTTAAATTGTATTTGTTTTCCACTGTATCACTCCAAAAATGTTTTAAAAGGAATAGTGACCTATTATGTCTACTCTCCCAAGCTAACCATTTTTAGTCTCTGTCAGACAACAATTACCAACCAAGCAACGTCACTGTAGTTGCTCTTAACCAACTCATTTGATGCAACACTTGTTGCACCATAACTCTCATGGATTGTTCTTTTCCATTGCACACTGCATGGATGTGAAGCCACACACTAGGAACACAGCTACTGAGAATCTGGAACCAGCACAGTGGCCCATTTCTGTGTTGAAATTAACCTTGAAACTGTCTTTTATCCTTGTGTATTTGCAGCATGCTATCGCAGGCCCCCAGCACTTACTACACACTAAAGAAACTGCAAGCCTGACTGCATCTCAGTCTGCTCTGCAATCAACCACAGCATCCTGAGTCCCTGTGGAGGTAAACAGGAACAGGCTTCAGATGCCTGATTAATATCTGAGTGACGTTTATGTACTCTCGTATTTTGGATCCCACAGTCATTATTATTGACTGGTGAATTAAGGACCATCGATTGAGTCATTTGTAATGCTCATTGGCTGTTTCCTATGACACCCAGTCAATCAGTTTTGTTCTTTTAATGCTGTCTGATCTTAACTGTCATTGGGATTAATGTTAATGACATGATGTATTTTGCATATAGACTCCTAAAATTGTATTACAGAGGGGTCTGTCACAGATGGTTTATTGAGCATAGGTGTGTGTGTGTGTGTGTGTGTGTACGTACATACATAACCACAACTGCTGCAGGTGCGGATGGAGCTTACAGATGGTTTTATTTTTACATTTCTTTGAGGTGATAGACAGTTGAGCATTCATGCAGCTCACTCACATTGAAATGGTCCAGCAGCTAAGCTAAATGCTTGTGTTGGAAGAGGCCATTTCTGTCTGTGCTGGCACTGTACCCTTCAGCCCTGATCCTGACTGACTGAGGCAGAGCCAAACCCAGAGCCTGCTGTTTTCACTGCAGGAGGAGTTGGCAGGTTGTGTAAAGGAGGCCAGCTGACCTCTGTACCTGCCTCCCTTTCATCTTTGCCACTGGGACTGGGACTACATAGGTTTTTATGAACTAGTTCAGCATCCTGGACAGTGGAGTACAAAGTTTTTACAGAGAAAGTGGCTCACAGTGTAATTATTCATGTGTGTTCCTCAGGATTTCAGTTGCTGTGTCCTGTCTTCCTCACCTGATTGGTGGCTGTCCTTAGAGCAAAGATTAAGTCCAAACATAATTTATGATGATGTCTTACAATATTCTGTACTGTAAATTAAAAGGAAAGGAAAGTCTTTTCCATACGCACACTGTATAATATTAAAGGAGTAGTTTGACAAGGGTTAGATGGCTGTACGGTAAATATGAAACTTAGCTTAGTGTAAAGGCTGGAAACCGGGGGAAACGGCTAGACTGGCTCTGTCCAAAAGTAATAACAGCTCTTGTGAAGCTAATTAACATGTTACATCTTCATTGTTTACTCTGTACAACAACTGAGACAATAACATATTATTAGTGAGCTTTGGAGGGGCTGGTCAGCAACTTTCTCTCCCCTGTTGTTAGTCTTTTTAACAGTCTCCCGGCAGTAGCTGCATATCATAGTAAGATATGTAAACACGCGTGTTTCTCTACCTACTGATTTAATATTTTTTCTTTTCCTAGCTGACTCTTATTCTTGGGAGAGTTTTTTTTACATGTTGAATGAATGACTATCCCATCTGCTGAGCCATTGTTACATTTACGCTTTTATCCAAAGCGACTTACAATTGCTATACATGTCAGAGGTCGCACGCCTCTGGAGCAACAAGGGGTTAAGTGTCTTGCTCAGGAACACAATGGTGGATGTCTCACAGTGGGAATCGGACCCAGGTCTCCCACGCCAAAGGCAAGCATCTTATCTATGCGCCATCACCACCCCTCTTAACAGGTAAACCAAGTTTCTGCATTATTGCCCTCGGTAGCTAATGCAAACCAGGGCCACTGCATGGCTGAAAACGTATTATCCAGCAAAAAGATCAAAACACATTTTTTCCCCCTCAGTCATAATTACCACTTCTGTCATAGCGCTTCTGTCATAGCTCTTTCGGCATTACTTTCATCCTCTTCTTCTCCATTATCTTCCTTTTATACTTTGTAATGCAGACCCTTTAAAGACTGCTCATGCTGCTAAATACAGTCAGAGTTAAAGACAGAGAGCCCATCAGGACATTCCAGCCATGACAGCTGAGCCACAGACACCAAACAACATGAATGATCTTGTCCCCCTTGGGGTGAAAAGGCAGAACACATAAAGTTGGACTGCTGCAAGACATAGGTAAAACAACAGCGAAGGTTTACTCTGTATTTACACAGGAAGCTATACAGTAGCAACCCAGTGGGCATGTATAGTGATTGGTTGGTACGGTCTATTGCCAGATATTTTTTTTGAATGACTAGGATTGTGTTTTGTTTCTTAGTGTTTTTGTTATGAACTGGCTATTTCCTGTGTCTGGAGTCTGTCTAGAGTGATTTGTGCCACACAGATGTGTCTACTCACTTGTGCCCTGTGTGTTTCCTGTTTGGCTTCGTGCGGGCTCAGTGCCCTTCCTGTGTCCGGCGGCCTCATTCCTCGACAGATTAGAGGTTGTTTGAGGTCATGTCTCTGCAGAAAATGGACTGCGAGACCTTAAATGACCTCGCCTCTATTCTCAATTGGTGCCGTAATTGCTTGTCCCACCAGCCGTCATATGTATGATTGTCTAGTTAGAAGATCCGGGCCCATTCCTTACAAAGGGAGCCAAATGAGGCAAGTATCAACTGGGTTCCTTGCCTCTAATTAAAGTTTATGTTTATGTTGGCTTGGACAGCGTTGATATTACTTGAGTATTCGAAAGCTGTAATCTTGTAAGTTTGCTTTTCTGTCCGATTTCAACATGTGGTAATGTTTTATACAGTACTTCTGTGATTCACTGAGTTTTATTTCTCTCCCTCTCACTGGCAGAATGAAGATGCCTGAGGCTGGAAGTTAAGAGCCCTCAACCAGAGAGAGCGTGTTCCAGGACTGGGGCTGGACCCAGAGACCCCTGACGGGGGGGGGGTGAGGGCCCTTACAGCCCTGTGTGAGTCTGGACCATGGGGGATGGAGGCGCCGGGGCTACTGGAGGAGATGGGGTGAACCGGTCCCATGTCCTGTTCGACAACTTTGTCCAGGCAACCACGTGTAAGGGCACGCTCAAGGCCTTCCAGGAGCTGTGCGACCACCTGGAAGTCAAGCCCATCGAGTCCAGGATCTTCTACCACAAGCTCAAGTCCAAACTCAACTACTGGAAGGCCAAGGCACTCTGGGTAAAGTTAGATAAGAGGGCCAGCCAGAAGGAGTACAAGAAAGGCCGTGCATGTGCCAACTCAAAGGTAAGCCTGGAACATTACAAACTGTATGATTAATTTAAAGGTGGCTTTGCTTGTTGGTGGCTTCAGTTCACTGAGATCTAAAATCTGACCTCAGTGTCAAGGAATTTAACTGATGCTCGCTTTATATGAAAGGACACTATAGGGAGTCTTTTTCAATTTTGTTGTGGACACCGTTCACTTCAGTTCACTGTTTGAATTTGATTTGTCACCTCCTCTGGTTTACTGTGTATACTGAGCTGACCCCCAAACATGTGCTGAGGCTGTATTATTATTTTTTGCTGAAGAGTTGAATTGACAACTGTTGGTTTGGAAGACAAGTTCAGATTTGAACTATGCTCTACAAATAAAGTTCACGGAAGTTAACCAACTAATAAAATTTCCTTTAGGATGAATGCAGTTCTGGATTATCTTAACTTAGCTTAGTTTAACATATGTTAATTTATGTTATGGTACCTTAGCTTCAGTTATGTTACCTCTTAGCTCATCTTATTTTGTGTTATGTTGTAGTTCCTTATCTTTGCTTATCTTAGCTCATCAACTATGGGCTTCATTGATTTTTTTTTTTTTTCTCTTCATGTGTTGTATCCCATTATTTACCTCGTATTATTTGGCAGATGCCTTTGTCCAGAGCAATTCATTGACAGATTGATTGATTGCATTCAAACTCAAAAGAAGCAAGAGCTTGATGTCATCACAAATTAGAAGTGCAACCCTCCCAAAATACAACTAAAAGTGTGTTAGAGAGCTACATTGCAGGAGGTTTTGTGCTAGCGTGGGAGTCTCAATAAGTGGGTTGCAATGAAAGATGGGCAGTGACTTTACATGACTTGGTTTTTCACGTGTATTGGTCAATATATTTCTCATAGCTTGTCTATAATATCTGCGTCTCTCTGTATTTAGTGTCTGATCATTGGTGCAGGACCATGCGGCTTACGTACAGCCATCGAGCTGGCTTTCCTGGGGGCCAAAGTGGTGCTGCTGGAGAAGAGAGATGCCTTCTCTAGGAATAATGTGCTGCACCTCTGGCCCTTCACCATTCAGGACCTCAGGGGCCTGGGGCAAAGAAGTTCTATGGAAAGTTCTGTGCTGGTGCTATCGATCATATCAGTGAGTACACATGACTAATTTTGTTTACACAACTGATACTGTATATGACACATTTGCCTGTGGGTTTAGCAGCTCTGATGTCATTCAAGTGTTCTCTCCATCTCTTTATTGGATTGTAGGTATTCGTCAGCTTCAGCTAATGCTGCTCAAAGTGGCTCTCCTGCTGGGCATAGAGATCCATGTCAATGCCGAGTTTAAGGGCCTCATTGAGCCCCCTGAAGATCAAGAGACTGAAAGTAAGAGTTAAGCTGCTGCCGGACAAGCTGAAGAAAAATGAATGGAAACTCAACGTGTGTTTCGTCAGAGAACTATCTGTCAGCTAGCTCTGTTGATGCATTTCTGTCTGATTACACATGCTGTGTTTTCTTAGGGATTGGTTGGAGGGCTGAGGTCCACCCCAGGACACACCCTGTCAATGAGCTGGAGTTCGATGTCATTATTGGAGCAGATGGAAGGAGAAACACGCTACCAGGCAAGTCTGCATGTACTGACTGGGAGAAATGCATTAGTAATGCGGTTTTTAAGTTGACTCAACAAGACAACGCAAAACAGCACAATTTGTTTCTTTCTTTCTTAAGCGGACTTGGAGGATAGTCAGAACAATTATGATCTCACTTGTGTACAGCTGTGGTCGGGGACCTGACCTCACTCCGTTCCTCGCGTATGAATGAGCATATGTGTATATCTGTGTGTGTGTGTGTGTGTGTGTGTTTGTTGTCTGGCTGTCTGGCTGGCTGGCTGGCTGGCTGCAGCGTAGTATTTCTGACTGCTCTCCCAGCAGAGCACACTAGGAATTGTTAAGTTGGCTGTCTGTTTCCTCTATGACTGTCGGGGCCTCACACACAGCCACACAGGCCCCTGTGGATTAGAGTTCCATGACCCCTCTCTGTACTACTGACCGCTGCATCAAGGATGGGAAGCAGCAGGCTCCCTCTGGGATAACCATGAACTACAAACGCACAGCTTGAAAAACTAGAAAGCTGTTTACGTTGTCGTGATGCAGAACATCTGGTTGCATTTATAGCATACATTATGCATTTGTTGGGTTTTTAGATGTTGAAAATCTTGTTCTGCAATTTGAGGGTTAACTCCCTGTTTGGGAATGTTTTTGGATTTATGGTGTCACAGTTCAGGTCTGTGCGCGATCATTGCCAACCATGAGGTCTGCTTCCTCATCCTCTTGTAACTTTCCCCAGGGTTTCGGCGTAAGGAGTTCCGGGGCAAGCTTGCCATTGCCATCACCGCTAACTTCATCAACAGGAACACGACAGCGGAGGCAAAAGTTGAGGAGATCAGCGGGGTGGCCTTCATCTTCAACCAGAAGTTCTTTCAAGACCTCAGAGAAGCAACAGGTCTGTCACAGCTTTATTGTACTACATTGCGTCAGGCAGTTTATGTTCTTGAGGTAACTGTATGATGAAACACCTCAGGATACAGCAAAAAATGTTGGAATTATAAGTACTTCATGTAGTTCATGGAGGGAGCGGATACCAAGGGGTGTTTTGGTAAAAGAAAGGTAAAAAGTAACTAATAATCAGTCCTTGGATGACAGTTCTGAATTTGTCAGCTCGTCCAATTAAAATACTTGCCAAGCCTGCCACAGTTTATTGCTGACATGACGATGTCCCCAGGGCTTTGGTTATGTGCTCTGAGACGTGTAATTTCTCCTCTAATGATGACAGCCAGCTATAGCAATAAGGAAAATGATGTGTGTTTGGTATGTGACAATACGTCTTTCTCTCTGTCTTTGTATAGGTATTGACCTGGAAAACATTGTCTACTACAAGGATGACACGCACTACTTTGTGATGACTGCCAAAAAACAGAGCCTGCTGGAGAAAGGAGTCATTCTGCATGTGAGTGATCAAAGCCCAGAGCTCAGCTCAGTGTGGTTTGTGTGTATGCGTGTGTGTTGGAGAGACAATTGTTGAATCTCATCCTGTCTCCATGTAGTTGACAAAAAAGGCTATATGCCCTCTCAAGTCTCAGTCTCTTTCATTCTTTCAGTCTTTTATGTGCTTTTTGTTTTTGCCCAGGATCGGCCTAATGGTCTAATTAAGCCAACAGTGTTCAGGAACAAACTGCCAATTCAAGCACACTTCGTTGAGTGTTTGTGTCCTCACTATAAACGGTAGTTTCCTTTCCCTGGCCACTTTCCACAGGAAACCGGAAAAGACCTTTTTCACGTCTTTCTTCATGTACAAACATAACAGAAGGTGCGCTATGATTGTGTGGTCGGTCTCTTAAAGTGTTTTTGCAAACCTAGTCACTGTCATCACTCTTCGTCAGATAATTTTAGCTGTCTGACATAAGCACAATCATTCTACATTATTTGGTGGGTACAAGCTGTCCCTGTCTAAGTCTGTGTGTGTTTTCATGGTGAGCTGATGACAATAATGAGGTTTTGGTGCACGCAGAGGTCTGAACCCAGAGGGCATTTGGAGTATGTAGGCACATGTTAATGAAACGTCTGGAAGTTCCCATTTAATACAGAGTCCTAGACAGTTCCTTTTATAGCAATGTAACTGACTCAGTCCTGCCCCTTGGAAAGGGATAGAGGAAGGGCGGCGAGTCCACACAGTTCAAGGCAGCACTGCAAATCAGAAACAACCCTCATTCATATCTTCCACTAACCTGCCCTGTCCTTCCCCTCACCCACCACCAAGCCTGGCAATGGACAACTGGGGAGCTTGAAGGTTGAAGAATGTGGCTCTCACCACCCTCTATGAAAACATGTCACTTTGAAAGCATGCAGTGATTTGATGCTACATGTTGGAGAGACTTGTGAACTGCACAGTTCACTCCGCTGCAAGTGCTTGGGCCTCTTTGTAGAGACGTCTTAAAGGGACTGTCCACTTCAAATGGTTCTTTAGTTCACATGTAGACTTTTAGGATTCTTCATATATTCTGTATGTATTTAGTTTTTAATATAATAAGTTACTCAATTCTTTTGTTGTTCTGATGCTTTGTTTTTGTTTTAGAGAAAGGGATTATAAATTTAGTGCAGTAACACAATAACAGACTTGACTGTGCCTTGTCTATTGTTTTTGAGTCTGTCTGTCAGGACAGCTGGTCATGTCTCGTCACTGGTATAACCACATTAGCTTTTTATGACAGCTGCCAATTTTATTTATGTTGATTAAGTCTTATATTATGGCTAGATTTAGTTTGAAGACTCTGGCTACTACTGATTGATCAAATTGTAACAGTTTCATCACACTTCTCTGGACTTCTGTTATTTATTTTTTTTGAGTTTTCATCTTGATGCCAGTTCTAATCTCATCACTCATCTCTCCTGTAGGACTATGCAGACACAGAAGTGCTGCTGTCCAGGGCTAATGTGGACCAGGCTGCCCTGCTGTCTTATGCCCGCGAGGCTGCGGATTTCTCCACCAACCACCAGCTGCCCACGCTGGACTTTGCCATCAACCACTACGGGCCACCTGACGTAGCCATGTTCGACTTCACCTGCATGTACGCGTCAGAGAACGCCGCCCTGGTGCGCCAACGCAACGGCCACAAGCTGCTGGTGGCGCTTGTGGGAGATAGCCTGTTGGAGGTGAGAGAGACAGCAGAGGTTTTAAAAGCTTTCCATGAAACCACGTTTTATCATTCTACACTTGTGACGTTCAAGTTGTACCCCTGTTTGTTTTTTTTATATCCTTGGTTCTTCTGAGACCGTATTTGGTTATTGAATGTGGTGTTTGCTGTTGTCTCCAGCCCTTCTGGCCCATGGGCACTGGCATCGCCCGAGGTTTCCTGGCAGCCATGGACTCAGCTTGGATGGTGAAGAGTTGGGCTCAGGGAAAAACTCCTCTAGAGGTTCTGGCTGAGAGGTGAGGGTGTGGAAACAATGATGCACACACACTGAGACTCACCCTACTCTTGTACTGGCATTCACACGCTCATGCACACACAGCTGCACATACATGCTATCTCTCTTCAGACACACCCTTTTATCTCTAAGTGCTTTACTAGGAAATGTGCCTGTATGTGATTTAATTCATCACTGCCACCTCTGATAGTACTAATGGCAGCTTTCATAAGAACTGACTGTGACTCTTCTGTTCTGCTTTAACACTCCGTGCTTTTTGATAACATCAATCAACAACAATGTTATTATATCTACTGCAATAGTGTCTCTTTATATTTTCCTCCTACTAGTAAGACTCTACTTTGTACATGGGAATATATTACATTTTTTCCTCTCCGCTTTAGGGAGAGTATATACCGTCTACTGCCCCAAACCACACCGGAAAACGTCAGTAAGAACTTCAGTCATTACAGTGTGGATCCTACTACACGTTACCCCAACATTAGCCTCAACTTCCTCAAGCCCAGCCAGGTGAGTATCGCCGCTAACAAACTGCAGGGGCCATCTTTGTCTCTATTGATCCTTCACAATAGATTTAAAGTATCAGTCAAGGATAATCAGTCGATAGACACAAGGTGTCGATGTGCTACAGTATGTTTGGAATTTCAGATGTGTAAGATTAATGTGTATGTCGCAGGTGAGGCACTTCTTTGACACGGGGGAGTCCAGGGAAATGCGCATTGAAATTGAGAATGTGATCAACTCATCAACACCCAAGTTGGCCAGGAATGGTTTGTATCTTTCACATGCTTAAAAAGTTTTAGTAGCAGAAAAGCTAAGCTTAAATGTGCTGATTGATCAGTGTAGAATTTAGCTTGAATCATTGTTGCTGAAATGTAATAATGAACTATTTTCACTCTAGACAATTACCTGCTTGACAAGCAGTTACAAGGTAACAGTCCAAAAGTGTTGCTTTTCAGGGATACCTAATATTTTTTTTTACAGTTTTAATATTTACCTGCCATATAATCACAAATAGGGCTGAATGATTTGGGGAAAAAAAATATAATTGTGATTTTTCTGCCAGATATTGCGATTACGATTCGATTTGCGATTTTTTAATTTATTTATTTATTGAAGCTGTGCTAAACTGCCAGGACGGAAGCCGCGTCAAGCAGCACAGAGCAGGGCTGAGTTCAGCGCAGGCAAAACGTAGCAAAACGTTTTTTTCAACAGAAAAGGTGGTTCCCTGAACACCCTGCTGTGTACGCAGGCGCAGTGAATTTTCCTGCCTTTTTAACGCCGTTGTTTACAAATTTTTCGCAGCTGATTGGGTAACACCTGAGACACGCCCACCAAACGGGAGAAAATACCCCAAAGCTCTATGCTCTGGTTAGGACCGTAACAGGAAGCACATCCCGCTTTTGATTGGCGAGCAGATCTGTCACACAAGGATGACAACGAATGAATTTGCATGACTGTTTAAAGCAGGTCAGAGGCGCTGTATAATTAACCTACATTTTAATCGCCGTCTTCACAATTAGCTAATTGCATTCTTTCAAATCGCAATTTCAATTTGAAAACAATTAATCGTTCAGCCCTACTCACAAATGAATAATGTAAAATGAATAGTGGAATGATGGACTGATAGCAGCCTCTATTATTTTGCCATACTAATTCTCATTCAAGCCCCCTGGTTATATTCAACATTTAAAGTCAGTTCTAGCTGTTTTAAAGGTTTCCTATGAGTTGTGCATCCTCTCCTAACCTCTCATTTGCATCCTTCTCCTCCTTTACATCAGTAAAAGTTTAACATCTCACAGTTCATAATATGTCCTCATTGGCTGGTTAAAACTGGCACTAACATGGATGATGACGTCATGGATGACAAAACTTTATGATCCTATGATCAGCCTTGCCTGACCAAGGCCATGAGTTTGCCCAGCAAGAGATGTGTAGTGCTGCCCATAAACAGTTTATAAATCTTTCCTTGTTTAATCCAGATTCTGTCCAGCATGCTGCTTTTACATCAAGCCTTTCATTTTCTTCTTTCTACCACACCAGAGTCCATAGCTCGGTCCAGTAAACTGCTCAACTGGTGCCAGAGACAAACGGAGGGATACAGGAACGTTCACGTAACGGACCTTACTATGTCTTGGAAGAGTGGTCTGGCCCTGTGTGCCCTCATTGACCGATACAGACCGGACCTCATGTGAGTATCTGAAAGAAATACACCCAGAACAGACGCCACAAGGAGCAAAATACATTGCAAATGTGTTTTGCAATGTGTGGACTTTGCAAACTCGGCCAAGTATATCCCATTATGGTTAAAGTGAAAGGGTTAAAACTGCTGCAGGGCCTGCAGAATGACTGGCCTGCTGTGTTTATGTGTGTTTGTTGGTTGCAAATGATGTTTATTGTCTGGTTGGGACCTTGGGTTTGAGTTGTACATCACTGTAAATGAGGTGACAGCTCCCAGTCATAATGGCCTCTTGGGTCCCTTAAGGGAGTCCTCCTCATATCCCTGCTTTCCCCGCACACACACACACACACACACACACACACACACACACACACACACACACACACACACACACACACACACACACACACACATAAACACTCTCCTTATCCTCACACGCTCTATAAACAACACAGTCTCCATCCGCATTGTCTAATGTAGTTTGTTACCCTCTGGAGACAATGTGGAAATTAACATTATAAGCTATTAGTGCCTGTGTCCTGCCTGACCTTTACCAAGTTGTGTAGCAGTTGTGCTCTGCTGCCTTTGATAGGCCAGATGATGGGAGGAGTGGAGGGAGAGTGATGAGTGGAGGTACTCTGGGGAAAAGTGCGCTCACGTGTACGCATGTAGAAGATGGATGGTTGAGAGGGATTGAGTGGAGGGTCCACTCTGTGCCTGATGAGATAATTTAATGCTAATGCTTTTAAATGGACTGAATATGCAGTTTGAGATGTATTGATGACCATTGTTAATGGTATTTTCAGTTGCAGTATAATGACATTTACAGTAATGCTTTCCACAACATGTGCAGTCGCCTGCTGTACAGAAATGCTTCTTCATTAGCGTTTAAAGCAGGCTCAGTGTCAGTTCATTTCCGTTAGAGCCAAAGCTGCTGGGTAGTTGTGGCCGGCAAATATAGATTTGTTCCTGGTTTTTTCAAAACATTTTGCTGATTCATCCCAGACTGATATTAGGTGCATTCTCTGTTGATTTGGTGAGCAAGATAATCAAGAATCATCAGCTATGTCAAAGTTATTGTCAAAGCTTTATTTCACAGTGCAGGAGATCACCAATCATGATATTTGGAAATTCAAAATGTAATAAGCAATATTTTTATATTACAGATGGATCTAAAGATTGTGTAATATATAAGAGGTTGCTTGTCATGACACATAATTTAAACCATCTTTCAGCTCTTTGTTTTTTGTTTTACAGCCCACAACTTTACTGTTTAGTTTGACTGTCACTGCTTTCATAGTGATGTGTCTAGCCACAACAGGCAACTGTTTTTAGAGAAGAAGTGCTGAAAAACTAACCATGCGATAGCAGACAAAGTTAGCTGGTGAACATAGTGGAGCATTTAGCGGCTAAAAATCCAGATATTTCCCTCAAAAGTTAGCAGAGAGGGAGACCGGACTCAAAGGAGTGTGAATGTTGGACTTACATTTGTCACGTGGCCAGAAACATGACTCCAAATGAATGCTAATGTTGCTCTGTGTTTGTAGGATTTGCAATTGAACTGTTTGATAACAAATTTGCCATAACCACTTGGGTGGCAACATATCAATGTTGTGTTCACAGCTTGTTTCTGCTGTCTCCAAGTGGCCAAAGATCAGTTAATGCATGTTTAAACAACATTTTTAAACATTATGTTTAAAAAAAACAAAAAAAACATTTGTTGATATTGTTCTTACTAATAGTCAAGCCAATATTACGTAGTAAGTACACCTTGATTGGATTTTGGGGATATAAAATTGACCTATGGATAATAATATTCATGTTTGATACAGTCCTCAGGGTTCAAATGTAATGTTTTCATCTCTACACTTGAAAAAGTTCACTTTTTCATGTGTAGAGATGAAAACAGAGATTAAGATTACTGAGATGAATGCTCATGATGATTAACTCCTCTCCCATCTCATTCTCCCGTTGATTTCTGGTCTTCTTCTCCGTCTTCCTCCTGCGCTCAGTGACTTTGATTCCCTGGACGAGCGAGACCAGGAGAAGAACAACCAGTTGGGTTTTGACGTGGCGGAGAGGGAATTTGGCATCTCGCCGTGTATGACTGGCAAGGAGATGTCTTCTGTGGTAGAGCCAGACAAACTCTCTATGGTCATGTACCTCAGCCAGTTCTATGAGATGTTTAAGGACACAGTGCCACCTGGAGGTGAGAGTGGGTGATACAGTAGGCCTGCTTCTTCTGTAATCTGGTTTTAGGAGGTGTCTGTAATAACTTTGACAGGTGCTTTGTAGACCTAATTACCCATAATCCTGAGAGGATTTTCATGCTCTTAATCTTCCATATTTTTCTTTTTGGATTTCTCTTCAGATAACCACAACTTGAGTCCTGAGGAGAAAGCAGCACTGATCACCAGCACCAAATCTCCCATCTCCTTCCTCAGCAAACTTGGTCAGAGCATAGCAATCTCCAGGAAACGAAATCCAAAGGTCAGTGTCTGAGAAATGCCTGTTAGCAACCTTCTTAAAGCATCAAATGTGGCACTTCCATCACTTTGTTGTAGTAAGAGTGACTAAGAATAACTTGTGTCATCAACAGGACAAAAAAGAGAAGGATGTGGACGGTTTGGGGAAGAGAAGGAAAACCAGCCAGTCTGAAGATGTGAGTAGTTCTGACAGCTTCTCATATGATGATCTTGTGATGATTGTTTATGCAGCCTATCCATCCAGAACAGACAAATTAATCCCACTAGACAGACTGCAACTGGCAAACATTTTTTCCTGTTTTCTACTTTCTCACAGGAGGAGGTATCCAGGGCCAGTCGTGACGACAGGCCGTCTGTCCCAGCTATCCTGTCGGAGAGAAAAATGGACTCCTCTGCTGTGGGGAACCACAACAAAGTCAAGGTCATGGCCAACCAGCTGCTGGCCAAGTTTGAGGAGAACGCTCCACAACCTACAGGACTCAAAAGACAGGTATGGAGGAAGTCACGTGGTTCATGTTGGATGGAAAAAGCTTTCCACTAAGAGGAGATTAAGGAACAGGGAATAGATGTTCAGACTTTCTGGACGCAGTAGGAGTTCAGATCATTTTTGCACACTCATTGTGGTTTGTTTTTCCTCACAACGAACATTTTCATAACCATGTAGATTTCAAGCTGTGTGACGGGGCCTCTGGTCTCAGGATTGACAAGCTGTAGGCCACTGTATTAATGAGCCTTGGTCCAGAATGCTAATATTGGTCATGCTGGGTATTGTTCCTGGGTCTTGTAGGCGGCCTCACAGTGCTGACTGGGCTTGGAGGGCTCGGGTGAATTGGTTCGTAGAGCTTTGATTTGCTTGCTACTGGGAGTGGGAGGGAGTAGAGGGCTGTGGGAACACTAGACGGCATTGTTGATGGAGAGAAAGACGACTCGACTGTTGCTGTTTGAGAAAATGTCTTCTTACTGTTTGTCTTGTGTCTTGAAATAGCTGATTCTGATTTTTTTTTTATGTAAAAGATTCTATTTGTGTTTTGATTTGGCAATCAGAAGTCTCAGAAAATATCAGATTGTATGAAAAATACAGGATCTTAATAGTGAGTAATTTGGAGGTTTGTGGGGAAGGCATTGGTGCATAAAGGCTAAATAGTGTAGCAGTTGCCTGGCTAAAGATATGTTATGCACACACTTCGTATATTTCCTCTCTCTCCAGCTATTATTTATGTACATTCTGCATGGCATTTATGACCCTCTTTCGCTTCCTTATTAGTTCTGAACACATATTTTCCAACAACTGTGACTCCATCCACTCATGATCCACTTCCTTCTGTCTGTTTTTCTCTCTCTTTGTTTCCACCCCCCATCGTGGACAATTTCATGATGCCTTGCATGGTTATTTGGGCCTCTTACCGGCCTCCCTCACTGTCACTCATCCTCATCCGACCACAAAGGGGGAGTCTCTGCCCAATCTGGATCGCCTTTTGTCCCCTACCACGTCCCAAACCCCTCTTAATGAGCCAGTGCGCCTTGCACCTGTCCCAGCCTGGAGAAAGGTAAAGAGTGGAAATGCCCCACCCTATCCCCATTAGAGACTAACAACTAAACTGACCATCTAACCATATGTGAAAGCTGCTTTGTGTAGACCTGTACTTATCTGAGCATCACCCCCTCTGTAGACAGTCCTCAGATCTGTTGTGGTGTGCAAGATTTGGAGGAATTAATTGAATAACTCTTTTTGTGTTGTGACTGTCGGTGTTTTTAACTTCTTAATCAAATAGCTGTGCAGCTTTGTGTGTGTGTGTGTGTTTGTGTGAGACACGCATAAGATTGCAACACCATCATGGTTTCTCCTCCTTGCTTCTCCTGCCCTGGTTCAGAGACGCACACAGCAGCAGGAGCAGCTGAGCATTCGCTACAAAGAAATGATCAAGTGTCAGACACTGCCCAACAGAGGGGAGCAGGTATGGTTAGCTACACCGGTCTGATACAGTAGTCCTCCAACTCCTTTCATATCCTATTAAGTCCTGATTCATGCTCCTACAAATGGAAATGGATTGTCCTTCCAATCCAGAGGCAAGGGGACGGGAAGGTAGCTTCACCAAGCCATACAACATATCCTGAGCTTGTGGATGATACATCCGCTTAGACCAAATCAGCCCCAAGCAGATCAATAAGCAAAATATTAGATTCTAAAATCTTGTCAACAAATGTTTAAGCTATGTTTAAACATTACCCTTCAAATATAAAATCTAGGGCAGAAGTAAGCAAATTCACATTTGTAGGCACGACAGCCCATTATTGGCGGGTTCGATCAGTCAGATGTAGGAAGGGTTGATGCAAAAAATACTGTAAAAATGACATAATGCACAGTCATAATATGCTAATTACATGCAATATACTAATTGGTACCTAGTTGCGATGTTTAAAACACAAAATGATATCTAGAATAATGTATGTATTAACATAATAATGTACAGCTTCTCTTAGCAGTGATTAGCAAGTCAAAGGTAGCCTTTCTTTTAAACAGAGTTCTGTTAACGTTAATTTTTTTCTCACCAGAAAGTTTTGCGTGCAACTTCCAGGCTTAACAAACCTGTCAAATGCATGTTCTTTATCATAAAACATTGGCAATGCTGATTTTATTTAATTTTTTCTTTTCTTTTACTTTTTGATTAGAATTCTGCATTGTTTAAATCCATGTTTGCCAGGTTGGAGTCTTTGTCCTCCCTGCGGATTGCTGGCGTACTGCTACTTTGCTTGGCACAGTGAGGCCACCTGTTGATCAGTGGAATAACGTGAAAAAAACAAAAAATATGAGAGCCCATAAGAAAAACAAACAGAATGGTCCTCCTATTTTCAATGTCAAGGTTGCCTGCTATACTTCTGCCCTCACTGTATAAGTAGTAATTAAGCTTGCTATTTTGTTAGCCACCAACCCAACTGGGTGTGTAGAAATGTTACTGACTGACATTCACTCCGGCCTCAGTAGAAGACCAGCTATAGCCAACTGTCCCGCCTGGTTGTCATCCTTCTTTACTGTTCTCTCAAGCGAATAACACAGTCAGCATAGTAAAGTGCCAGCACCAGTTTTCTCCTGCTGATGCTTAGAAAGTTGCCTTTTTTTTTTCTCTGGTCTTGTCACTAGATTAAGCATTCACCTCACAGACATTGATTTAAAGCTTCAAACTGTCCTGTTTAATGGGATTTAATTCACTACTGTTCTTAAACGTCCTCTCACTGCACAGTAAGTCTCTGGCTGTGGAGTAAATTTAATTAGCTGAAAGTCAGTTGTAAAGACTGGAAATAATCTTGATAATCCTAAATACTTGAGTACACTTAGTGTTTGGGATAGAATGTTTAAGCCACTCTTATATTCAGTGCTCATGCTTGTTCATTGGCAAGCTTTTAATTTCTCTCTTTTCACAAAGTAAACATCACTTCATGCCTTTTTGGTTTTCTTGCACCATGTTTCTGTTCTGTCTGTTTGCTTCATGTTTTGTTGACCAATATAGAAAGAACGTTTCTATATATCAGCCTTAACACTTTATGTCAAGGTTAATTACAGCACCAGTCAATTAAATTCCCTTTTGGAAATTTCTCACTAACAATGGACTGTATTTAGTGTGTGTGTGTGTGTGTGTGTGTGTGTGTGTGTGTGTGTGTGTGTGTGTGTGTGTGTGTGTGTGTGTGTGTGTGCCCCAGTGTGTCAGGACAACACATTAATATAACCAAATGGACTACTAAATTTATGTGAGTGTGTACGCAAATCTGTTTAGATAGAAATTCCCCTCTTAGTTTTACAAGCTTTTGAAAGCATTAAAATGTATAAACCTACTATAAATGACAGCAATTATGAAGCATATTTACTCTGGACGATAGCTCATCATTTTCATCATCATTCTCATCATCTTCTGCTGAATCTGCTGTCCCTGTCCCTCATCTCTCAAGGCCAGAAGTGGCGCAGACCAACTGTCCAGCTCGGGTTCTCGGAGCTGCCCAAAGAAAATCATTCTTCTCCCTTCTTCCTCCTCCACTTCCTCGCTCTCTCTTCACTCAGAGGTGACACACAGTCTGCTCTATCTGTCTATCTCTGTCACAAATCCATTGCAAACCCATCTAGTGTCCTCTTACCCCCTGCTCACCCTTTTGTTCTCTAAAATGATCCCTCCAAATTATGTCTGCTGTGCCTCAGTTTCGGTGTCTGCGGTGTGTAGCATAAATAAATACAACAGATTTCCCCATATGAGCTTCCTAGAAAGGTTACAGTCTTGTTTGCTTTCCTGTGAGTGGGTAGTGTATGTTCTTATCAGACGAGCTGTTTGTTCTCATGCTGAAGGGTATGTTGTTGGGATGTGACGGCTTGTAAATGAATGTAGACTGACGGGACCCTGGGTAGTTTTCACTTAGTGTCAGAAGTTCTGCAAATCAAGCTGTTCTCTAACACACAACAGTCAACTCCTTTTGCTCGATGCAAACTGAAGTGTTAATACAGTATGTGTGTCTGCTCATTTCTGCCTTCAAGCATTTGTGTAACAGTCCGGAGGAAGAAGAACTTGAATACTACGAGAGACCTCTGAAACACGGGGTAGAGTAAATGAGTGATTGCATGGCTATGTGTTGAGCTTGTTTCTGCAATTTCTGTTGTTTGTGTTTGGCATTTTTTAACGAGATAGTTGGAGTAGCTGTAAGCAGACGTCTTTATGGAACAAACAAATCAGGCTTTTCTTTATATAAGCTACACCCAAAATCATCATCAAGTCTCAATAGAGCTTCCTTGGCAGGAGTGGAAGCCGCTGCACCTGACAGACCCCGGACCCATTCACATACCTGGTATACAGGAGAGGGCTGACCGCCTTATCTCCAAGTTTAAGGGCAAACCTGACAGGCCACCAAAGGTGAACACTGTGCATGGACATTTTATGAGAACATGGTTTTCAATTTCGCGTTTTAGAGTTTTATTGAGTACATTTGTAAGCCTGTCTTAGCATTCTCCCAAGTCTAATTCCCTCTTCCAACCATTACTCTTTTCTCCCTGGAGCCTAAGAAAAAGCCGTCCCGTTTGTTTTTAGAGCAGTGGAAGTTGTCCTGTGACCTGACTGAGAGCCCTGGTTCACCACTATCCTCTCCTGACGCTTCCAGAAAGGTTAGGTGTTGGTGCAGTGGACTAAAACTCTAACACATCACTCCTGTTGTACTGAGAAATAAGCTTTTACTTTTGAGAACAGGGCCATACTGGAAGGTTCACTCAAGCTTGTTCAGTTCAATGTAGTCTGTTGTTTTTCTAGGTATTTCTGCTGTATAGCCATACTAACTGCAGGGCATTGCTTTCATAGTCCACTAATTCAGTCTTAAAGAGGTGGTATTATGCTCATTTTCAGGTTCAAAATCCTATTTATGGCTTGTACCAGAACAGGTTTACACGGTTTAATTTTCAAAAAACACCACATTTTTTTGTCATACTTCACATCACCCTGTGTTGAAGGTTTCGTTTTAGGTATGGAGTGATACATCTTGGCTCTAAATTATCTTTTTTGGGAGTTGCACATGCGCCCATAGACAGTATATTACTGGACGAAGCCAACAGGCTGATTTGAGTGGAGAGCAGTGAAGCCAGTTTTGGACCAATAAAATACTATTACAGGGCTACTTCCTGTTGGCACCAGCATCTACTGCGCATGATCACGCAGCATAACCGTGGTTTAATGACGTAGAACAGTGGCAGAAACACCGTAATTCTGGTAACAAAAAGTTTCATGGCTCAGTGTGTTTCTCTGACTCGAATCGTCACTGGTTAATCAGCCCACCTACAAGGCTCACCTGCCAAACACCAACGTAGCGTCACTGATGGCCAAATAGTTTTTTTTTTTTAATTGCCAAGAGTTTATAATCTAAGCAATACGGTTACACCTCTCATGTGCAACGGGGTGTCGTAGGGTTTTGACGTCATTTTTGGGCCTACATGGATCCCTCCATGCAGGCTTTAAATTTATGCAGTAATTTAAGCCTGTCAGCTGGACCTATGAAAACAATGGCTAACAAACCATCTGTTTAACACAATTACAAGCTTCTTGGAAAGGAAAACTTTTTTGGAAACTGCTAAAAAGGAAGATAATAACTTTATCTTCTACCTTGTTACACCCCTTTTGTGATTGAATCATCTATTTCTCTGCAGGAGCCCGCAATGCCTCTGCACTCTGATGATCAAATGCCCTTATATGTGCTTAGTATTCAAGAGAGGGCTGAGCAACTTGCCTCTCGGTTTGAGGGCAAGCCAGCCGGACCACAGGTGAAATTTCCCTATTAACACAAATTCTGATCATCAGGCTAATATTTATACAGGTTGATAAAGCAACACAGGTTTGTGGGACACTTGCCCTGTTGGTCAATTAGGAGACCTAAAATCATCCATGGATCCCCAGTAGGTTGTTGGCCAGTTAGTTTAATACGTTAACAAGTAATTGCAAGTAGGCAGCATGTAAACAAGGATTCTAATAGCAGTAAAATGTAATGGAAAGTGAATGGAAAAATGATTTAGGTTTTTGTGAAGGTGATAAAATTCGACACAAAACAATACAATGTTACATGATAACAAAAAACTGTGAACTGTTTAATTGTTAAACTATATGAAAGTACAATTAGTAAAAACATACAAAGCATAGAAACACAACTAATTTTGATGTTTGAGTTCACTTGGCTTGATTTGCCATTTGCACAGGTGCAGACAGGAATATTATTAGAAAGGAGAAACATAAAGAACATAGAGGTTAAGCAGCAGCATTTGAGGAGTATACTATTACTCTGCAATATATGCTAGTATGTTAGCATAAAACCTCAGACGGAATTAATCGACCAACAGGCTGCTCTCCAAACAAAATTTGGTGTAATAGTTTTATTTCAGAAAATTGTGTGAAGCAGGACATTTCTAAAAAAAAATCAATAGAAGTTCATATTTCACTTGTTAAATTGACATTTTTGAAACGTTTAACTGCTCTCCTCTCTCCTTTTTGTGGAGCCTAAGAAAAAGCCCTCACATTTTTTTATGGAGCAGTGGCACTTGGCCCGAGCCCGGTCTCCACCTGATTCTCCCCTCTCCTCCTCTGACACCTTGAGACAGGTAGTCATTTCACACCTGGAAGGAATGGAGCTTGGTGACACTAACACACTACACCTGCACTTGGAAGATGCATCTTCTCATTGGCAGAAGTTGTTCGACACGACTGAAGCTCACCTGTGACTTGCTTGAAAAGCTGGCTGCTTGTTGTGAAATACTAAGAGACTCATTTGCAACCCTGTTGATTGTTTACTGTGGTTGTTGTAATTAGTATGTGGTTGAGTAATCAGTCCTTTATGACTGTGACTCTAACTGAACAGATATCAAAATATTTTTAGCTGGAGTGTGCTTGATCTTAATTAAAATTCCCATAGTTATATTGCCAAGGGAGTCCCAAGTTGTTGTTGAGAATTGAAATAGCAGCTTGGCAACAAAAATCTCATCTAGTCTAATTGTCATGTTGACAAGCACAGTTCCAACTGTGGTAGAGTAACAGCTTTGTAATGCAGTGGGACTGCAGCACAGTAAAGCTTACTAAAATCTATATCTATATAAAGTGTGCCTCATGTTACATTTCACCTCAATTCTTCAGGATAAGATAACTTTTTTTTTTTTAGTCTTAATAGATTGAAACTTAATCCTGGTGTAGATTTAACTTGGGTATTAAACTAATGTTTTCATATACTGACTCTTTGAGTTCAGACAATAACAAACCAGTTTGAATGGCCCCTTCCAGCATTTTCTTTTGTTCAATCAATTGTTCAATGAGTATACAGTATACAGTACCGGGTGAGTGCCACTGTGTGTGTGCAAGTGAATGAAAAATGCATGACTGCTTTTACTAAGCACATATAGTAGTCTTCATGAACAGTGATGTTACAGAAGCACAGGTACACTTTGGTGGCTGTTGTCTTTCAAAATGTCATACTGGTGAATAGTTGCTTTTTTTTGATGTCCTAAATCCAATAATGCTCTTTGTTGGCCCGTAAATGAACAGTGGAATTATTTGTTTGACTGAGGGCATTTGTTTATAAGCTATATTTGGTTTTGCAGCTAGCTGCGGCTTTCAGCACATCTCAACGCTTGATCAATCAAGCATGGAAACATTGTTTGTGAACACTTCCCGTGTTGAAGCTCTTGTTGCTATGACAAGTGATCTCCTTACAACAGTGGTTCTCAAACTGGGGTCTGTCCCACCTTGGGGGGCATAATGCCACTGGTCGGGGGGCATGGATGTTGAGCAGACCTAAAGTTGCATGAATGTGTCATGTGGTGGTATAAACACAAAAAAGGGCTTTGATGCAAGCAAGGCTATTCTGCCTACCTGAATCTTTCTTTTATTTTAATCGCATGTGTTAATGATTGATAAAAATGAAATCCACTTTTGCTGGAGTAAACTTTCTTTTCTTCTAAAAGTCGGGGTTTGACAGAAAATAGTTTGAGGACCACTGCCTTACACTCTCCTCTCCCCACCTCTTCCCTCTGTTTCTAATCTTTCTTTTTCATCCATCATTTTCTAATGTTTGTCCCACCTGTCTTTTTTCCCCCCCTAATGCTGGTGACAGCGCTATGTAAGGATGTACACAGGCGGCGTTAGCACATTGGCTGAGCAAATAGCCAATCAGCTTCATTCTCAGGAAGACCCTAAGCCCCCACCTGAAAAGAGGGATTTGGTAAGCATGCTGTCCCGGGGAGTAGAAGGCACGTAGCTGTATAGATGAAAGCCTCACTTGCCAGAGTGCTGTTGATACATTGTGTGTGTCACAGTTTAACCTCGATCCATCTCCCTTTAGCTATAGAGTGTCTGTTTGCTCAACAAGTAACTGCAGTTTGGGATGTGTTTGTAGATCATTTGATCGCTGTTCCTGCTGAGACATAACCATAGACTTGCTCTGTTGTGGTATTTTTATTAGGTTATAAAGTAGTTCGATACCCAGCATACTTCGACAGTGGCCTGGTGTGTGAGCGTGTGGCTTGATGTCTACTTAATCTTTGATGTATTCAACCCTCTCCTCTCCTCTCCCATATGTTTCCTTTATTTTTTTCCTGAAAACTGATCAATACTGTATCCTTCCACAGGGCTCTCTCAGAAAAGAGTTCCCTGTCAATATTGGCGGCAGCGATGTGTGCTTCTTCTGCCGAAAGCGTGTGTATGTGATGGAGAGGCTGAGTGCAGAGGGGAAGTTCTTCCATCGCAGCTGCTTCAAGTGTGAATACTGTGGCACCACACTACGACTTTCCTCCTATGCCTTTGATGTGGAAGATGGTAAGTCTAACATTAAGATAAATAGTATTCCATTGATATCCCATCCATCCTAAAGTCCTAAACATCAGCTGCAGCCAAAATGAATTGAATGCACCAGCATAAAAAAAAAAGCAACTGTAGAATTTGAAAAATGTTTGACTTTGGCGCTCTCCAGTGGTTGTATCAAAAAAGAGATTAAGGCAGACAGACACACCACAATCTCCAACTCCATCCACAGATATACAAACCAGAGACATTAAGATGAATGAGCTGAAAGCAGCACATTCACTGCACCAGATTTCACCAGGCTTGTCTCATTTTTGTGCCTCCAGAATGTTTTGAAAGATGCTTTAACCACGTGAAATTTCAGCACCTTCAGTCTTTTAATGTGGAAATCTCAGCCATTACATTACATTGATCCCAGTTGAGAGTTGAGGGCAGTCTTATGATTCCATGTTTTTCCTCTATTGGAGTTGCCTATTGTACTCAAGGACAGGCAGCAGATTGTTCATTGAGACAGAGTAGCTGTTTTTTTTCCCCAGTTAGTCGTGGGACTTAAACCCACTCATTGAGACAGAAAGGAAGGAATTTTTTTTATTCTGAATGGAAAAACACACAACGACTTCTACAGAACAGATGAAGCCTATGGACCCTGTGCGGTGAAGTCTGCAGAATATGCAGTGCACATATTATTTATTTGCTTATGTGTTGTCTTCTTTATCCTGCAGGGAAATTTTACTGCAAGCCCCACTACTGTTACCGTCTGTCTGGCTACGCTCAGAGAAAGAGGCCTGCTCCCTCCCCTGCTCCAATCACTGCTAAGGTACCTATTTTTATTTACTTAATTGAAATCCTGGTGGAAATCAGGCTTGGCTGACTAACAATGAAGAAATAAATGTTTTGGTTTGTCTTCAGAATGCAGTGTGTAGGCAGGGGCCTATCGAGATGGAACAGTTTTTTTCCCTTTAACCTTTTGTTCTTGTGCACAGACCGTCCAAGAGCACTTGTGTCTCCCAACACTTTGCAGTGGTTGACGTCACCTGTCTTTCAACTTTTGCAGGAAAACCAGGCACCCCAAACTCCTACGGCGACCGTGGACGCCCCCGGAAGAGCGATGGCAGCAGCAGCCCCCTCGGCCGAGCTCCAGCCCTCAGGTACCACACTTTCCTCTCTTGCTGTGGTGGCTGCGCCCTGCCGTCTGGCCATGGGCGTGGGAGTCCCGCTGCGTACCCTCCGCCGCACACTCTCCTGGACCTGCCACCAGGTGGCACACAACCCTCTAGACTCTCCCTTCCTGTGTACCTACTGCATCTACCTCTTCTGCTGTTTCACCATCAATGTCCTGCTCGACCTCCTCTAGCATGACTCTCTTGTCCATCCTTTTTTTCCTTTCTTACTTCCTTTTACTCTTTGCCAACTAATGTCAGTGGGATTGTATTTAGCTGATTTTGTTAACTCACTGAGCCTGCGAAGCGTTCATGTAAATCTTGTGATTCTTCGTCTCAGTGATTGATTTATTTCTTGAAGATGCAGCATTCTTTCTGTTTCTATGGCAGCCATTTTATGACTTGTGATTGGCCGAGGCAGTTAAGCAGTGCTCTGGCAGCATAATTTTAAAAGTGAATGGTGCATCTTAAGTTTATTTCTTTTTCTTGGCTTGGAAATTAAACAGCAGGACAGAGCTGGTCATCTCTGGTCAAGTAGACAGTATTAAGTTTTACATGAGATGTGGCAGTAATGTGCCCGCTTTCTCAAGATTTGGCTAATAGCAAAACATTCATACATCCTAAATGAATTACATAAAAATTTATTTAACCTGCCTGTGTGTTTAACGAAGAGCCAAGCTTTATTCTTTTTGTGATTGTAACCTCTAGTGGCCTGTGACTGCACACTTCTAGCTCTACCTCCTCCTGTGTGATGTGTTTCTTTTAGAGCCTGCTTTGTGATGTGTTTCTTTCTCACTGTAAGTTGTTCTGCGCCTACAGTATCCCCCTTACTGAAACTCACCACACTGTGATGAAGTGCCTGTATCAGTGCTTTTGTGAGCTTTACCTTTCACCCCTCCTATCAGAGCAGCTTAAAACTGAGAGCTTGAATTAGTGCCTGTGATTGGTTCTCCTGTGATTTTCACTCCTCTGTCCGACCTTCTCGGCTGCCCTGTCCTCCTGCATCCCTCACCCTCTCACCCCTGACAGATTGCAGCTAAGCTAACAGTACATCTGTGCTACATTAATTGCATCGGATATTATAGTTAATTATAGTAAATGTGAGTAGAAAGAGCTGGACAAAACCGGCTGGTAAGATTCCCAGAAAAAGAACTGGAATTTAAGTAAGTTACGTTTAGGCCTGCTGCCATGTGTGGCAAGTATAGTATTATGAATTAAAATTCTTACTCATAAATACTGTAGTAATACGATAAACATATGTAACATTAATTCCAGATATTAACAAAATTAAGGACTTACTTTCATTACTAAAAATGGGTGACATGGAAAAATAGTATTGCAAAAATAGATGCATCATTATAGTATCTGTTTAGGAAAATCATGTCACATTGTGTAGATCTTTTCATTAGAGAATAAATAAGAATAAATTTAGAAATAATTGTAAATATGAACATGTTGGAAAGCCTGAAAAACAGTGCAAATTGCATTTGTTAGGTCATGGGTCGCTTTAGCCCTTTTAATTTCAGGGTTGGTTTTGATGGAAAGATCAACCAACCAAAAGGAAACCATTACAGTCGTTTGACCACATTCCTCATCCACACAACATCACTTATGGCGCAGTATCAGATGTCACGCATTCACTGTCACGTCCATCCTTTTTAGTGGGATTTACTCGAGCGTCATTGCTTTAGGGAATTGTCTGTCATTTTGTCCAATCTCGAGGACTGGAGTTCTGTCTCTGCTTAAGTGAGTGGAAATACGTGTCGTATAACTTATACTTAATTTAATTCATTCCACTTACATTCACAATCATCCAAGTAAATTTGAATGACACATTTCCGAAATAAATACAGTTTTAAGATTTGCTTCTCAGGATGGGAGAAGGGCAAGACACCAACCAAGTTTGTACCAATAACTATTTTAGAGTGTTACCTTATTTGTGTTTGTTGATACTATTTGCTGTAGGAATATAATCTAATGCAATAAATTAGAGATCTTAAATTGGTGTGTCCTTGTCAGTTTGTCCTTTTTGAAAATATCAAGTTGTTGTGCTGGTGTAGTGGGAGTAAATGGCAATAAGTAATCTAATAACGAATTTGTATGGGGGGGAAAAAAACATTGTCAGAATTTGCAGCCATAATCACACTACTTTTCACAAATAGTGACACAGTAAATTTGTTTTGACTCAGTTAAATACACAGACAAATAAATACAGTTAAAGGCTTAAAGATGCACCTTTTAATCAGTCCTGCATGGCTCCTGCACTGCGGAGGGTTGTGTTTTTCTCTGTTCCTCTCCTCTCTACTGTTGCACCTACTTGATTCTCAGTTGCCTTTTTTTGTGCTCTCTTTCCTCTGCCTATCTCCAACCTGCTGCCCACCCCTGATGCTCGCGTGTCAACCCCAGTACCGGAGGTCAACGGCCTGCAGGAGCCTAGTCTAGCTAAGCGTCTGCGGGGAACTCCAGAGCGCATCGAGTTGGAAAACTACCGCCTGTCCCTGCAGCGGGAGGAGGAGCTGGAGGAGGTGCCAGAGGAGACACTGGCAGAGCACAACCTCAGCAGTGTGCTGGACAAGGCCACAGATGCTGACCTGGGCTCCAGGTAAGAGCATAAAAATGATGGTATTTTTATGCTCTGTTGTTGAATGTCTCAAGCATGCATAATATTTGGATTTTTTATTTTACAACCTGATATTGGATTGGATTTCTTTGCGGTTTGTATCAATTGATTTACACACCATTCCTACCACTTTGAAGATGCTAAATATTTTTGTTGTGAATCAAACAAGAAATAAGCCAAAAAAACTGAAAACTTGGGCGTACATAAGTATTCACCCCTCCAAACTCAATACTTTGTAGAGCCGCCTTTTGCGGCAATTACAGCTGCAAGTCTCTTGGGGTATGCATCTATAAGCTTTGCAGATCCAGCCACTGGGATTTTTGCCCATTCTTCAAGGCAAACCACTCCATTACTGGACGGGTTCTGCTGGTGCACAGCGTTCTTTAAGTCATACCACAGATTCTCAAATGGATTGTGTTTTTTCTTGGGGGCCAAAAAGCTCAATTTTAGTCTCATCTGACCAGAGTACCTTCTTCCGTATGTTTGGGTAGTCTCCCACATGCCTTTTGGCGAACACCTAACATATGTGCTTGTTTGTTTTTTTTTCTTTAAGCAATGCCTTTTTTTCTGGCCACTCATCTGTAAAGCCCAGCTCTATTTAAAGTCCTCCAGTGAACAGATACTCCAGTCTCCCCTGTGGAGCTTTTTGTTGCCTGTCTGATTAATGCAGTCCTTTTGGTGGGCAGCCCTCTCTTGGCAGGTTTGTTGTGCTTCCATATTTTTTCCATTTGGCCAAAAGCTTTAATAGTGCTCCGTGGGACGTTCAAAGTTTTGGATATTTTTCTATAACCCAACCCTGATCTGTACTTCTCCACAACTTTGTCCCTGACCTGTTTGGAGAGTTCCTTGGTCTTCATGGTGCTGCTTGCTTAGTGGTGTATATATTCTGATATAATGTGACACGATCTAATACAACGTTGATTTTTTTTTTTTTTGTTCGCTTTCACACCTTTTTGCAAGTGAACCAGAGTTTGTAAACAAAACCACATATGTGCTAAGTTCATCCATTAGTTGGACAGAACTTCTGGAGTGGGTAAAAGCAGGAAGCTTTCTATTCACAAAGCAAACTTTACTATAAAAGCTCTGGCAGAATGCATACTGCTATGTGTAGTGCCATCACTAATGAGTCATGTTTAGCCATTTCATCACCGCTAATTACATTATGAGGTACATATGAGGTAGTTATCAGTGTAATTAAACACACAATCTGCACTTATTATGAGAGCTTGTTAACTTAAAAAAGGGCAGAGTGCTTTCCTCAGTCGGGTCGGATTGATGTCGGGGCCATGTTCACACATTAAACCTTACCAGAGTTTACTTGGAACTGTACTGAGACCACCTCTTCAGCCAGGTCTCAGTACGGTTGTTTGGTTTGCACCATAGTGCGATTCCTGGATTCCCACATTTCCGAAAGATCTGCACCAAGGGGAGAAAACAAACTCTAGTGCCAAACAAGACCGGTGTGAATACACCCTTAGGTTGCACACTGGTGGACTTTATTTAACTAAAATATGTGACTTCTGAAGGTAACTGGTAAGCTACTTTTTCATTTCACTGTAGAAGAAAAAAATAGGGAGCTGATTTATTAATTTTATCACTTCTTCTCCATACCAATGAATTTTTGCTTAAAAATTACTTTTTAGCAACACGTTGAAGTTCAGTCCTTTGCTTGTGTTGCTTTGACTGATTTCCCCTCTCACTTGTTCTAACACTTTACTGGGACTCCTCCTCTGCTTTCCAACAGTAGCTCGGAGTCAGACATGGAGGAGGAGGACGAGCAGGAGGACCAGGATCAGGATCAGGAGGAGGTGGAACAGCAAGCTCCCAGCCCCTCAGACCTTGGCGGCGTTCCCTGGAAGGATGCGGTAGGGCTTCACGCCAAGCTGAGGGGTGAGGAGGGAGAGGACGAGGCTTTGGCCGACGCGGTCAGCAGAGACGGGGAAGTAGATGAAGAGGAGGAGGAGGAGGAGGAGGAGGAGGATGAAGATGAGGATGAAGATGCTGAGGAGTCAAGCGATGGTAAATTTGTTTTTCGCTCGTTGGTGTGATTACAACATGATTTCTATGAAAACCGGAAATGTAGTTTGTTTCCATTGGTGTATGTTAACACCCCACGTCAGTCTCCATTTGACCTGTTGGCGAAGTCTGTGTCGTGAAGTGTCATTGTCCCAAACATTGTTGTCCTCATCCTCTTCTTCTTTCCTCCTTTTCCATCCCCTCCTCTTCATTACTTCCCCCTTTCCACTGTGTTGCTTGTGTGTGTGTGTTTGTGTGGTTTTGTTGTTGGGCCTCCGTCTCCCCCTGCTGGCAGAGGGGGATTACTGCCCCTGGAATAGAGAGCTCCAGTCAGGCCTTTGGCTGGAGAAGTACCTCACAGATGAAGAGGATGTTGGTACATTTAAAGGTAGCAGCCTGTGGATGCGTTTGCAGTAACTTTGAGCGTGATAGATAATCCTGGCTGGTTTGGGTTTCTTTTTCAAGGATTCAAGAGTGTGGCTTTTATTTTGTTCTCTTTGTTGTCTTTGGTTTGTCGGTTGCAGTTGTGTTTTAAAGGATTTTGTTGTTCATAAGTGTGTTTCTTTTAAAGAGTTACAGTGAGGCTCATCCCACGTTAACCTGCTGTTTAATACCTCAGTTTTTTGAATATGGCTTTATTACACTAACCCTGATGCGTGTCAGAGATTTTTGGGTTTCCCCCTCTAGGCTGTGCAGTTATGGTTTGGTATTGGGTTGCAGAATAGTTCTGTTCAACAAATGGATGTTGTTTTTTTCTTTAACGTTATATATTTGAAGCTCGGTTTTATAATTTAACTTTATTTTTGCTGTACAGTGCATGCAGCCTTCCTCTCCCTCGCCTCTCTGATGATTTTTTTTTTGCCAGTGTATTCTAACTGTCTTTCTGCCTTCTCCCTTTCATTTTTGTCCTGTCTTTTCCCTCCTCTCTTCTTCTTCCTCTTCTTCTTCTTCTTCTTCTACTATTGTGTGTGTTATCCATCTCTGCATACACAACTTAACCACAACCCCTTAAACACAACACTACACCATATGCTGACACCCTCATTCAGCCAGGAACGTACAGATCCAACAAATCCTGCAGCCTGTGGATCCCCAGGCCATTCCAGGTTTGGTGAGAACACACCTCGACTCTGAGGGAGACAAGGATGGCCAGCCGGCCTCTGCCTCCCAACTCTCCCAGCCCTCTGAGCTCACGCAGCCCTCCTCCACAGGTAACCCACCCAGAGGAGCTGAACACCTGGGAAGACTTTGCTGGGCGAGTCCCAAACTGTAGGCCTTACAGGGTTAAGGATCAGTGTGTCTCATTTCGCCAGTGTGGCTGCTGCTGTTCTGTTTTTATGTCTGTGTTTGTGACAGGAGGAGCCACCTCCCCCAACTAACCCACCTGTTGTTTATTATCATCTCTGATTTTGTACATTTTTTGTCACGTTGCTTTTTTATTTTTTTGGAATGTCTAATTTTGTGTGTAATCATTATTAATTTGTCGTTCAGAGGCGCTGTTGGTCCTCTGGGGTGAATTTGAAGTTCTTCAACCACATCCCAGCGCACCATTTAACCCCCTTGTCAATTCTTTTGATTTTGTTCTGCTTTGTTCCGTTGTGTTCTGCTATGTTCTTTCCCATGTGTCTAATTACTTTACTGTTATTTTCCTGCCATCTATCCCTTGTTGTTCTGTATCTTCTGGTTTGAACGTAGCCCCTGCCCACACATCCGCCCGACACGAGGCAGTGAGAGTCTGGTTGGAGTCCATGTCTGGAGGTAGCACAGACTTAAAAGGGATCACGATATCCCGTTTCAGACTCGTACTCTATCTGTCTTCCGGCTGGCCTTTTTTTCTGGAGCATGCAGAAGCACATGCCGAGACCAGTAAACTCACAAGCATGCATGCTGTAAGGCTGTCGCTCTCAACGAGTTCTGCACACTTTGGGTCACCTTTCACTTCCCAACCTCTCATCCAACCCTTCCAACTTCCAAAATATGTATTATTTCTACTCACATAGTACATTGCACTGCAGTGTAATGTATTCCAGAGACAGTCTATCAAGTGCTGGAAACACTTAACGCTGCCGTGTTTCTTGCCCTGATGGGTAATGTGTGAGGTATCTGCTTGTACTGTTATTACATTTTTGAACTAACCTTAAATGCCACTTGTACTTGCACTAAGTTCAGATAATGAAGCCGTTCAGGTACTTTATGAACTGTTTAAAACCTTGAATGAATGAAATGAGAAGTCCTACACATATATTTCAATTCATGGGCAGCACTTGTGTTCTGGGTTAAAAGCTTCGAGAAGATCTTCTCATGCTCATACCCACTAGTTCTTTCAAAATGTGCCTGTGCACCCACCTGAACAGTGGCCTATTTAATGCATTTAGCAGAGGTGACTTTTAAGGTTGTGATTTTATTTCACAATATCATGAATTAACTGTGTGGGTCCCTGTTTTAGTTTTGTTAGAAAAATTGTCTCTCCCAACAAACTTTGTTTACACGACTAACTGCTGCTCGTCTCTTAACCAGTGTCATTTACCTTTTTGGTTCTGCTTTTGCTTGGTTCAAATGTCATCCATTTGCTAATTTTAAAATGGATAGCTGCATGTATTCATTTACTAATGCTACTCTGTGCCCATCCTTAGTTCATATTTATTCAGACCTATACACGATTTTATTTGTATGCAAAACTAATTTATGATTTTCTTGCCAGAAAACATTCCTTAAAGCTGTCCTCAGAAAGAAAAAAGGATTTTGGTTTTGAAGCCTTTTCATCCTTTTTTCAGCCATATATATTTTTTTTCCTATAACTGAGCTCCACTCTTCAAAATTGGTCTGATAGATTATTTCATTCAACGAACTTGGAACCCTGGTCCTCTCTTTTTTAAAGTTTTGCCTGCAGCAAGAATTTCCGAGAAAAGTTCAGTTTAGGTTAGGTTTTTGAAAGTTGAATAAGTTCTCGCTCTGTTACTGACCGAAGAATGAATGTGTAACCAGTTGACTCATTTTCTTTTTGCCTTTTCTTTGTCGTGCCAGAGCCCTGTGAGGATGAGGATCTAGAAGCAGAAGCAGACAGTCCAGATATGGAACCTGGTACAGAGATGGATCAGGGTGAGCTGTAATACATACATACATACAAACACATAGTAATGAATAAGTTCTTTAAAAAAACATGTTTGATTCACAAAGGACTCTGCTCCATTGCAATAAAATGATAGAAATAATTACAAGTATAAAGCTGAGTAACATAAATATTCCATATGTTGTGTTCTAGATGACATCCCTTCAGATGCAGAGGCTGAGGCTCGTTTGCATCAGCCTGAGTGTGCTGAAGTGCTTCCAGAGGAAGACAAGAAATCAGAAAGTCTGACTGTCACCTCCAGTATTGGTACATGGTCACCTCACATTCCTCAAAATTTATCACAGGGATATCTTTTTACACAAATAAAAAGCAGTACCATTTTTGTTGTTTGTGCATTCAGAACCATCCTGTGTCAGCCCCATGCAGAAAGAAGAAGTTGTCCTTTCCCCACTCAAACCAGCTCCAGAGCCTGAAACACAGGTGAGATAATTCCACACTGCTCAAGTTGAAAGTTTGTGATGTTAGTTTTGACTAATTCCTGATCTTCTCTGTTTCTTCTTCACATAACTGTGGTGAAGTCTCCGGGCTCCCGCTTTTTCCCAGACCTGTTCATTCCTGAGGAAGTGAAGAGGATAACTCCATGTCCTTCTCCAGCCGCCAAGAGTCCACTGTGCCCTTCGCCAGTCCAGGATCCTTCTTCTGTCCCTTCTCCTACTATTGCTGCCGCTGCTTCCCCTGTCAATGTCCCTGCTTCACCTCCACTTATTTCACCCACCAAATCACCCAATAGCTCTCCAGTCAAGCCAGACATCGAGTCACCTGTCAGATCACCCATCAGATCCCCCGTCAAGTCACCTGTTGGCTCCCCAATCCGCTCTCAGCCCACCCCCCTACCAGAGACTTGCAGGCCTAAATCTCCGGTCTATCCTCACCGCTCTATTTGCCCTCTCACGGGCAACCCCCTCTCCCCGATCTGTGCTCAGCCTTTGCCCTGCCAGGAACCTTCATCCCCTCTCATCTCTGACTCTCCCGTGAGAACTCAGCCTGTCCCCGCAGTCACTTCTACGCCCATGACCAAAACAGACAAGGGAACACCTGAGTCCTCAATGCCCATAGATTCCTCAACAGAGGAAACTCCATCTAAAAAGGCAGATATCATTGAGGAATTTTGGTTAAAGAGTGCAGAGATCAGGAAGAGCCTCGGGTTATCTCCTTTGGACCGCAGTAGTAAAATCTTAGAGAGGAGCGCTGTTAAGGCTCCAACGCAGGACTCCACCCCTGTTAAGACTCATTATCCAGGTGTGTCTGAGGAACAGAAGCCTGCTTTTACTGGCCGCGCTGTCATTCGCAGACTCAACATCACTCTTGAGGGTCAGGTCATTACCCCCATTGCTCCTGCAGAGCCCAAGAGTAATGGCTCTGATAAGAGGGACCTCAGCAGCAGCTCTGGCTTGGGGTTGAATGGAAGCATGCCCACGAGCCAGACAGCAAACAGTGACAGCTACAGCACGTCTGACTCCACTATGCTCACCCCACCCTCCAGCCCACCACCACCTGTGCCTGCTAATCAGTCTCCAGCCGTGCTCAGGCAGCAGAGACACCAGGTGTCCTGGAGCAACGGAACAGAGAAACCTCGATTTGAAAGTGCCAAAGAGCCAGCAAAAACCAAGAGTCCTATTCCTGCTCCGAGGGCCCAGCTGAGCCCCGTGTCTGCACCCAAACCCGCACCCAGGAAAGCCGCCTCACCCGAGGCAAATCCCGAAGCTGCTCCAGTCGTTGTCATGAGGGAGAAGAAGAAGAAGCCCCGGCCAGAGGAGGTGAGGAAGTCGTTTGTGGAGACAGTGGAGGAGATTCCGTTTGCTGATGACGTGGAGGAAACCTACGATGAGCGGACACCAGACACGAGCATGAACAGGTACTATACTCCACCCACCAGCAAACCCAGCAGGGACAAACCTCCCCTACATCTGGCTCTAGCAATGGAAAACGGTAAACCCAATATCTCTGTCAACCCAACCTCAAAGAACCAGAGGGCAACTCAGTTCTCCCCAGAGGCTAAGGAGATCGCTGAGGAGAGAATAAGGGCACGAGAAAAGTCCATCAAGAGCCAGGCTCTGAAAGACGCCATGGCCAAGCAGCTGAACAAAATGAAAGAATCTGACATAGACAAGGGTGCCTCACCTAAAGTGGCCTGGAGTGTAACCCCAGAGGCTGCTGGAAAAAGTAAAAAATCAGCCGTATCTCCGAAGATGTCAGCCGTGAAAGCCCTGGAGTCGAAGAAGGCAGAGACTATACCCGAGCGTTTCTTCAGCAGCAACAAGAGTCTAGACAGCTCGGTGGCATCGTCGGATGGCTCCTCTACGAGTAAGAGCAAAAAACGAAGTTCCCTCTTCTCACCGCGCAAGAATAAGAAGGAGAAAAAGGCCAAGAACGACAGCAGCAGGCTCTCCAGCACGGACGAGACACCGCCCAAACACAAGTCACTGTGGAAGGCTGTGTTCTCAGGGTACAAGAAGGACAAAAAGAAAAAGGATGATAAATCATGTCCAAGCACGCCATCCTCAAGTTCCACCACTCAGGACTCTGGGAAGAAGAAAATGTCACCTCCTGGGAAATCATCAGGTGAGAAAGGTAACCCAGTGTAGAAGTGATTGTTATATAAATAGAAAAAAATATCTAACACATTTCTGATTTTGCTTATTGTTTGGTACAGACTTGAAATCACGCAGAAACTTGAGCTTCTCAGAGGACTCAGACCTGTCCTGCGACGATGTCCTGGAGAGGTCCTCCCAGAAGTCAAAGGCAGATGTGAGTTACTCTAACTCTAATTAGAAACGTTACATCTTTTGTCATTAGGTTTTTTAGACACGTATAGCCTCGCAAAGCCAACCTGAGCTCATTTTTGATTGGACATTGTTGATTGGACGTCTGCATCTGCAAAAGGTGTGCCTGTTTATCCTTTCAAACCAGAGTGAATGAAACATTTGCAGGCAGGCTTAGCGAGGCTGGACGCGTCCTCATCACATCTATTGCATCCATTTCTGTTTTAAAAAACACTTTCCTTTAAATAACTTCTTCCACTCCCAGCGGCATTCGGACATCTTTGACCTAGTGTCAGGCATGCAGAGGGAAGCGATAAAGGAGGAGAAACTGGAGAAAGAGAAGAGGAGGGAGTTAAAGGAAAGAAAGAGGGTGAAAGAGAGGCATAAAGAAAGAGAGCGGGAAAAAGAGGTTGCTCGAGAAAAGGAGAAAGATGATGAGGAGGTATTGTGCAGAGGGGGTGAAATGATTTTGAATTTCATATGAACATAATTTTGTAAATGGGCAAATATATATATATCATACTAACATTAAGTTCAGAAAGCTTGCATCTGGCTTTTAGACTGACCTCAAATGAATCTTTAATACTTATCATTCAACCAAATCTCGAAAAACACACATTTTCAAGGTCTTCAACACCACAATACGACATGTTAAATGCACATCATAATGATATCCATTAGCAAAATTACAAAACGAGTGAACTCTTCAAAAGGCTCGATTCATATATATCTTATTAGGACTTTGAAGAAATTCAGCACACAAAACCTAAATTCCTATAGCATGTAATTTTATTTTAATACATTTGCATTAATTATGTTGGGCTGAAATTCAAAATGATTGTCTCCAGTGCTGCTCAGTCTGTGTGTGGGTATGTCTGGTGGTTTAGATAGATGCAGTTGAGTTCAGGGCCAGAGGCATGAATTCATTAACCGTTGTAAACACATTTTAAAAACTCTGACATGCTGTCATTTAGTTTTCTTCACTTTGACGACATATATGAAGAATGATTTTTTTTTTTTTTTTCATTCATAAATAATATCGATCTGAATTTGGACTTCATACAGCTACAGTATCTGTATCATGCCTGCCAGGCCGTGTGCAATTCAATGAGAGCCCACAGGAACCGTGTTGCCTAGTCTCTAGTAACTGTTGTGGTGTTTTTAAAGTTTTCCAGATCTTGGCGTGTATTAGATGTATTATCGTAGGGATAACTGTAGAAATAGTATTGAAAATAATAGACCTGTCTTACTGCTTAAGGGTAAGACAGCAAAATCCTTGGTTAGAATCTGAAGAATGTGATTTGTAACCATTTTGTTTGACTAATTTCTGATTAACATAGCTGTTTTTGTTTTGGTGTGGGATATTAACATTGCCTGTTTTAATTGTACCAGCTAAGTTATTACTTTTTTGTCTTGTTATGTTTTATTTTGACCAATTCAACATAATCATTAACCCATTTAATCATATCATCTGTATCATGTTTGTTTCCTTCCTGTTTTGTTTTGTCTTCCCTAAGTCTGTTTATGTCCCTCACGCACTGGCATTCAAGAGATCGTACGCCTCAAAGGTAGTATTACATACGTTCCAATTGAAAACCCCCCCACCCCTTCGCGCATGTGCCGGTTTACTGTCATAACACCATACGTGCATCTGGCTTTAAACTAACCGTCCCCTCTGGTTGCACTCAGTCGGACGCAGCGCCCACTCACTCACTCAATGCTGGATATCCACTCTGTTTAAACATGAATCTCATTGCTCACTTTTCCCGGTCACAATGATACCTCTCCATCTCTCGATACCAGGGGCTGTTCCTCTCTGACATTAACCCGCCTTTCTATCACTGTGGCGCTGTTTATACTCCAGTCTGGCCACTGGAATAACTTTGACACTTTTTCTTCAGTGCTTTTCTCTCTTCCGCCTGATTTATGCAAACTTTTTTACATCCTCACAAGTCAGCTAATAGGGCAAACATCCCTGCTTTATTGGCATACTTTATTGCCTATTATCATGGAAGATTTCATAATGTGAAGAGGGACTGTAACCGTGAGAGCTGCAGTGAAGTTGTATACGTATATTCTAAGATGTTTCATGTTACCATACCTTGAGATTGCAGTTTATAGACCCAGACAAGCCTGTAGTGGTGTTTTAAATATTCCAAGCTAGATGACATTGTGCTAGTCAATGTTGTCCCTCACCTTCTACAAGATCCAATCTGAGTTTCCCCCTCCTCTGCTGGCCAACTTTTCTGAAGGGCCAGTGCCCCATGAAGTCAACTCCACATATTAGCAGCTTGTGAATGAGACCTCTCTGACCCATGTGTTTGTTATTACACCAGAAAACCTACACAGAAGAAGAGCTGAATGCCAAGCTGACACGGAGGGTCCAGAAGGCCGCACGACGACAAGCCAAGCAGGAAGAACTCAAGAGGCTGCACAGAGCCCAGGTAACTGAACCTTTGCTGATGCTCTGACTTTTCCTCTTATCACCGCAGTGAGGTGGACATCTGTGGTTTCGAGTGAAATGTCTCTGCAACTATTGCATGGATTGCCATGAAATTTGTTGCAGACATTATACCTGCTAAACATTAGCATGTTAGCATTGTTAAGTACAACCTCACAGAACTGCCAGCGTTGCAGGCCCTTTATCTTGTTCTGAGGTCATCTTTAAAGTAGGTTTATTATATTCTTTTGTGTTGGCTTACTTACATATTTGTGTGCTGAATAGCTCTTTCAGAGGGGTGTTTTCTTCAAAAAATGTGACAATAGTTCATGTGTACTGTGTATATATCTGTATTGTTAGTGGTATACTAGAGATGTCGCTGTTACTCAGTGTTGTTCTGTTGTTGTTTTTCATTTGTAACTTACCATATTGTCACTCTAATGTGACTCAACCGTCTTGGAGTGCGGTCAAATTCATCCATTGGTTAGGAAATCCACCGTGATTGATGTTGTTGACACTGCAGTCAGGCCAGTCCACTGACTCAGCACTAAGCTAAAGCCAAAGTCTCTTCTCCTGGAGCTGTGGTTGGCTGGCCTGAATTTTGCTTCCTTTTAGTGGCTAGTTTCAGAACCCAAACCACCCTTTTTGTTCATCTCCCGTTGCTGCACAACACTGATAAAGTTCAGCCCTGACAGAGGAAGTTAAGAGTCTGAGGCGGGGAGGAAAAACAATAGAGCTGTTTCTTCTCATTTTATGCATCTCTCAAACCACCCCTTACATAGCTTTACCCACATTAAACCAATTGTTATTTAGACACTTACCAGTGTTCAGGTGATTAAGGTGAAGTACTCTCCACTAGGAACGCATTTAGATTTAAATGTCTGAGTGTGTCACAAGGCCCCAACACTTTGGCTGCTGCAAGCTGTTTGTTGTTACTAAACAAGGTGTTTAACATAGGCGCCCAAGGTCTGGGTCGAACCAGGCTGCATGCCCCTCTCAGAAGTCCTAAGAGGCTGCATCCCGGCCATCATTGCCCCCTATTTCCTGCCACCGCCACTGCTAATAAGAAGTGAGAGTCTGGTGTGGGCTGAAGAGGGGAACACCCAGGAAATGTTTTTGGTGAAAATCATGAAATAATATTTGCCCATAATAACAGACTCTCATACGTGTAGACATCACTCCAGTGCTAATTAAAAGTACTCCCTTTGCGCCTCGAGACATTAATTTTTAATGAGGGTTAACTAAGTGTTCGAGGTAATGTCTGCAGCCCGCTCCATTAGAATCTGTGGGACAAATCAGTTGTAATTTGTAATGAGCGGTAGATATTATTATTCTGTGCACCAATGTGATGTGAGATAACTCAAGTCATTTCTAATGTACTTGCGCCCGTCTACATTTAACTAATAATGTGACTAACCTGCTTGTTCATTCAGATCATCCAGAGGCAGCTGGAGCAGGTGGAGGAGAAGCAGAGACAGTTGGAAGAGAGGGGCGTAGCTGTGGAAAAAGCTTTGAGAGGAGAAGCAGGTAACAACTTGGCACTTATACCGTCACACATCTTTTAGATCAAGCCGCCCATCCCGTGTGGTGTATCAGTAATGCAACTGCAGACAGACACGGTGCTCATATTCAGTGAACTAAAGGGTTTACCAAGTTTCATAACTCATTTAAATCTCTTATGATTAACATTTTACAAGTGATTTACTGTATGTATAACAATGAAATTATGTTTTTGTGTCAGCGCTGGCTCCGTGAGACCACGTTTCATCTTGATACGATATGAGTTCCGTCTATTCCAGAGCTCTGAAGGGAATGATAATAATAATATCGATGGTTAGGATGACGTAACCTAGAATTGCATTACCTCAGAAAAAGTGTCCCTCTGCGATCATTTAGATTGTGTTGAAGTCATATTCTGCATTTACCGTTTTATTCATTCAGTGGAGCTCAAGCATATTTCGGCATGTAGATTAGTGAGCAGAAAGACGTATTTGTATCTCTAAAGTAATAAACTAAAATTATTCTTGACAAGGGACTATCACAGACAATATACTTCTGAGATGAAGAATACCTTGTTTGTTAGAGAGCAGCACAGTTCATTATTTGGTAGAGTTTTATAAGAGTGTGAGGCATGAATAGTGCTCAATAGCAATAACACATTATTTATATGATGTGGGTTTTGTATGTGAGTAAGGTAGTGAGATTCTCCTTCATAGAGTTGACAGTATATTCCATCCTAATTTACTTTATGGATATGGAATAACAATTTACTTTTCCCATCAGCTGTTACTGCTGTCAATTGTTTGAGTATGTTTTAACTTGTTTACTACTCTACTCTCTTAAAGGATTGTATAAAGGTACTTATACATTACCCAAACAGCACAAAAGAAGATCAGGTATTAGATTTACTGTAGTTTCCTTCCTTCCTTTTTATTAATGACATGTGACACTGTTATGTAGGCTCCATCTGTGGTGACACACTGCAACAGTTCTCCATCTCTGAACATGTCGATCTTTGTTCGTCCATAACATGTCCGTCATCGTCAGTCCGAGCTGCATGCGATGTGAGGAGAATGTGTGTCCCGACATAGATTTGTGTGTGCTCATTCTGGATGTGTTTTGTCTCCTTCACTGCCTCTCAATGAGGAGAGTTTCTGTACTCTGATCAAGACTCAGATCACGGAACATTTTCATGAATGCAATCAGAACGTAAAGAAATAAAAATATAGATTGGTTTGCGGGCTGACTTTATTAGAATATTCTCTGCTAATATTTGCTGTGGCTGAGTGACTTGATACAGATAATTGTCTAGGTCTTATCTCTCTCTCTCTTTTTTTTTATCATGGTGAGTAACAGCAATCCAGAGTTGTTTCTGACTTCATCTGTTATACTGAAACGTCACACTTAAACCTCAGCTGCTCTTTCAATCTGAAATTATTAAATCGCTGCCGTATTGTAATCAAACACTGTTCCACATGGATTGGATAGTACAAAATGGGAGGATATTAAAGCTTTTCTTGCTATTTGAACAAATTAAAAGCAAGCAATACAAAAACAAAAAAAACAAAACAATTTCCTCAACATGTCAGCACGCAGCACATTAATATATTTACATTGTGTGATATTAAGCAGACTGAGCCAGCAAACAGCAAAACAACAAATCTATGTTGCAGTAACTTATTATTTTTGGAAAATGCCATGTAGTATTGCGCAACCTGACTGCATTATGTGCTGTGGTGAGTACCGACGGACTCTCTTTGTTCTGAGTGTTGCTGCGGTGTGTATGTGTGTTTGTCTGTGTCTTGTGTGTTTGCAAGAACATGCATGACCTGCAGCTGTTGGAGAATTTTGTGTGTGTGTGTTTGTTTGCCCAGTTTGGGGCTGTGTGAAATAACTCCTATCTCTAATATATCCCTGTCATTGTAGACTATTGGGGAGATTCTAATTACAGTGAAATCCTGGACTTGCATCTGGGCGGTATGTATTTCAAATCTGTCGCTTTAAAGTAACCTGATGGCTAACCCAATCTGTCCCCCAGCCCCGTTTTATTTCCTTTTTACTACTTGAGCTTTGTACCCCTCATATCTACCTTTATTGGCTGGCTGATTTGCTGGCTGGCTTTTAGCCTTGTTGCAATACTTTCTGCTCCTATAACTCCCCCCTCCCTTCACCCTCCACTCTCACTGGGTTTCTAGTTCAGTCAATCTTTACATCAAACAGAGATCAGACACTTGGCCTCGTGCTGTCCTCTTAAGAACGTCTTTGATCTCTATAAACTCATGAATGATAAATGAATGAATTAATGAGGAACTTTTATTTGTCACTCCTCAGACTGCACAATACAAACCGCAGCAGAGATATAAACAGAGACATAAATCCAAACAGCAGTATATACATTCTTGCATTCAGAGAAATACTGCACAGAAACACTGAGGGCCACTCCAACAGAGACAACAAAATAAATAATGTTAACACAATTAAACAAAAGTAAATAATGCAAAATCATTATTGACCTTACAATTTCATACAACTCACAGAACATGATCATTAAAGATGGCCTCTCTTGTATTTTCATTGATACATAGTTTGCCAGATAAAATGAACAAAGAATTTGTTAGCTAAAATCATGAAAGTAGCAGCATGGTGGTCAAGATTGGAAAACAGCATAAAAATAAGGTTGCTGATATTCAATATTTTTCACATTGTCAGCGAATCCCAAAACCTTTAATGGAAAAAAAAAAGCAAAAAGTATTTTCTTTGCAAATTTAACCCTGTTAAGCTCATTCATCTGTGCTCAGTTATTGTCCAGCATCTATTAGAAACGTGCACAACACGTTCACTGTAGTTTATCTGTCACACACACTTCATCCTGCTGCTGTATACTAGTGCACAGTGTGTGTAATTAAAATGGTTCCCACCAAATACACTGTCTACTCCTGTTTTAGTAGCTTTTGCTAAAACATTGCTACAGTGCTCAGCTGGTTTAGGAAATGATTTTGTCTTTAAAAAATATATTTGTGACCAGTTTTTAAACATTTATTCATTAAGAGCCAATAGGACTGAGATCTACAGACGGGTTAGAGAAGTATTAGGAGTCAGACTAACACACTGTTTGTTTTGGTCTTTTCACGGGATTTGTTGACAATAAGAAAGCTACAGAACAATACCAGCCTGTATCCTTAAAAGTAATTATTACAAAGAACACAAAACCGTCTCTCAGCTGTGGTATAAATGTATCAATGTACCTGTTTGTGTTGCTGACTGTATGACACCATATTTAAATTTTTACAGCTGTCTTTGTGATATTCTGACACAGATGAACAAAAGATTATGTAGTCTGACATGCTGAAAAATATATTGATATTGTAATTTTTTGTTGCACCAAAAAATATCAAAGATGAAGAAAAAGCACATTAACATACAAAAGAGACACATGTCACAGCATGCAAACATTTACAAACATTGGACCCCTCCCTCCCAACAAACACATAACTGTGAAAGTATTGAATACCCTTTCCTGGACTGACTCATACTAAACTGCTAGCATGGCTCTTAGCTTCCCCTCAGAGCTCTGTGCTGCTGCAGTTCTGTCCTGTAGTCCCAGCAATGGCTACCCTGACTTTCTCATACCTGCTCAGTTGCATTACTCCCCGTATGTGTGTGTGTGTGTAGTGTGTTCTAATAGGCAATGTTGCAACCATTGACCCTTAGCTGCTATGTCCAAGCTGTGATTGGTTATCAATAACAGCCGTCTCGTGGTATCTGTCATGATCTTGTAGACTGTGGCTTTGAATATGAGTGGAATGCATCTTTTCCTCCTCATGTCTGCTGTAAAATGGAATCCCTCAACAGGAGTGAGAAACAGGTGCCACATTTCCACATATTTGAGCAGGGCCTGCGCTTCTCTGTGGTTTTGTCCTGCTGGTTGTTGTCACTCATAAGACAGAGGATTGCGTGGGGTTTTGACGTAAAGATTAGTAGACCTTACACAAAAGAAGATTTCTAACCTAACTGGCTGACAGGGTTCTTGAAGAGGCATTTTATCAGAAAATCCAACTTGTTTTTATATTTTTGAGTCGATAGAGGTAATTCATTCCATGTAGTATGTGTGTAGTATGTGCGGGGAGGAGCATCCCCACGTGCTGACAGCTTCAGAGTCCTCTTTGTCTTACTGTGTTTGATCACCTGATGGGCAATAGTAGCGTTTTTGACTCAATACCAGGCTGGAAAGTGCATAGTTGCTATATTAGCATGGTTATACTTGAACCCTGCAGAGGGTACCCAAACTAAAGCCAGGATCTATACTTTGAATCATTTCCCATATTATTTTAATCCTCTACTTTAATGATTATACAATTAAGGTAAGTGCTAACAATACATTTCAAATAAATAAAATTTTTACTAGGTCTCCAATCTGTATTGCAGTTTTCCCAACAGAATTTGACTTTTTCCTCTGTGATAGTCCCTTGTAGTAATTATCTGGCATTCTCCCAGCTCCTTAACCCACCAGCCTGAGAACACTGAGTCTCTGTCTCCTATTTGTGTCATGTGATGGCACAAGTCCGAATGTGTGTGTTACTATCAAACATCAGTTTCCTCCATCTGCATATTCTCCCCGAATTTTCCTTACTTTACACTTAGTTAAGGGTTAAGGTAGCATCATCCACTAACAATGATCTTACTTTTGGGAGAAAATCCCTTTAGCGGGTGCATATTAGAGAAAAGCTCTAATTTGCACTTCAATGGTAGCTACACTTCAAAAGTCCCCACACCATCAACAAATTGAGCCGGGTGGTCTAAACATGTTCAAATAGTGTTTACAAGGAGAGGCTGAAACATCTTCAAAGATGAAGCAATTATCTGTGACTGTGAGGGAGATTGATCTCCTGGTGATCAGTAATGGCTTTAATAACGGGATTAAATCATTCTGTGTGCTGTGATAAACACTGGCCATGTGTATAGGCTTCATAACTGACATAGGGTGCTGTTGCCTAACAGGATTATCTGAAGAACTACAGATGCAACATCAAACAGGAGGATTATTTTCCCTTTCTGTGCTCCAAGTTTTCTGTCTTCTCTTGTTTCTGTTTCCTATTTTTACCCCTTTCCTCATCCCTCACTCCACACAGCTGATCTCTCCCACCTCCTCTCTCCAGGTGATTTGTCTTCTCCCTATCACAGTGCTCCTGCCCTCCTTTTGATTTTTCTCCTCGATGTTCTTTCTCCCTCGTCACAACCCTCTCTCCCCTCCTTCTCCTTCCTGCTCCACCCACACTCCTGTGTCCTTTACTCTTTTTCTCCCTGCAACGTCTCTACTCTTCGTCCTGCATTATTTTCCGACATTCTTTCTCCCTCACCCATCTACGTCACCCCCTCACACTCTTTCCCTCTGTGTTGTGGAAGTTGAGCCCTTTGTGGGGATACCGCGCCGAAGACCTCTCTCCTTCTGCCTCTGCTGTTCCCCTGAAGGTAACGTAACCCTGCCGCCTCTGCTGACGGTTGTGGCGGGTTACCATGGCAACCGTACGGATCTCCAGAACCGGGCTATCCCCTTGCGCTCCTCCCCATCATCCTCCCAACTGGTCCTTCTCCTCTTCCTGTTCTCACAGTTTGTGTGTGTTAAGGCTCAGTAGATTTCCCTGAAATGTTCCCAAAACTCAGTGAAGTATTGAGATTTATCAAGATTTATTAAAAATGTTGAATTTTTTTTAGGGTTACGTAACCTGAAACCCTACAAAATGATAGCTAGTTAGCTTATGCCCCTTGACTTGGAAAGCAATAGGTTATTCTGTAGGTAGTAAGTTAGTTTGCTCAGAATCTTAAGGTTTGCAGCAAACACACTGTTTCATCCATTCTTTACACTTTGGCTGTGTTGGTGTTGTTTTGTAAAGTTACAAAAAAAGACACTAGCATTCAAACTATTTTAATAGTATATAATAGCTCAGCTTTTACTAGGGTGTGATTCACACAGTTCCAACATAAGGAGAAATCCAAAGCTCGACAGGCCTGCTGTGTAGAACCATGTTTCCCAAAAAGTTGGCACGCTGTGTAAAATGTAAATAAATAATATAACATAATGTGATGTCGAAACCCCATATTTAATTGAAAATAGCACAAAGACAACTTATCAAATGTTGGAACTTAAAATTGTATTGTTTTTGGAAAATTGTATGCTCATTTCAAATTTGATGCCAGCAACATGTTTCAAGAAGTTAGGACAGTGTCAACAAAAGATTTTAAAAGTTTTAAAAGAGAAAAATGCAAGTTGAAACTCTACCATGCAAAGAGGAAACTGTATACACACCAGTTCCAGAAACGCCGCTGCCTTCTGTGGGCTCAGGCTCATTTAAGATGGACTGAGGAAAAGTGGTGAACTGTCCTGTGGTCTGATGAGTCAAAATTTTAAATTCTGTTTGTTTGTTTCTGAAATCATGGACCCCGCATCCCCCGCATCCTCTGGGCTAAAGAAGAGAGGGAACATACAGCTTGTTATCAGAGGCCAGTGTAAAAGCCAGCATCCATGATGGTATGGTGGTGCATTCCTGCATATGGCATGGGTAACCTGCATATATTTGTAAAGGCACCATTAATGCTGAACAATAGATACAGGTTTTGGAGCAACATATGCTTCCAAGTAGACAACATATTTTTCATAACCAGCCTTGCTTATTTCAGAAGGAAAATGCCAAACCACATTCTGCACGTATTACAAAGGCATGGCTGCGTTGTAAATGAGTCCAGGTGCTAAAATGCCTGCAGACCTGACTCGTCACCCATTGAAAATGTTTGCCATATTGTGAAACGAAAAATGCGACAAAGGAGACCCAGAACTGTTGAGAAGACTGTAAGAATGGGAAAATATTCCACTTTTAAGATTACAGCAGTTGGTCTCCTCAGTTCCCAGACGCTTACAGAGTGTTGTTAAAAGAAGAGGTGATGCAACAGAGTGGTGGCATCAAATTCAAATGGGGCATATCATTTTCTAAAAACTAACATTTTGTTGTCTTCATACTATTTTCAGTAAATACGGGGTTTCAATGTCTCGCACATCATCGCATTTTGTTTACTTTTACATTTTACACAGCGTGCCAACTTTTTTGGAAACAGAGTTGTAGTAAGCCGAGTGGAAACCTGATGCATATACTGTTTGTTATGCAATTCTCAGTCAACTGCACAATCAGAGTCTCACAAAATGGATAATAGAAAAAAGATATTTGAAGCTGCATTTACTCAAAGGGGAACCTACTCTGCTATCGTGTGTCTTTAATCAACAGCATGTGTTCCGTTTTCTGTTTAGCCAAAATGAACCGTAAAGCTTTATAGTCCTTTTTGGAGTATTCATTTTTGCTGTTGTTTTTAGAGATTCTGCATCATCTGCATCTTGTCCCTTGAATAAATGATAAAAGTGTCATTTAATCATAAAATGATAATAAACACGAGCGGTGAACACCTTGAGACGTGGCTAGCTCGCGGGCAAGTTCGTGGGTCAAGGAGTGAGAAACTTGCATGGTGTGAGAGTTTGTTATAAATATTCAAGTCTCACACACAACAAGTCTTAAAAAATTAATGGATCATCTGTTTTTTTTCCCATATCTAACACCTGTCAGTGGAAATTTTGCCTGAGCTCCTAATCCGTGTGAAGAAACATGCTTTTCTGTTTGTGTGAGCATTTTTCTATTTTTTTCTTTTCTTTTCTTTTTATTGCTGTTTTTGTACCGGTGGCTCTTCTGTCCTTTGTGTTCGGAGCCTTGGGCTGAGGGTTGGCGGCGGTGGAACAGGTTGAAATAGTTCAGGAGAAAAAGAAAAACGCCGATTCGTAGGATAGGTTTGGAAACTTAGCCATGCTTTTATAATTCCTCCTTCGTCTCCACATGTTGTTTTCCTCTCCAGTGTGAGCTACTCTTCTCCAGCTTTTGCCTCTCTCTGTCCCTTGTCTGTTAATTAGCGAAAGCCAGCCCCCTGAGACCACAACCATGCAATTTATGTGTGTACAATGTTTTTCCTTTTCATTTTGCAAGAGCCTCCTCTTCCCCAGCTAAGTATGTCACGCTGCATCGAGGTTTGCCCTCCAGTGTTTCAGTGAAACCGCTTGGCTCCACCTGCAGCAGTCAGATAAATGTAAAGGATGCATCGTCCCAGCAGGAGACCTTTCTAAGCATGCCACATAGACTGGTCTTCTCTGCAATACAGTGGGACTGCTGCAGATGTGTACAGCTCTTCTGCACTCTGACTGGTAGAGCTGATTATGAAAAATGCAATGCATGATGCTAGTAGCACAGAACATGCTTTACCCTGAGGCAGACTTAAGAGAGGAGTGTGAACTTCACTGTTGGCCTCAATGATAAGTCATCCCATGAACATTTGACCTTGTAACGGAATATGTAAAGACAGCAGAATAATACATACATTTTTCCTCTACCCTCAACCGCTCAGCAGGAATGGTATCTAGAATGATTTTATTTCAGCTGCTGGGTTAATATGTGGGCAGGGGAAAAGCATTTCCATAGGTCCTTGGTGTTTGTGGTTTTTCTCACTGAACACTCACTCAGGAACTGATAGGAGGAGGTAGTTGCTCCCAAAGAGCAGCTACATTGACACAAAAACCAAACTGGGAAACACACACTCTCAACTTTGCAACAACAGGTATTGTCTGTCTGTGCGTGTGTGGGTTGTGTGCGCGTGTATGCAAAAGTTTGCCAAAGTTGAAACCTGTAGCTCCACGCCATCTTCCGTGCGCCATCTTTAAGTATGGCGCGTGTCGAGTCTGTCCTTCCACCTCACCATCCCTCAGAGAGGACATCCTGGCTTGGCTGTCATTGCATTGCCTGTGTCAGTCCTTGTCTGTGTGACATCAGTGCCTTCTCCCAGCCATCTGGCTTCTCACTCCCACTCTTTTCCTCCTCCTTTCCCCCAGGCATGGGCAAGAAGGACGATCCCAAGCTAATGCAAGAGTGGTTCAAGCTGGTGCAGGAGAAAAATGCCCTGGTCCGCTATGAGTCAGAACTCATGATATTGTAAGTACATTACTGTTGGGAGTAATATAAACAGCTAATTGGAAAGTTTTATTCTGTTTGTTTTTTTTATTCTCATGTAGGTGCTTGTATGTATCAAAACAACTGAGTTATGTTATAACTTGTCAAAATGTAGTAAAAAGACTATAAACTGGCTATCACCTTCAGCTGCAGCCTCACTTTGACTAGGCTACGCTTTGAGTTTAGTGCTCAGATTATCTTGATACCGTGCATACAGTTAGGTTGATAACGTGTTAATGTTTAGCATGCTGTTTTAGCATTACTCTCAAAGTACAGCTGAGGTTGACTCAAGTCTTGGTCAAGTGGAACATTTGACTTGCGGAAGGCGCTGTAGGGACATGTCGAGAGATCACCAAAGTTATAAAGATTGGTTCCTGGAACCATGATTGTCTGCAATAGTTCACTCTAAACCAAACAGAGCAGAGCCTGCGCCAGCCTGACTAAAAATGTAATGCAACCTGTAATACCTGTGATAAACTGCCTGTTGATGTAATAATTTTTCATAATTTATGTACAAGGCAATTATAGCCTGATAAGGAGTATACAGATGATACAATAATGACTTATTACCTCTTTATTATTATGATTATTAATATTACATCATGAATTAAAAAAAAGGTTAGCCCTCAAAGAGTCATAATCATTTTTCAACATAATGATATGAGATCACATTTGCAATCCATTTACAAAAACAACTTCATTACATTCTGACAAGTCATTAAATTATCTAGTGTTATCTCATTATCAGTTTCTAAGAGCAAAACATTTGATTAACTATTCATCTTTTGTGGACCAAACAAATAATAATAAGAATAAATCCTGCTTAGATAAATGGCGATACAGCCAAAAAACATACACGTTGGAAGCTATAATTCTTCAGTGAAACAAACTTAGCTTGTCCATGTTTTTCTCTTCTGTCCCCAAGTGCCAGAGAGCTGGAGCTGGAGGACCGGCAGAGCCGACTGCAGCAGGAACTCAGGGAGCGAATGGCTGTGGAAGGTGAATGCAGGAGTATTCATTAACGCTAGCAGCCCGGTCACTTTAGCTCTAAATGTTTATATCTGTATAATCCGATCACTTTCTCTTTAACTCCATGTTTTCCCTGTGCCTCTCTCAGACCACCTGAAGACTGAGAAGGAGCTCGCACAAGAGAAGCAGATCCTGAATGAGATGTTGGAGGTGGTGGAGCAGCGTGATGCCCTGGTGGCCCTCTTGGAGGAGCAGAGGCTTCGGGAGAAGGAGGAGGACAAGGACCTGGAGTCCGTTATGCTCTCCAAAGGATTCAACCTCAACTGGGCTTAAGAGGAGTGAAACAATTGACTTCTGTAATGGTCATCTTTGAATCAGAATAGGCTGCTGAACACCTGCAGCAGTGAATGTGTAAAGATTCCCCCAACACATACACACACACACACACACACATGCACACACTACGGCTGTCTCTGACATTGGGGTAGTCTGCAACGTTTACATATCCTCTGCCCAAAGGCAGTCCAAGTTAATCACTTTGCAGTTTTGCTTGTTTTGCTCTCTCTCTGTGGGTGGAGAGGCGAGGACATTCACAGCTTTATCATCCCAGCCTTGAAGTGGATTCTCTCAAACAGGGAAGGGAGGAGGGACGGGGGGCTTGGGGAGAATGTTAAAGACTCGTTTCATTCTCGGTTATCTAAAGGGAATAGTGCAGTTCAGTCCTGCTGATGTAAAGGAATTGTAAAGAATTGTGTTTTTCTGTATAGTTGTGTAGAACAAGTCACATATTCAGCGTAGGAGGGTCATCTCTTCCATAAAGGACTGCTGCAGAGGTGGGTTTTAAATGCTGGAGTGATGTCTCCAGTGTCGATCTCAGATTCTCCTTTTCAGTCTGACTGTGGGGAGGACATCCTCTGCTGAAGCTGCCTTTCTATCCAGTGACAAACTGACTTCCGCATCTTAATGAACCACAAAGACAACAAGGAAATCTAGCCCCCTCTCTTTTTTTCCCTCCACAGAGTGTTTAGTGAGTCAACACTAAGAATTCATTAAATAAGGCCATGTTTTTATGCATTTATTATCTTTTGTTTGCATTTAACAGATAAATATTTTCTTTTGTTTTGCATTCACAGGAGAGTGCCCAGAATCTCATTGTCTTGTACTTGTGCATATCTCCCAGGCACCCGTAAGCCATTGCATGTCGGGAATGAAGGCTGCAGGCAAATAGAAGAACTTAACCTTGTCTTTGATAGCGAGGACACAGAAAACAGACTTACACTTTATAGGAACACTAAATCATTTCACATGACTTGATAATGACGGGCCTCTTCGGGACATGCCATTCACTGTATATCACACTGACAGTTTGAAGTTTACAAATACATATCGATCGTGTTCAAGTTGGTAAACTGTAGCGAGGTAAAACAACTGTTAAAAGGAGTCATCTCTGAAGGAACTGTCTCGTCATGTTCAGATACATGTCCTACAATATGTGTAGGACGTCATCGTTAATGAAGCCGATTTCACTGTTAGTGGATGGTCAGCGTAGCTCACATTATTCATTTTGTGCCACAGGACTGTCTCTGTTGGTGGATGCGCTGCAATATCTGAGGAGTACACCACAAGAACTTACACACTTACACCAGTATATGGCAGTGTTAATACTTTACCCTTGAACTAGATGCCTTTTTTTATTTTCATTCTCCATACTTATTATATTATATTATTTCATTTCTGAGTTATCTTGTTTTGGAGGTAGTCACATCCATGTAACCCACTGGAACTTGAGATTTTTTTACCTGTTTTTTTTTTCTCAAATACTTTTATCCAGCCGGTCCCCAAACAAACAAATAGATTACTTTAAATGGGGCGCTAAAGAAATGCAAAGTGCTTGATGAGCAACTTGTATCAAACAGGAACATTGTGGTTTATCTGGTAGGCAGTCACATCCAGTAGCCTTTATGACAACTGTACAAATCCAGGCGGTCACTGTTTTACAGCACAGAAACACTAGAGGCTATATTTATGACTTGGTATGAGCTGTGAATATATAAAAAAAAAAAAAGAAAAGAGAAAAAAAAGTTATATAATTTTAAGGGTTGTCATTTTAGATGGTGCGTCACACATTTGACATGATTGTATTGATATTTATTAACATTTGTGCAAACTGTATTATATGTAAAGAAAATGAATCCTAATTTTTAAAGCGTTCTGTTGACACAAGACTTGTAATGTAAATGCTTCATGTAGCTAAAATGCATAGGGGTGTTGGATGTATGCTGAGAACGGCAATAAAACAATGCAGTTGTTCTTTTAACTGTTTGTTCACTAAAATGTTATTTTTTAATTGTATGGATTATGATTATCAACAAGTAGGGTCAATATGGGCAGAAATGTCGACGTGATATGAAAACTTTCTTTGATCGTGAAGCCTTATTTTACTCTTCAGTTCTGTGGTTTATCAGTGAAGTGTGTCAGTTGCACTGCAGACACTCTGCTCATATGAAACGTCTGTATCCTCACTGCGCTGCATTATTATAAACTATGATGAAATAGCCATGAGTCACATCTCTGCCTTCCAGGCGATTCCTTTATTGTGTCTTGTATTGATGTATGAGCGTCTTCTTTAATGATTTACTTTAATGATTAGAGAGGCTGCAATCAGTGCATCCCGATTGATCCTGTCAAAAAGCTAGATTTAAACACTCATTGAAGTTATGTTGCTGTCCCTCATGGGTAAATGCACACAGGGTTTCTCTTGATGGGGAGCAATTTTCTATCTGAATAATTCACCTTTTAAATAGCAGGGAAATACTATGCCATTGACTTTAGACCAGATTTTTGTTGATCAATGGCGCAATTGCTTTCTGCTGCTTCAAGATAGCAATCTGACGACCATGCACCTGACCACACCTCAGTTGTAGTTTACGTATACATACATTACGTTTAGGTTATCCAATTTGATCCTTGAAGGCAAGGGTGTCAGCATCTGTAACTGAAGTAAAATGAATTAATGATATTGCTGAAGGCTGGAAATACATTGGCTAAAAATAACTAATGCAAACTGAACACATAACGTTAGCCTACATAATCTTCACTTTGATCATTTTACAAGAGCAGTAACAATTATAGTCTCCCATATTGGTTTTAATAATTGCTCACAGTTCAAAACACATGCATGCCAAGTTATGGCATGAGAGAGAAAAGCCTTTATAAATGGTAACTTACATGGTGATGGACATTCTTTATCCTCCATGGTCGATGAATTTTATCATTTGAGTTTGAGAATGGTGGGATGGCATTATCTCCTTTTTTTTCCCCCCGTAAAGGATGGTCCAGTCTATGCTAAAGAAGATAAGAAAGGAAGCATTGAAACACCTTTCCTTAGCATTTACACAATTCAACCAGCTCATATCATGGCTGCCACTTAAATACTTCCAGATCATTTAACTCAGTTAGGAACCTTCCTCAGCAAAAACAGACTTTTCAACCGCAGCCCAACCCTCCCATGGGCACACAGATGGACGCAAGTGCATTTGTTATATACACAACGTGGGTGCTGGACAGGAAAATGTGACTGAAACTGTGGTGGTTGGAAACCGGCATTGACACTTGCATTGCGCTTTGTGCCGCTCTGCGCAGTGCTGGTGCCGTAGAATACTCATTTTTGGGTTTCTACTAGAAAATGTTTACGTGCTTGAATCTTAATGAAACGCATTGTTTTCTTCTCATTGTCCACTGCTTCAGCACCTCTTTTCACCTTCTTTCTGAACACACCATTTTAGCTGTGGCCTCTTGAAGGCTCTATGAGATCATATGACCGCTTCTCTAGAACATGGGCTGGTATATGTAAATTTTGGGGGCGTAAATATTAATGATCCTAGATGTTGACTCACCTGACTGACAGGAGTCAGCAGGTGAGGCTTGGGAACACCACATCCAGCACCTGGACTATTAGCACTGGCGTCCCCAAGGGGTGTGTGCGTTCTCCCCCCTGCTCTTCTCCCTCTACACCAACAACTGCACCTCAGGAGAACCATCTGTCAAACTCCTGAAGTTCACTGATGACACGACGGTCATCGGCCTCATCCGGGACGGTGACGAGTCGGCGTACAGATGGGAGGTTTATCAGCTGGCTCTCTGGTGCAGCCAGAACAGCCTAGAGCTTTACATGGTCAAAACTGTGGAGATGATCGTGGACTTCAGGAGGAGCCCCCCGACCCTGCCCAATAGCCCTGTGTCTGCTGTGGAATCCTTCAGGTTTCTGGGGTCCATTATATCCCAGACCTAAAGTGGAAGCCCAACACTGGCACCATCATCAAGAAGGCCACTTCTACACAGCCATCATCCAGTCTGTCCTCTTCACTTCCATCCCAGTCTGGTTTGGATCTTCCACCAAAAAGGACAGCAGCAGACTACAACTGACAGTCAGAAAAGATCATCGGTGCCAACCTGTCCTCCATTCAAGACATTTCCAGAGTCAGGAAACGGGCAGGAAACATCACTGCAGATCCATCTCACCTCGGACACAACCTGTTCCAGCTCCTCCCCTCTGGTAGGCGCTACAAAGCACTGTATGACAAAACCAACAGACTCAGGAACAGTTTCTTCCCACAAGCCATCACTCTGACTCACAGTGTCAGGAACAACTCCTGTGTAATAATCCAGTAACTCTGCCTCTAATCAGCCACCTGTTTACTGCCCACGATTTATTATTTATTCATAATTTTCTATTTCAGTGCTGTTCATTTTGTTCATATTTTTATATTGTCATATTGTAGGCTACTGTGTACCAAATCCACCTACCTCAAGTACATAACACCTGCACATAATACTTATTTATCCCAGGATCCTTTGCACTATGCTCCATCACACTGTGTACATCTGTACATGTATGCATGTATGTGTACCTGCATATCACATTCACCTCCGACATGTACATAATAATAATATATTATGATAATAATAATTTACTCCTGCATCCTTTGCACTCTCCATCTGTCTATGTTGTTTTTGTTTCTGTTTATAGTACTTGGGCAGTGGTGGCCCAAAGGTTAGAGAAGCGAGCTTTTATCGCTGGTTCAATCCCCGGACCGGCAGGATAAAATCTGGGTGTGGAAAGTAAACCAAGCAGTGCTTGCCCTCCCTCATTTACCACCACTGAGGTGCCCTTGATCAAGGACCATAACCCCAACAGCTCCAGTGGAGCTGCTTAGTGGCCAGCAGACCAGGCTGCGGTGGGCAGCTTCCAGGTGTGAATGTGTAACAGTGTGAATGTGTAACAGTGTGAATGTGATCAGGGCCTTCCTGCAAAAGAGAGGCTTCCTCTCAGTGAAGTTTCCCTGAATAAAAAAAGGTTAAAAAATACATAAATAAATAAATAGTCTGTATACATTGTGTAGCCTGTGTCTGATTTTATTTTATCTTATTTTATAATTGTATTAGTTTATTAGTAAGCAACGTACAACCCTGAGTCAAAGCTGATTCTGCTTCTGATGTTGCCTTACATCTAGCATTCATTTGCCCATTTCCCCCTGTCTTTTGGATGTGCGAGATTTACATCTGAAGTAGGAACAATGGTGACTGAGGCTCACGGTATGTCAGTTCCATGTACTAAACTTATTCAGCTATGACAAAGTAAATACAGTTTTCCATTCTACGGCACGTTTAAGTCTTTAAGCCCAACCCGAGAAACGCTAACGACATCATTAGGGGGCAGAGGTGGGTAGTAACGAGTTACATTTACTACGTTACATGTAGGCCTATTCAAGTAACTTTTTTGAGTAAATTGTACTTGTCAGTGTAGTTTTAATGCATCATACTTTTACTCTTACTTGAGTAGTTTTTTAAGTGAAAAATCATTACTTTTACTCTTGGATACATTCATCGTGCTACTTTGCTACTTATTTATTTATTTACCGCAGTCAAGCATCCACATGACTCTGTCCTGCTCTAACAGAGTATAAAATGCATGAAGCTACAGCATGGTGCATGGCTTTCAAATGGCACTAGCAGCTAATATTTAGGCTACAGATGGATGTGACTGATGTAATGTTTCAACCACAGATGATCTTCCTCAGCATAAAGAGGTGAACACACCTGGATTTAATAAGCAATACATTAGCAAAAACATCACAGAATTATCTCCTTATTTGATTTGTTTGCCAAATCTTAATTTACTTTTGGGGACAACAAGAAAATAATTTATATTTAAAAAAATTCAATTTACTTATTGGAGTACTAACAGACCATAATATTAATGCAATATTTTGTAATCACACTTGATGGATGCACACTGGGAATGTTGTCCTGGTGTAAATGTGGCAGTTTATCTGATCAGGTGATGATGACTTGTCATTTCATCACAAATAAATACAAGTGTATGTTCACTTACCTTTACCCCAGGAAGACCATCTAAAACAATTCTAGTCACATCCACATCAAATAAAAGACTAAGGGTAAATTAACCATTGTTTTTTTTCTTCTTTTAGTAAATACTTTCTTACTCTTAGTCAAATACGTCTTTGGGCTGCTCTATCCACCTCTGTTATTCTCTAATAACCGTTGATGATGGGTCATTTTCTCAGACCTGACAGAGCCACAGAAGACAACTGTTTTTCCAATCCTGCTCAGTACAAGAAAACTTATCTATGTCTATAATTAGTAGAATGCATCTTTAACCGTCAAGAAGCTGTGTGCTAAAGGCCAGTTAACAAAATTAAAGCATGAAATTCAACCCGCAGGTAACAGTGCAGAGTTTTGTCCATTCTTCTCATTAACATGAGAAAACACTTAATAAGTTTATTATTGAAGTAAATATAACTTCCCACAATCTATGGTCACTTTGGTACAAATTTTTCTACATGCACTTATTTTGAAAGCAAGTCGACTCAAGTTAACGTCCGGTCTTTTTTTTCCCCCTAATAATTTGCTGAATCTCCAGCGTGTGGTTCAAAGTTTGGAGAAGCTGCAGCTAAAAAATGTTGTCTCCGAGTTTCAGGGACTGCAAGGTTAGTGACTGGGCTTCAGAAAGAAGTAGCAACATCATAAAAAGGTAAAGATTTTGGCAAAAGAATAGCACGAGAAGAGAAACGTCACTCTGTTTGTTTGGCGTTTGAGAAGTGTTGCGGTTCTGAGTAAACTAAAGCGAAAATATGGCGATATGGGAAGGGTGGGATGGGATTAACAAAATACAGACTGTGAATGTTAGGCTGGTAACTGCAACAGCAGGCAAACAAAGAAATGTATCAAATGTTAATGTATGCTATGGATAACTGTGTCTGAATCAGTGTCTTTTTCGGGACATGCAGTTTTGCTTTGTAACGTTGACATTGAAAACAGTTTATAGGGTGGGATGAATCGATCTCGAACCCCATTCACTTTAAATATAAGCCAGGTGTCCACAATTTATAGTCTCTTGGGTGACATGTAAGAGAAGGCAACGTGTGTGTATTGATACACTCATATATACAGTAATTTTCTGCGTCCTAATACTCGTGTCCCTTACAGGCATGGAGGGCAGAGGGTCTTCCACTGACCACCAGCAGCAATGAGGCTTGCAAACTATATGACGCCATCCTCACTCAGGTAGGCTGCACCTACGTACACATGCACACAGTGTTAATATGCACACTACTGTATAATATTTTTACAACATCTCAATTTTGATTGGCTCCTAGTATGTGAAATGGCGAAATGATGAAACCTTGGGAGGATTTGAAGGATGCATTTCTGCTGTCCAGGCAGCTGACCCCAACTTTGGTAAATATACATGTGGTCAGACATTATGTATTTGAATTATTTCACCCTTTACTTAACCAGGTAATACCTGATGACGCATGGAAACTGTAAAAGTAGGCTTGGCTAGGAGGCAACAGCAAATCAGTGTTTATGAACAATGAAGATGAAGAAAATTAAAATGAGGGGATAAAGGTTACCGTGCTAAATTTATCCACTGCAAAAATAACCTAATTAAAAATGACACTGACCCTCTATACTTTAAATAAACATAGGGAGTTCTTGGATAAAGGGAGCAACAGTCATTAAAGCTTTCTAGTCGTCTCTCATGCTTTGGGGTCATTAAAGAATGTAAAATTAGGCTAAACATACCGAGTAACATAAGCACATAAATAGAAGGGCCATGACCTGTAAAAGGCAGACGCACCGCTCAGCTAAACAAAGACAGACACTTTCCAAATGGACCTTTTTTAACGATTATATTGGTATTTGTAGGTGCACATAAAGCGCAGGTGCAATTAATGATTTTAGTCCGTATAGGTGAACCAGTTAATGACAGTGGACCTGAGGCATAATAACTGTTATTAGTTACACCGGTGCTTTGTCTGATACGGTGAAGCTTTGGATAGTTAGAAACAACTTGTCACATGTACTGTCATTTTATTTACCAAAAGCATTGATTTGTTGACCTTGAGATCTTGTCGATGATTGAGATGCTTCTGTTTATCACGATGTGTTAAGTTTGAGCGGTCATCAAGTCGTGGCTATTTTTAAATGTAGATGAATCAAACTTCCGTTGTACAGGAAGTTGTTGGGGAACTTGACTGCTGAAAAATACAGGATCCAGCCGTTCAGTATCTGTGTTGTGGTTACATAAGGAAAACAAATTGAGGTCTTCAGGTTTAATATTAATTTGATTGCTAACATGAATCATAAGCAACAGATGCATCCAGTCTGAATGTATAAATAAAACACAATTGTCTTTGCTGATGTTCTTGTTTAAGCTCAATTAAATAAAAAAACAACAACAACAATGTATTTATCATTAGCAACTTTGTAACCACATAAAAGTTTACTTTAGTTGTTGTTGTAGAAAATTATTCTTGGAGCTTGTTCAAATTATAATTAGTGACTGGAGCATCCAGTTTGTAAGTCAAAATAAACAGTGAGTTACTAGTGAGCAATGTCACGTTACCCTAAGGGCACACTATGGGTACAAAACCTTGTTTTAATTTTATCTCTTATTAAACATGAACAAAAGGTTTTGTTGGTTGGCTTTGCTTAAGAATAAATACAATTACTTAAAGGTGCTCCTTTATATACATTGCCATCACATCAAAGCGCATGTGATTTTTCATGCATGTGAAATTGGAGTAAGAAAGTCGAGAAGAAAAGACCATTGTTATCTGTTTTCCCTGTAGTTATGGGCCATGTGATCAGTACGGGGCTTGAGCTGGTGGCAACCACGAGCTCCACTCGCCTGAATGAGCGTCTGGCCAGCGCTGTGAGGCGAACAGTGGAGCTGGCCAACAGCCAGGACATCGCTCCCAGAGAGAGGCTCCATGTCAAGGCTATAGAGCTCTTCTCACATGGGTAAGATCCAGAGCCAGGATTGCCACAGCAAAAGTAGTAAAAACAGAGGGAGAAATAAGAATATGGTTGGACAAGGGCCAGTTGTTACCAAAGAGGAGTCGCAAGACAACAAGTGCCCTTTGTAATAGTAATAGGGGATCCAAAGGTTTGGATATAAGGTATGAAACTGTGATGTTATAAAAATGAACTATTAGTCATCACTTAAACAACAGATTATCATAACCATTTTAAATGTTCATCTGAGAAACATATTCCTAACAGACAACAGTTGTCTGTACAGGCATCCTGCAAAATAAAATAAGTATAAAATAAAGTCTTGTTGCATAGAAACTAAATGACTCTTGTCTCATACTCATCTTTTGATCTTAAACCCAAATGTCTTCAGTGAACAACAAAACCAAAGGAATTTGCCTTACCATTCCAATACTTTTGGAGGGGACTGTATCACTGCAGTCTTCTTATCTATATATATATATATATATATATATATATATATATATATATATATATATATATATATATGTGTGTGTGTGTGTGTATATATCTGAACAAGATAGACATTTCCACTGATTTAGTGTAACAGTTTTGAAGTGTGAGCTACAACATTAGGTCCCAATAGGGAAGAGATCAGTTTTTTTTATCACCACAGCAGAAGAAACAGGCTGCCTGTGAATGAATGACGTCAAACCTACAAGAATGTGTGTTATTGACAATATTCATTCTTCCTAAGTTCATCTTTTTCTCCCCCCCATGTAATGCAGCCACATGCTTTAAATCCTCACTATTCATGTGTTACATTGGGTGCCAAAGACTCTTTGTAAATTTCAGTTAGGGTCTAGCAAGTAAAATGTTTGTTTGATCTGCGGTGTCTTTTTTTCTCCATGGTATAATAGGATATACTTTTAATGTTGAGAAGTCATTTTGTTTCTCTGGTTCCCTCCATTCAGCACAAAGCATATTGACGTCTCTGTCACTCTTATGGTACACTCATCATGTTGTTCTTCATTGCTTCACAGAACTGTGCCTGTCTTTAACATTGACTCATGTGTCTTGTAGGAATTTTCCCAAGGCCTGCGATGCATGGGAAGACATTCTGGTCGATCACCCCACTGATATGCTGGCTCTCAAGTTTGCCCATGATGCTTACTTCTACATGGGAGCCCAAATCCAGATGAGGGACTCTGTGGCCAGGGTGCTGCCCCACTGGAAACCACATATGCCTTTGTCTAGGTATAGAAGACAGCATACATTTCATGAGAAGCTAACCGTTATTCGTTAGAATACGCCCTTTTTATCTACAGAGGGAGTGGGTCCCCTTCCGCAAGTCCACCACGTTGCGCCGCCATATTTCTACTGTTCATAGTTAATGTGTAATACTGAACATTTTGAAATTAGAATGGTGATTGTACTATGGACAAAAAAATATTAGTGATTGCAGGTTTAAAACAATTTGTTTTTTCTGGAGTAGCTCCATTAAATATGCAAATGTTATGACACAGGAAAATACATACGCATATGCATGTATTGATATATGAATGATATATATATGTAGCTTAAAAATGTTTTTTGAGTTGCAGGTGAGCAAAAACAGCCATGAAAGAAAAACAAGTATGCTGGTTAGCTGGTGGAAATGAGGGATGTGGTTCTTACTGAGTAGAGAGGGTTTCAAGAAAGTCTATTGAGGTGATTGAACCTGCAGAGTGTAATTTCTCACACACAGAGTAGACTCATCCTTCATCCTGCCATTTTGCTTGTCCTTTATGTATGACAACTTTCCGCATACTTTCTTGAACAACACATAGTCACAACACATAGTGTGTGTGTGTGTGTGGATAGATAGATAGATAGATAGATAGATAGATATATGCATATAGATGCGTCAGACCAAACATCCAAATCCATTTCATATTTTAAAATTTAATGGTGACACTCATGTCTCACAACAGTGATCTCTCCAAGCTATGTTTGTATTATGGAGAAAACCCCTCAGTATACTGTCACAGCATTACCACAGTGAAAATGAAAGCCGATATTCCCACATAGTGTGAAGGCAGTTAACAACATGGTCAAAAGTGGGTGATGGCACCCAAAAAGCTGACACCAATGTAATGATCATGTTGACTTAAAAAAGCAAAAAAAAGCAAATTGGGGTCACTTCAAATTACTCTCATTTTATGGCCCTTAGCTATCATTGTTATTGCTTGCGGCATATTCTTCACAAAACCCGTGTCTGCTTTTCATCCTCCTAGATAAATGGAATTGAAATTGTACTTCGTAATGAGAGATTTTTTTGTGTGTGCGTGTGTTTGTGCCTTCAGCTATCTGAAAGGACTGTATTCCTTTGGTCTCCTGGAGACTCGCTTCTATGACCAGGCTGAGAAAGTAGCCATGGAGGTGATATTTTTTTTCCATTATAGTTTGCCTTACGCACTGTTGCCATTATCGTAGCAGGGTGGTCCAGGCTGTCTGTCCCTGCGCTGATTGTGTCTGTTCAATTTGGCAGTAAGTAATTTGCTGTCGAACGCCAATAATAAGCAGCTCTCTTGTGTAAGACTCTTCTGTGATGACTGCGTAATGCATACAAGGTTGTTGTGACACGAGGGTCATTTGAAAAAAAGCTTGATAAACTTCATAGATGAAACAAAAGAGCTGAGCATGCCATTACTTTTTAATTGTCGTTTTAGCCCAGTGTAACAATGACAGCATTTTTTTTTCTGCATCTGTATTTCTTCATACGGTTAAACTCTCTTGTACAGGGCCTCGCTCTGACTCCAGATGATGCTTGGGCTGTCCACTCTGTAGCCCATGTTTATGAGATGAAGGCAGAGGTGGACAAAGGCTTGAAGTTCATGGAGGGTAGAGAGAAAGACTGGCAGGTACAACCGTAGCACTGTGTTTTTCTGATGAATCCCATCTCATCAACCTTGTACAGTTTGGGGCGGTTTGTCAAAGTTCACTGAATTAAATTACAAATTCAAATACCCTTGGGGAAAATATTTCAAAATGTATTGTTTAATTCCAGGTATCCGATGTGCTGGCCAGTCATAACTACTGGCATTGGGCTCTGTACTTCATCGAGAAGGTAAAGATTATAATGAGTTTTCTCTGTCAAAACTGTAGGAGTGTTTGTGGAACTTGTATTTATGATATCCTTTCCCCTGGGTAATTTGAAGTCTGGAGTTGATTTATATTTCAAGATTAATTTGTGTTTGCATCTGTGCGACACAATCTATCAACCTCACTTATCTCTCAAGTCTGAAATGATTCAAATTCATCTTTCTCACCTCCTCCTCCTCCACAGGGGCAATACGAAGCCGCTCTGCAAATATACGACGCTCAGGTTGGTTTGTGTTGAGAGTTTGCATCCAAACTTTAATGGCATGTCTGTCTGAGTACATACGCACTTCTTTTAAGATCCATGCATGTGCCAGAACACCGAGGATGCAGACTAAAAGCAATGTGAAATCCATGTGAAGATGTTAGAGCCCCCCAATCCCCTTTAGTGTCAACTGCCAAAGCTTTTATTCCCTCTAAAAATAGGAGCGACTATTTTGAAGGAAAGCCCTTTGATATCTCGTACCTTTACAAGAACATAAGAGCATAATGTTACTCACACTTCCATAAATCTGAACACAACGGACATTCTTACTTCAAGTTAGCTGGAATTCATGAATGTTTAACCTCGCATCGGGGGAACCTACCAACACATAAACGTCATTTTTTTAAAAACTTGTTTCTCTGAAAAATGTCATTCTGTGGAGGCAGTTCCATGTTACATCCTTCAGTGTCCTGTTTTTCCTAAGGTATTCAGACGTTGTAAAGCCACAGGATCCATGTTGGATACTGTAGATGCCTGTTCAATGCTCAGCAGACTTGAAATGGAGGGTAAGATACTAGATAGTATGGTGATTTAAGGAAACTGAAGGGATTTTTGATCTACCAGTCAGTCTATCAAATACAATATGAAAATGATGAGTTTGATTTAAATTCTGAAAATGGCACGTGTTGAAGACTGATTGGCCTGATGAAAGTGCTGCAGCAATTATTAAAGTGTTACTAACGGCCTGAAGGGCAACTGAAATGTCTGATTTGAAATAATTAAAGATAGTGTAAGTGAAACTCCTAATGAGGTGAGATAATCTCAGTTATCATACCTCATTAATCTTAAACTCAAGGTGCTGTGTTTGAAATGGATGTAATTAGCAGAACCTCTGCCCACATTTTTACTATATTTGTGTTGGTGCATGTGTCAGGTGTGTGCGTGAAGGACCGCTGGCGAGAGTTGCTCCAGGTAACACAGCCTCACACCGATGATCACGTGACCTTGTTTAATGACCTCCACTTCCTCATGGTGTCGCTGGGAGCTAAAGAGAGCGGGACTTCTCGGCGTCTGCTGGAGGGCCTCCAGGAATTGGCTAAGTAAGTTCACTAAACATTTCTCCCCTTCACTGCAAACCTCAACACTCTATCGGCCTTACATAAGAGCCACACAAGCCTTATGTAAAAACCGAGGCAGAAACAAGGCTGAGCGTAGGATGGCGAGAGAGAGAGAGAGAGAGAGAGAAAAGAGAATTTCGAGCTGCATTCCATCTCAGAGACCGGGGTCTTCCCTCTGCAGCAGATGTACCAGCTGCTGCTGTTTCTGTGGAGTTTTGTGGTTATAATGTGTTCTGGCATCCCTGACCACTGACAGCCTGTGCTGTCCATTTAGTCCGCCACACAACCCATAGAAAAGCTGCCGTTTAAAACCAGTTCTTCAAATTGTCATGTTTTTTCAGTGTTGCATAATATAATGCAAGTCACAAGAGTTTGTGAGTGATGCACCTTTGGGACGGGAAAGCAGCTCTAGAAAGTCAATTCCTAAGAAACAGAAATGTTGTCCGCAACACAGATCTACTTTGAACTAGCAGGCAAGTGATGAGGACATGTTTGAGCTTTGCATTTATTTTATTCCATCACTCACGTGTCACTTTTATTACTGTTGGTTTGGAAGGATTGCAGTTTTACACAGTCCATATTTTTGCCATAATGACATTTTACATATAGAGGCAGTGACTATAAGCATAAGGTTATCCAGGAAAGCCTCACAACCGTATGGAATCCTTTGCCTTACAGTGAAGTGAATCCTACTCAGATGTTTATGCCTTTCACAGTTCAGTAGAATAATGCTGTAAGACCATTGTCAGTCGGTAGAAATAAACCAACCTGGTGCTTGTTCTGTAGATTATGTTCATTGAACTCAAGAGTTTCCTTTATAAAGCCTAGTTGTTTTGCAAAGTTACCTGTAAATCCTAATTAATCTCCAGAGTCCCTTATTGTATGAAATTAGTATTCGAAAGTTTATTTCAACAGTTTCCTGTTTGTTTGAAATCTCCAAAAGTAAAGTTTTAAAAAAAAAATTTACACCACATGTATATCTTTCAGAAAGAACTACTCTTAAAAAGTGTTTAATAATGGTCTTTTGTATGAATTTAATAAATGTGCAACATGTTGCTTTGTCTCTTTTCCTCATTGGTGAAACAGTTAGGTGAGTAGTATATAAGCCTAGATGAAAAATAATAAATAACAGAATAAACACCATATGCTTGCCATTCCTAAACAAATGTATACCCCAAAAACATTCCTGCACTAGTTTCTAAACCTTCTAGCTGTACCAACAAATGTCTTGTCTTTAGTTATAAATCAGTCCTTTCCTTCACAGAGAGCCAGGGGACAATCAGCAACATCAGCTGGCTGGGACTGTTGGTATACCAATGTGTCAGGCCATGATTGAGTACGACCAGGGCAACTACAATCGAGCTGTGGAGCTGCTGTACCCTTTACGCTACCGCGTGGTAGATATAGGTGGCAGTGATGCTCAGGTAAGGTCCACAGAAATAAATAACTGTGGGAAACTCAAAGCAAGTAAGACAAATGAAGCAAAATCAAGTCCAAACCAGACTGCTTTTATGCACAGTTGAAAAGAGTACAGCCTTGAGGCTTTACTTTCTTTGGATACCATTGATCATGCTGAATTATTTTCATGAGCATAACAGAAATCCCTGTTGTCGTGAAATAGGCGAGAGGCAAAGAACGCTCTGCATAAAAGCAAAAGCTTTTCAGTCAGTGGACATACTACATGGTGTGAGAATGTGGAGCACAGTGCACCAATGTATGAATAATGAATCTCTGATGGATGGAGATGGACGTTATGCATCTTATGGTCTTTGTCTTCAGACAAAAAATGGCTCCCAAGGTGCAACAGTGTACATACATACAGTGTAAGACCAAAACATTGGGGCAGGTGTGTGCTCACTAATGGGGTTGTCCACTGTTGTTTACAGAGGGATCTCTTCAATCAGCTTCTCATTCATGCAGCCATGAAATCCGAGAATAAGCACCATCACAAACTGGGAAGGTAATGCACACAGGGATTTCATGCCAAACAGAATGGCTAAATGTTTTTGCCATCAATTTTGTGAAAATGTTTTGCACTATTTGAAGCACTGGATATCATCATGATACCATGTAGCTGCTGTTGGGGGGCGGGGTTCTTTAGTTGCTGTCTTTCCATTTAGATGCATGCATACATATAGAACACAACTATAGAACGTAACTCCCATTATGTAAATGACATCCCCTTTCTGTACACCATGTTATATTTTCATTATTGATCAGGTTAACCTCTCAGCTCGAAGTCTTTCTGAATCTGTGTTCATTTCTTTGTAATGTCTTGTGCTGTGCTGAATTCCTGCAGATGTCTTCTGGCGGAGCGCGATGCCGTGAGGCCGAACTCCCCTTTGACTGATCGTCTGATGCAGAGAGCCTTGGCTCTTCACGACTAGACTGACTGCAGGGTGCGCAGAGAAGTTCCCATGCAAAAAACATTAAAGCAACACGACAATATAAGACTCCTTTACTGGCAGGATCTTGGCATTGTTAAAAAATCTGAAACTTTTTAATGCGGCACTCTTTCCGATGTAGAGCTCAGTGCCCTTTTACATTGCTATTCATGTTAAGCTTTAAAAGTGAACAAATTTGCACCTTTGTCAATATTGTGATCTAATATGATTCACAGGTTGGCAGTTTGAATGATAATGTGAGATATGAGTCGACTGTTTTAGCTAACAAAACTGACTCCTCTAATCAATATAGAGCAGTGGAACTTTTATTAGCAAACATCACATTTAAATATAAATTATTTTCAGAAATAAAATCTTCATGTCAAGATTATTACAAAAACCATGTTCAAAACCAATAAATATACATTTTGCACTTTGCATGTGACAAAGTGCACCCCACTTTGATGTCCGTAGACAACGGCACGTTAACAATAAGAAATGAAACTGTGGCAGTGACATGTCAGAGGAGTACTGTAAATTCTTTTCTTCCCTCCTCTTCCCCTGTGTCGGCGCACTCTCACAACACTGAGGTAATCTCATCCTGGATCTGAGAGATCAGCATCTGGGACAGCACAATGCCTGCAATCTAGAGGACAGAAGCAACCACTTTAGATTACAGAACAGACTCTCTGTAACTGTACAGCCTGTGCCGAGCGTTTCAAGGTCCCTCGGGTGGGGTGGGGGTAGGGCAATGCTCGTTTTGTGAATTGTGTCACTTGAAATAATTGTACAGTCATGTTTACAGGATTATAACAATGTATGCACATCACTTCTTGTAGAGCTGATCACAGCATGTTTCTCACAGCGAGAACTCACACATCCGGTGGCAAACGCAGCTTTTAACAGAGCTTTTCAATAATTAACAGCTTGATTCAAATGCGGCTTGTTATGCAGACAAATCCAGTAATAGCGTTTAGTTAGGATGTGTGCAAGACAGAAAAGAGATCTTCATCATCAGATTTACCACACATCAAAGCAACTGAAATACTAATGCAATTGTTTTGACAGGGCTCATGGGTAATTCTCACGCTTCCGTCTTAGCATAATCTTTGGGGAACCAATCAGCCAGATATGAGAGCGAGAAGGATCAGGTTAAAGATCCAGCGCTAAAGCTGTATGAGAATGCAATGTGACAGTACCCGAATCAATTTGATAAGTAAGCGCACTAATTATTCAGGCAGCTTTTGATAGGAGCTAATTCAATTTCCGTGGTCAATCTAACATATTGACTTGAGTTATTAGCAGTACTTAATGCTGTGGGATGTGAGGTGTGTTGTGCAGTGGTGCTCAGTGAGTAGGAGGGAGTCATTAGTATCCTCCATTTTTAGGCACATAATCTTACATTATCACTTGCAGAGTTCTGCCGCAGTTGCACATTAACCTGCACTTTTGGTCTAGAACAGTGTAATAAATGAATAATGTGCAGTTAAAATTTCATTGTCCCATTGTGCCTAGTTATTGCTGTCTAGGTATAACCCTCCATTTTAAATCAGTTCTATCCCAATGGCCTCCCATTAACCCTACACCCTGTTGGTTTCTTTTATAATATGATTTTTATTCTATTTTTTTTTTCTTTGTACCAGGACAGCGTTATTCTGTGTGACACTCGTGTGACACTACTTGTGCAGGGAAGTTGTTGGACGTGCTCCAATTGATTTGTATGTGTGTTACTTCAGGAAAGGTTCAGGGTCCTGATTGATGAAGTGTTGCTGGGACTATTTCACAGCCCCGTCTAAATGCACCATGCGAGTCTGCCTTTTGAAGGGACAGGGCTCGTCAATATGTTGATTGCTATACGCTCAATGTCGTGAGCCTCCAGTTGATGCCTCTATTGACCTGTGTATGTGAGCTTATTTAGAACAAGACCCAAGTTGTTTCAACTCAGATTTGTCTGAGGTTACCAATGGCAAAGGACTGCTGGCAATTAGTGCACAGCCTGCATTGAGGGCATTGTGTGTGTGGGGGGGGGGGGTTACCTGAGGCAAGGCCAGACCCAGGGCAAGAGCCCCCACCAGCAACAGATGAGACTCGATCCACATAACTGCTCTGTCCGCACAGCCTACCGGGTAGATCAGCTTGTTTGCTTCCAGGTAGTTCTGGGTTTGAATCCCAAAACCGCACATAGTGTTGATCACTGCCTGTGTACCAGATGGACAAAGGCAAATACAGAGTCACAGTTAACAAAAGATTACCTTTTAATCCTTTTCTCTTGAACGATTGAACCTGAAACACTGGAAACAGTATTCAGAAGATACTGCTCATTCACATCTTATGTTAATTTTGTATTGCAACTATTGTGACAGCCATGGGAGAGTTTTGCAGTTGACTGTAGAATATTGGAATAAAATAAGAGGGAAGAAAGCAGCAAGAGAGTGATACAATCATGAACATTTGATGTGACAAGGAATGCTACTCAGTTCCTAAAGCAGCCATGCAGTTACAGGCTATGAACAGCAGGTTGCAGCACTGCATCGGCTCTTCTAGTGTTTAATTAATTGATTTTTCACCCATGTAGAAAAAGGTTGCTGTGATCCGTTTTCCGTGTAGCATGATGTCTAATCAATATTTGTGTGATGGATCTACATGCACTCTTTAGTCTTATGTCCTCATACAAACTAGAAGGAATTGTCATTGGTGGCCAATAAGCTGTACTGCTGTGTGTCTACCCAGAGGTTACACAAGCATTTTGTATGTGTTTTTTGGGCAGGTACAAATGTGTGTATTCATGCATGCATGAGTACAGTATTTACACACATACTGGTTGTGTGCTGGCATGCACCCTTATCTGCACACATTTCATTGTGTTGATTCTGTGCAGACAATATATCATAAAACCTTCATGAAAAAGGGCTTAAATTGAAACTGGTAAATCCCCACTGCTACCGCTGCTACTAAGGTTGGTAATTTTTCTGTGGGCTGCATGTTAGACTGCATATTAACGCTCTACATGTTGAATATGACCCCTATATCCCAGTTGGTTGGCTTCAGCTTGTGTAACTATGTTGATGCAGTTTGGATTGATTTTAAATACTTTCCCAATGATTTATTATAATATTCTGAACTCTTAAAAAAGAAGAAGATGCAAATCTCATGACTTATTAAGACACCCAAGGTGCACTCATCATTCATGCAAGCTGCAGATTCTTCACAAGGGAGAAAGTGGGTGGTCATTATCACACCAGTTTTGCACATGACAACTTACTTCCCCCAAGGGAAAGGAAAGTAATACCAGCAGCAGTTTCTACCTGCAGATGTAGGCTTCATGATGTCTCCTCTGGGCAAAAAAATAAATGGCTTCTGCAGTTTTGACACCGTTTGTGTATCCAATGTCAAAATAATGCAAATAATGGTTGTCAGTGTCAAGGCTTCATTCCAGCATCCACAGACCACTAACGGTCTAGTATGTTGTATAGATCATATTGGATTCTAATGTTTCTAATCTTTTCTAATTAATAACAGCCAGCCAACTGCTGGTGAAACACTCATTAAACCTCAGGAGATTGACATTTCATTTCACTTCACTTATGCAGCCTGACATTGAGTTCATGTTAGCCCTCTTGGGAGGAAGCAGTTATTTTGTTTTGCCCCAACTAATCAGTAGTAGGGGATCTGTCCCTAGCTAGCCAGTATCATTTTCATTTGACATGGAAGCTTTAGTTGCAGTTAAACTTAGCATTTTTCATGTAAATCAAGGAAATATGTTGATTTAAGAGATGTTATCTCTAAGTCGACAACAGCTTGTACAGCTGTGTTGATCTCATCCACCCTTGTCACCATTTTTCCTTCACCGTTTTTCATGAATGTAGCTGGATAGCCAAAATAGTGTCCCCAGTCTTAATTCCTTGTAATTAACTCTGATTGGTCAGTTGTCTCTCTAACTGGAGGAAACAGCTGTCAATGGGCACGACACCAGACCTACAGTATTTGAATTTCTGAACATATCTGAGGCGTGGGCAGCAATCCAGAGGTCTGGGACCAGGCTAATGCTCTTTGCCTTTTAAAATTGCAGGAAGAATATCTGTTCAGAAGCCATTACTTTCATTTCCATCAGCATACCTACATTTGCAGTTCTCTTTTCATAGCGTCTTAACATCTCGCTAGTGTTACTGAAAGACTTAGGTTATGCAAGTAACCTAGTTTTAAACCGTAGCTGTTGCCTGTAAGTGGCAACGGTGGAATCTTTAAGTGCAGGTCGAGAACCTAAGCTGAAACTTGTAGGTGTGCACCTTGGAGCTCAGTTAGTTGCTTCACATTACTCAGAAATCTCTTTTTATATCACAAATGCTAACTGGCATTCAACCTAATATGAGTGTTCTTTGAAGCAGTGTTTATTTTTTACAGTACAGCTAATAGTTTTCCATAAAGCCTTTCTATTGGTTTGTCCACACAGTGTATGTTATGGGGCCATATAGAAAAGCACGCACCTCTCCAGGAACAGGAGTGCAACAGGAGTAAGGCACAGCACAGCGCTCGGAGCTGGGGTTCTCATGTGTACAATTAAAGTACAGGTTCCAAGACCAGTCTGTGTAGTTGTTCCACCCACAACACTTGAACTGGGTGAGAGACAGAGAGAGAGAGGAGGGCACAGTATATTTAGAAACCTGTACTGTACATCCTGCCAATCTGGGCTTCTCCCATGGGAAAACCCAGCCACTCAAGTGTGCCAGTGTGTGCAGATGGAAGAGGAATATCACACGAGGAAGACCCACAGAGTGCAGGAACTGTATGGAACATGTAGGCTCTCTTGTGGCAAATCCTCAATGAGGCCAAAAATAACATGAAACACATAGCTCTGTGGTCTCTAAGTTGTGATTTCCTGGTTTAGTGCTCTGACATATTCAATAAACTGCTAGATGAGATTAATTTGAATACTTGTGTAATGTGGAAAGCTACAGAAAAAAGCAAGCTAAGTGGAATTGGCCAGTGCACCTCTTTCTGGATGTAATCCATCAGGTTCTGCAGATCCAGGTCATCCCTGTAGTGTACGATGGCTTTCTTCACAAACTTTCCCAAAGCATCCCGAGTCTAAGAGAGTGGACATGGGGGAGTTTAAACATTAGAGTAATAGCTTAAATTTGACTTTGACGAGTTCTAAATAATTAAATCTGTTAAGTTTTATAACTTAGTTAAAATTGCCAGAGGTGAACTTATCTACAACTGTCTCCATAACCAGGCTGCTAAGGGCTCAGTGACATGGTGGAACCTCAGGTTTTGTGGCTCCGTTAATTACTTGAGCTACATCTATGAGGAATAAGTGTATTTTTGTGAAACACACAGACACTGGAAATTCTCAAACAACTCAAAAGGGATCATATCTGGGCTAATTTTTTGGTCGATCAGGTGGTCAGTCAGGCTTTTTTTGAATTTCATCTATTTTTACCTTTTAATGTAACATACATATAGTATTTACATTCATATTGTTGCATAGCACTTTAAATCTATTTATTTATTTTTTTAATAAAATGCTGTGTAGGGACATGCTACAAATGGGCTTTTAGGCTATAAACGCTATGATATTGTGCATCTCCCTATTGAATATTCTATGCTCACATACAGTGGGGAGAACAAGTATTTGATACACTGCTGATTTTGCAGGTTTTCCTACTTACAAAGCATGTAGAGGTCTGTAATTTTTTATCATAGGTACACTTCAACTGTGAGAGACTGAATCTAAAACAAAAATCCAGAAAATCACATTGTATGATTTTTAAATAATTAATTAGCATTTTATTGCATGACATAAGTATTTGATCACCTACCAACCAGTAAGAATTCTGGCTGTCACAGACCTGTTGTAGACCTGCACAAGGCTGGGATGGGCTACAGGACAATAGGCAAGCAGCTTGGTGAGAAGGCAACAACTGTTGGCACAATTATTAGAAAATGGAAGAAGTTCAAGATGACGGTCAATCTCCCTCGGTCTGGGGCTCCAGATTCAGGATCTCACCTCGTGGGGCATCAGTGATCGTGAAGAAGGTGAGGGATCAGCCCAGAACTACACGGCAGGACCTGGTCAATGACCTGAAGAGAGCTGGGACCACAGTCTCAAAGAAAACCATTAGTAACACACTACGCCGTCATGGATTAAAATCCTGCAGCGCACCCAAGGTCCCCCTGCTCAAGCCAGCGTATGTCCAGGCCTGTCTGAAGTTTGCCAATGACCATCTGGATGATCCAGAGGAGGAATGGGAGAAGGTGATGTCTTCCAGCATGACAACGGCCCGAAACACACAGCCAGGGCAACTAAGGAGTGGCTCCGTAAGAAGCATCTCAAGGTCCTGGAGTGGCCTAGCAACTGCAAACAAAGGTTTCTGTACCAAATATTAAGTTCTGCTTTTCTGATGTATCAAATACTTGTCATGCAATAAAATGCAAATTAATTATTTAAAAATCATACAAAGTGATTTTCTGGATTTGTTTTAGATTCAGTCTCACAATTGAAGTGTACCTGTAATAAAAATTACAGACCTCTACATGTTTTGTAAGTAGGAAAACCTGCAAAATCAGAAGTGTATCAAATACTTGTTCTCCCCACTGTATCTGTCCATATGAAATAAACATAAATGGTTAACATCTTGTATTGTACAAGCATTCTGTGGGGTGTATTGCAACAAGACAGCAGCGCGGCAGGAGCTCCTGCTGCAGTGTGACGGCTACAGGAGTGCAGCATAACGATAATAATAAAACCATCCTTCCCTCTGAGATCATTACATTCCAAATACAAAATGTTGAGCACACATGCAGTTTTTACGTTATGAGCTTGATAATTGCTTAAACTTGCTCATTTGTTTTATGATGTGATTTTTTTTATCAGCTCCACTTGAGCTGAAAAAACAAAACTCAAGATGAAATAGAAATGAAATACATTGATTTGTTTTAATCTGTAATGACGATTTAAAACTAAATGAGGTTGATTCAGACATTAAAATTGTGTGCTACTTTATTTTGTTAGCTCTCATTGTCCGTTACCTTTACAGGGTATTAATGAGGCCTTGCATTGTTAATATTTAGATTTTCTATTCTCACATATAAATAGAATGTTTGAAAAATGTATTTCATGCAAATCTCCATCCTTTAAAATTCTGAAAACAAGGGGGGCCGTGGTTATACAGACTGAGTTCAGATGTAATGTATGCTAATGGGAGCGCTGTATGCTAATAAGCCGCTGAACTTTAAAATTTCATTAAGCTGGAAATGAACTTCAGTGAGCAGTTTGCTGAAGGCTTTCGGAATTGTTCACATTTCAGTCTGTGTTAGAACAGGTTATGTTGATAAATACTGTGAGCTGTATTAAAATAGCCTAAAATCTTTATCCTGAAGTAGATTTACTAAACTGTTTAAGGATTTTTCCAGCATTTCTCGTCTTTTCGTGTGGTACAGTATGCTTGTGGGCCTCGGCCACCGTCACACCTCCCCATGTCATTAGCGTCTCCTTCAAGGGATCTGTTGAAATGGAACATTCGGTTCCACTTTGAAGTGCTCAAGCATTTGAATCATTTAGAGAGTCAGGATGCTGGGAGGGTTGTTAAACTGCTCTGTTAAGCAGCAGGCAGTCCGGGCGCTGACAGAGAACACAAGGGAGAGGAGAGGTATCATTGGGCACCAGGCACTGATGTGAGGGAATGTTGCCACCTCTGGCTGTTGTGTTTTTATTCCCAGTGGAGCCCTAATGGGATGTTACTATAGGAGACAAGTGAATACTAAGTGGGGGATCCATCCCTCCCCCCCGGACTCCAAATCAGTCATATACAGGGCATATACAAACATGCACTCACTGAGTGGGTTACCTGTTCTCACACAGACACTGGCACTTTTAGTCGATGATACCCTACAAAGGGTTACAAAATAATTATTTTCTAAATGGATAGAATAAAATAATCCACCACACAAAATTATGTTTATTTTTCTGACAACACTGTATTAGTGCACCGCTTGAGGCTTCTAAAATTTAATCAGATGAAACACTGAGAATGCAATATCACCTTTTGATTGAAGTCTCTCAAGTCCACACTACATACTATTTTAGTACAACATGTACTATCATACAAATATCTATGGTGTACTGTTTATGCAGTTAGTATACGAGACATCAAAACACTGTACCATTTTATACTAACAGGAAACAATACTCGACAGTGTTCCATTTTTTGCAACTGTAAGTAACTCCTCAAAGTCCTTTATATGTTTTTAGGAAAATAGTGTGCATCAACAGTACACTTATAATTGTGGTTAGAATACTTGCCAGAGTTAGTCACAAAAACAATCATATAAACACACACAAAAACACTTTAATTGTAATAATCCCTAATATCAGAGACAATCAATGTGCACTGAGAGGTACAGCAAGTACGGTAGGTCATAGTTGAACCATAAGGTGTGTGTAAACTGTGATGGAAAGCATGGGTAGTAATTGTAGTATTTAAGCCTTGCTGACCTGTGGGTTTGTTTAAAAAACTGTCCAAATCTGTGTGTGTGTGTAAAACTGAATATAGGACCCCAAGTTGCAATAAACTGGAATAATCGTTTAAGTATTTTTTAGTCAAATCGGTTTAAGTCGGTGCGTCCTACAGAGATAACTAAGCTGTATCTTTTCTGGCAGTCTACAAAACAAACCTGAAATTTTCTGGACTTAAAGATAGAGACACTGATTTCCACTTTAGTACTGGTGTATATGTGTTTTTTTTGCTGTGTGGTACAGACATTTACAAGACATTCCCCCTGTGGGCTCATTGGGCCCTCCTGTGTGTTCTGATGCCGTGCCTTATTAAGTTGTATAAACTGGTTTACAAATGCACAGAATGTCCAAAAGCTAGGAAAGAATACACTAAATCAGTGGATCTCAGGGGCATTCATGGTTGATGGTGGGGGACACTGGAAGAGCGCTGGAGACAAAATATGACCTTGTAGTGACTATATTATAGAGACGAGTACCTGATCAGAGTAGAAGAAGCCCAGAATTGCTATGGCCAGCTGGGTGAGGAAGACCAATATCAGGCTGAAGGAGAACTAGAATAAGAAAAGAGATATGTTGAAAACATAGTCTGACTAAGACTAATAATCATATCTGTCAGATGTGTTGTTATACATGAGATGCAAGTCTAAGCTTTGGATTAAATGTTAAATGAACTAAAGCATTGGAAGCGTAACACAGCGCCTGTATAAGTAATGTGTCTATTATGTCTATTACTGTTTTGAGGAGGCGAATGTTCTCTCGGAGGGCTCCGATGCAACCACAGAAAGTGATGAAGAACATGACCACCCCCACCACAATTAGGATGACAGCCGGATCGATCAGGAACGTGTCTCGCACCGTGTCTGGCAGAAAGACAGGAACACAATACCCCCTGTTTAGATATCTGTCCTCCTCCTACTCCAGCCTGTTTTTATTTCTATGTTTCTACCCTCCTTTCAAACCCTCCGTCAAACCCTTTTTTGTCCATCTACCATATATTACGATTTAAATTCAGAAAATAATGACTCAAAGTGAAAAAAGGGTAAAGCTAAACCTCTCCAACCCTCTGAGCATTACAAGCCATTCCCTCGTGTTGGGGGAAGTTCAACGGGTGTGCGACTAAAATAGGCCGCCATCTCGCACCAGCACAGCTTGAGAGGCTGCAATGTAAGAAGGAACAGTTTATCACAGTTCTCTGATTCACCGTGAACACAAAGCAGGAGCTAAATTGACATAACAGATTATAAAAAATGTTCACTTTCTATAGTGACAAAGGCAGTGTCCGTTTGTGAAGTGTGAAAAAGTACTTTTGTGTGTAACTGAATAAGGAAAAAGTGTGTCAGGGATGTACCTGTAGCTTTCTGGACTTTAGCATACACCCCAATGGCAACAATCAACAAGGAGAAAACCTGGGAAAAAAGTGACATTGTAAAGGTTCAACCACAAAAAGACATGAATTAAATAGCACATTGAGCAGGCCACTTATTTTCTTTTCTCTCTCATTGTTGCTCAGATCTGATGGTGTTTCATATTTTGCATAAATAAGTCATCGTCTGGTAGTTTTGGCTGGAAAACCAGACATGGGCGAGGGTTTGGCATTTTTTGGCATAATTTGACATTGTTATGAAATAAGATTATTTCCTTTCTTGCAGAGAGTTAAATGAAAAGATTCTCTCTTAATTCCACTCTCGTATCGTTCATTAAATATGAGGCCACATCCAGGCCACGTTGGGGGGAAACAGATAGCCTGGCTCTGTCCAAAAATAAAAAAATTGGCCTCCCAGCACCTCTAAAGCTCTAAATTAACATGTTTTGTCTTGTTTGTTTACTCCATATAGAAACTGAAGTGTTTAAATCGACACGTTTCCAAGGCTAGCTGTTTCCCACTAAGTCTTTATGCTAACCTATGCTAACTGTCTCCTGACTTTAGCCTCAAATATAATGTACAGACAGAGTGGTATCAATCTCACCAAACTCTATTATTTTTGTTGTCTTTGTTGATGTGTGAAAAAATGTTGCTTCCAATGTGCTGTTTTGAACAGACTTTGTTTTGCTGTCAACCAGAACAGGTGCGATCAGATTAGCGACGAGGAGCCTTTCCCCATGATGCTGAGTATGCAGAGCAACCGAGTCCGTTTATGTGTTTACCATAAACAGACAGATGGATGTAAGTGGGCAAAAAATAAACATATGGATCTTGGCTTTAATCTTCTGAATTAGGAGAGTTCGTTTTTCAGAGACAACGCCTTCAGATTTCCAAAATTCTATATTCAGTTTTTACATGAGAGTATTTGTGTACGAGTCTCCCTGTCAAGTAGAACTTGACCTTGGTTAGAAAACCTTGGTTAGAAAACCATGGTTAACCCACGCTTAGCAGGGTTTTGATTATTGTAGGTAGACTATGGATACATTTTTTCTTCAGTGCCTTGAGCTACAACAGCAGAGACAGAAGAAAAATCAGAGAAGGTGAAAGAGTGTGTGTGTGTGTGTGTGTGTGTGTGTGTGTGTGTGTGTGTGTGTGTGTGAGGAGTTCAGGGTGTTGATCTGTCTGAGACCTGCTTTGTGCTTTTACTTACAAAAAATACACAAGAAAACATTACAGTAGCAAAAAAAGCTCCTACTGTGTAAAATATTGAACACAAAAGAGATGTCGGCAGCCCACACTGTGCATGCAGCAGATGAAGGGAAGAATACCTCCTTTAATGAGGTCTGAAAACAGTGACAGTATTCAGGCACAGACAGCAGTGTGTGCGCTGTAAGTAATGGTGTCGCTTGAGGAATTGTTGTAAAGCTGCTAAATATGCGAGTTCACCCTAACAGAAGCTACACAATAAAACAGGTGGAAAAACGTGGAATTAGAGCTTCCCGTTGATTGCATTGTCAACTCTAATTTCTCTCCTTTCCTTGATTGCTTTTCTCACCTTGAATAACAATATGCATGGCTTGACTTTCATTTCCAGCCTCAGATTGTGTAATGTAATGTGTGTGTGTTTGTGTGTGTAGAAGAATGCCTGTATAAACATGGATTTGTTTTGTTTCTGTCTAAAAGTGTTGGATCTCTGGAGGTCATGAGGATCCATAGTTTGCTATGAAAAAGGTGTAATTTTTGTTTGGCAGCCTTCACGTCCAGCCCAATTTTTCCATGTGCTCTGGATAAGTCAATTGTTACTTTGATATGGAACGTTTTATATCCCTCACATTTTTGCATCAATCATCTGCTTTGACCAGACATTAGCTGACAAAACACAAGACATCGAGGATTCACATTTCCTTTGCAACTGCAGTGTATAAAAGATTTTTGAAAGCACAGGGTTTTTTTAAAGGATCTTCTCTGTTGTGTTGGAGTGTGTGCACCTGCAGCTCCATTTGTCAGTTTGCCACTGTGTGTGCTTATGTGAATATGGGTGACAGTATGGCAACAGCACACACACAGTGAATGTATTCCAGCTCTGTTTTCAGGCTTTTCAAAGGGATGAATCAGGCTTCTCCCGGCAGATTGTGCGCAGAGGTGAAAGCCAGCTGAACTGAGCCATGGGGACGCGGGGACAAAGGCCTGATGGATTAGGGCTGCAGTGTTCACTTCTGAGCTCGTGTCTGATAAACAAAGTCAACGCAGGCAGGGCTGTGTGGCTGCTGGGGCTGCAGTTATTGCTGATTGGCTCTAAACACAGTAAGCGTGCGCTACATTCTTTGCCCCCTCGCTGTGTTTGTGTAGGATTGGATGAGCAGGGATATGATGGAGTTGTAGGTACCAGCTACAGATGTGATCCGTGTGCTCAAAGTGGTTACTATATGTAGGAAAGTGAGGGAGTCAGAGGGTGACTTAATGGTGCACGCGTGTGTGTATGTGTGTGTGTTTGTGTGTGTGTAAGCAACTGCTGAGGGATTTTAACCATGTATCCATTCAGCCATCACCAACCGCTTATCCTGCGTACAGGGTTGTGTAACCATTTATCCATTTAATGTAATCTATTTCAAGAGTTACTTTTAGCTATCCTTTTCAACCATTTGGATGGTTCCACATACCCCCCGCAACTGCAGAAGTGACCCCTGTGGTACAAGCACCCTTGGCACTTGGTGATTCGGACTCACAAATTTGTGTCATGTTGTGAAACACTGTGGCCCACAATTCGTTCAACAATGGCTTTCAAGAAACAGTACTTGACAGAAAATATATAGAAACATTGAGATACAGACTACAAGCAGGCTTACACAGTTGCCAGGCATTTTGTAGTTCAGTATGAGTCAGTGCTCCACTGATTTGATAGGAATGCACCACAACATTTGCTACAGTGATGTATGAGCAATCTAAGCATCCATATATAACTGTAGTAAACTTAAAATAGGTAGCAGCGGGGAGGCTGGGTGCTCCTGCTGTTTGCAACTCTGGATACTATGTGAATTGTATTCCTTCATTTATTATTTATAAGCTTTTTTCTTTTGCCTTTCTAGTTTGGCTTCCTTCCTTTTTTAAGCAGATCTGGCATTTTTGGAAAGCTACAACCTCCTGATGGCTAGTGATTTGTATGCTTAGAAATGTATGTATAATACATAACAGCTGTGTTATGGCGTCTCTATACTACACAGTGTAATAGTGCTCTCTACCTACTACTCTACTTACCCAAAATAAGAAGCTGAAGAAGAAGAGAAAATATCTGATCCAGGGGTTGACGAAGGAGAATGTCTCAGCTCGGTTCAGATTCTGCTTCCTGTCCATTGTTGGTGTTTTTACAGTCACGCAGAGTGTACAGCTTTACTTCAAAACAGTCCCCAGATCCAGACCCACCTCGCAGATTCTCAGCTGCCATGTGAATCTGTGAGGAGGGGGCCGTTTGCCGGGTATGTGGGTGTCAGGCTGGCTAAAAAAGGGGGGCGCGTTGGCGGTGACGCTCCCCCGCCATACTGGTAAGGCCCAGAACTGTCTATGTAGACATACGGGTCTGATTACACAAAAATTATCTCTGGCTGACTGCAGCTGAATGGCCTAGGAGCTTTGGAGTATTGTCAGCTGGCTGCTAGATTGTAGACCTTCTTTCACTTCCATGCACTCTTGCTGTCTTTCTCTGTCACCTCAAAGTTAGCTAGATCCTGTATTATAGGCCTACAAACATTGCCCTTGTGTTTCAAAATGAATGTTTATTGCTTCTGAAAGGCTTGTTTTCTAGTCTACAAATTACAGCTTCAAAGAGAGACACTCTCCTGCCAGGAATAGATCAGAATGACAGTTGACAAAGGCTGGACAATGACATATTTGAGAGGAAGGACATCTAATGTAGTTAAATGACATCAGGCCGATGTTTCCGATGTGCTGTGTCCGTTTGTGCTTGACAGTGAATATGCTGAATTTCAGCCAAGTAACACTCAAATGAATCAAGAAGCAAAAATGTCAGGCCACTTATTCTGTAATGAGATTTAGATGTAAAACTCAATTGATAATCGTCTGGCAAAATGGATCAGCTGTCAGACTGACCGGAGGGATTATCTGAGGATAAAGTACAGGAAAAGAAATCATGCGACTATAAAGTGAATGTGAATGTATAAAAGATTTAGTGTTGGGTCTTTTCTAATGCTAGCTTATAATTCATAAATAATCTATATCTGTCCTTGGCAATAGGGATACTATATGTGAATACTTAATCACAATGTCTTTTTTTTTTTAATCATTACATCAAGTATCTCTTGTGGAGTACCACTGTGCCTTTCGAGGTACATGAAGACTTAATGAGATTGATCTCTCTTTTTTAGACAGGATAGGGCTCTGTTTTTAGTCCCACAGGTGCTTAATTGGGAAGTTTGCCCTTCCTAGTCGTGCAACATTTTACTTTACCTTTTGTGTTCTTTAAAGAAATAGTTCAACTTCTGCTGAGTTAGATAAGATTATTTCTACCCTGTCATGTCTGTACAGTAAATATGAAGCTTCTGCCAAACATACCTTCCATCCATACATTATCCATTTGGCTACTGCCAGACTGGAAACGAGACGAACCAAACCCCCAGTAAAAAAAACAAAAAACAAAAATATCAGCGGGCGCCGCAAGAGAAATTTTTTGACTAAGCGTGAATCAACTCCGCCCAGCTGATGCAACACCGGCATCAACCGTGATAGTAATTAAGTGCAACACGCGTTGTGAGTCCAGACAGTTGTGACGAGAGGCAACATAACTGGTAGAGTTTTGTAATATAAACATCTATAAACTGAGGCACAACCTTGCTCTGTTTCAGACTGTGAGCTCCACTTTATTGGAGATACTAAAGTTAACGTGTGTGGATTTTTGGTGAGATTTCTGCCTGATCAGTAGTGCAACTTATGCAGTCCCAAACTGTGTCGGTCAAACAGTCAAAAGGGGATATTATCAGTGGAGCAATAACAGGGCAGGGGGGAAGAATTTCAAATGTGCCTAGGGCCCATGTAGACGCATATTCATTGGAAATGTATGCCTTTTGAGAGTTGACGAAAGCTAGCTCCTGTACACATAGTGGGCACATTATCTTGTTTTATTTACGAAAGGGGCATTCAAGAGGGGACCTGTCCAGGGTGTACCCCGCCTTTCGCCCGATGTCAGCTGGGATTGGCTCCAGCTCCCTGGACCCTGTACGCAAGATAAACGGTTGACGATGGATGGATGGCATTCAAGAGGGCACTTGTGTTTTACTGGGGTTAACTGCACTGGGTTAAGAGATAGTCTGGCACATAGTCTCCTTATAAAACCAAGACATTTTTGGTTCTTGTACAGATTAAACAAATAAAATATAACATGTTAATTTGTGTGTTTTAGAGGTATTGGTAGGTGGATATTGTTTTCTTTGGACAGAGCCAGGTTAGCAGTAAGGTTTTATGCTAAGTTAAGCTAACCGGCAGCTAGCTGTAGCTTCATATTTATCATAATGACACGAGAGTGGTGTCAGTCTTTTCATGGAACTCTAGGCAAGAAAGCATAATGTAAGTATGGCATGTTGTTCTAAAAATGTCAAACTATTCTTTTAAAAAAACCCACACAGCTTGAATACATTTTAATTTAACTGAATTTATATAAACATTGTAAAACTAAAATCCAGTATACTTCATGCAGGACTATTAAATATATCTTTTAAAAAAGTTTTAAGAACAACAAATAGTGTAATGCCACAGTAAGCCCGCAGCAGTATTAGTCATGGTGTTTTTGTGAAGTCATGTCAAAACAGTGGTTAACAAGATAGCGAGTTTACTTGGGGAAACACAACAGATTGAGAACAGATAGCAGCAGAAACAACCTGCATATCACCTCCACTGCAGGTTAACAAAACTGAATAGTGCTGCACAGGGACAAACTAAAGAATCTCATCAAAATGAAAGCTTTCCCAATTCAGGTTAATGAAATCAGTTCTGCTGAGGATGTGGGGTGGGGTGGAATTACAATTAGGAAAAAAAGTATCCACGGTTGATTCTGTTCACTTTATTTCAGTACATGTTACTCATACAAAATAATCTGTACAAAGGCTAAAATAGGTCATATTTTTGCATAGAAGGAACAGTGATGTAAAACATAAAGCCAGGATGGAATGGCACAATAAACTCTACTCACTATCACACATGGGCCTTAGGTTAAAAAAGGGATAAAGCTCCATACAAAAATACTCTGCTGCTCACTCCATGCTGTAGAAACACGAGACAAATTGGTGATGGTTCCCACTTTCATCATCTCCCTTTTGTTCTTTAAAAAACCCCTCTGCTCAACTGGCTGACTACCATTAGCTCATCTCAGAGTCTTTAGGACAACAGTCCTTCACGGTTTGTGATTTTTTTTTTAAAAGAGGCCATTTTAAGGCAGCAATGCCAATCTCTTTCATTAATTACACCATGGGACCTGCTGCGACACCGCTTCACTTTGCTCTTCATACCAAGTCCTGTCTTCCAGCCCACAAAAAATCTGGCATCAAATACTGTTTAAATGCTGCATATATAACTGACAGTGACATAAAAAGGGAATTCATCAGGAGCACCGAGTCATTAAACATGAAAGGCAATGAGCGTACGGTATCGTGGGATTTTGTGACACTCTTTTCTTTATTTAAAAATAGTTGATTTAGAGAATAAAGAGAAGGTTGTGCACCACCTAGTATAGATATTCAGAGTGCTTTCACATGTAGCAGAAAACTCCACAGGACAAGGCTGGCAGGTATCAGGTAGTGCCACCCAGCAGAACACAACATCAAACACACCATTTCTAGAGCATACATTTCCACTGCTCAGATATTCAGCACTAGCACGGGTGACGGATTAGGAGGAAATTACGGAAATTATATGTCAAAAAAAAGAAAGAAAGAAAAAGAAAACCATAAAATCCTAAACAGTTTCTGTGTGTCAAAATTCTTCACAGCAGACAAAACCCAATTACTGCATGTGCATTCTTTCTTTACAGGCTCTGTGGCTTACTTGGAGTACTTCCATACATACTCCTTCCAAAACAAACAAAAACAAAAATACAGAAAAAAGTGTCTCACTACAAGATGCGAATGCAGTCAAAGAAAATATGAAAACCATACTGACAAAAACACAAATTTACATCAAATTTACACTGTTCCTGTACTTCCTGTAAGAAGAAACAGAGGCAGAAAAACGATCAAACTATAAATGGGTAACTTATCGGTGGAAGGTATGTCCGAAAATGAGTAGAAAAGAGCATAGGTTGTTCGATTTAGAAAACAGCTTGTTTTAATTAGAAAATGTCAAACTGTCAATGTAAATGTGATAAGTGGCAGAGGTAAAGTATAACAGTAAGTTACATCAGTTGATAGAATTAGCATATTTACATTTGGGGCTAACCTAAAGGGCCGATATACTGTAGGACATGAGCTCTGTGTTGTTCAGTGTCATCTAATAGATCATGCTCTAGAAATACATAATGGGCCGTATACTGGCAGCTTTAAAAGACATACTGCTGATTGTTCCAGCACATTCTTGTTTAATTAAACTAGGTCCTAATAAAGAGAAGCAGGACGACAAGCGTGCAGTATGTCTTTTGTGCGCTTCACCCGATGCTAGATGCAAAATTTTCCCTCTATTAATTCTGACCTAATTGTGTTAACTGCCTGTAGCAATGTTAAGACAGAAAGGCGTTTTTGCACCTTGTAGAGGAACATCGCAAAGACTAATCCTGTAAGAAACAAATTCTTAATGGTGTCATGTTCTCATAATCGGTGCCAATGACATTCTGTCATGAATGGAGAAAAAAAAGCCAGTAAAAACTGCCTACAACGAGAAAAAATAACAGTACATCGTATAAAAACAAACATTAAAACAGTGACAACCAATTTATACAAAAATAACATCATTAAACAGCTTTTGTTAAAATGGCATTCATCGCTGCATTCTAAAAACATGAAGGAACATTTTCTCCGATATAAACCGTGAAAACTAGGTGACAGTGGCAGAGTGGAAATGGAGTTCACACAGAGCAGAGAATGTCAGCACAGTCAGATCAGTCAGGGGGCAAAGAGTTACACAGTTTGCAGGCTGGGTCTCTGAAGTATGACGTCAGATTTGGAGACAGACGCTGGATTTGTTTTATTTGCACTTATCTCACATTTCCTGTGGCATGTGCGTTTTAACACTTTCCCACCCCATGCAAGACGAAGCAACACAGCAAAATATTTATCTTGGGTTTCTTCTGAAATTCCTTGCCTGCAGTTAGTTGTACAATTCAGTCTGATTTACAGAACTAGTTCTAGATATTTCTCCTATAACCCCTTCTGGGTGCAGAATATACCTCACACCTGCTTCGAGGCATCCAAAGAGTGCAGCTGTATTTCTACAGTGTCAGTGCTGCCAGCTATCGTATATGTAACGCGGGGTGTCTGCAGAGCGAGGCAGTAAATAAGGGATGTGTAGAGAGTTTGTGCAGGCAGCCAAGCAGAGGAGATGTGACCGCTCGTGACGGCGCTGTACATCAGCAGCTGTCATGTTCCCCCCTGGACACAGCAAGAAGAGTCGGCGCATATGGGGGCAGGCAGTGAATCACAGCCAGCAGGGTCGCTGCACATAACCACCTAAATCTGTTGCTTCCTGATGCACGAACCCCCCCACCCACTTTCTAAATATGTGTCTCTCAGATTAAGTCATTATAAAACCAGTAAACAAACAAACAAACAAAAACTTTAAGAGTGACTTCAGGTGAGACTCTGAGTCAGACAGGCCGCCAGACTGGAAGAATGTCTAATTTTTGTCCATGTAGCAGCAACGCAGTGTCTAAGTTCCAATGCTTCATCCAAAGCGATCACTTCTGGTCCCCATTATTTCTCTACTCTGTAGACAGCAGCAAAAAATGATCATCTGTCTTCTCCAGTTAAAGGGTAATTCCAGTTTATTACAAGTTGAACTTATTTCTGTAGTTTGGGCCATCATTACTATCAGTAATAGTCCTGCAAGTTCTTCGCTGAGATCTGGGAATGTGGCAACATTTCTAAAAAGAAGTCTGCTGGGGCAACGAGCACATAGCCAATTGAAACGTGTCTGGGCTTGTACTCGCTGATTGGTTGTTTTTCTTTTTTTCTTTCGGTTGTTGGAGAAACCAACAAGCCACTCAGTGCACTGGGGATCACTTCCTGTGCCAGAGTGACAAAAATCGGCTGTGTCCGAAATCACTCCCCCTTTGCCATATAGTGCAATATTTTTACTGTCCCACATTTTTAGTATCTGAATTCGGAGAGTGAAATTTATGCCCAACACAGTGCCCTCCAAAGTCCCCACAATGGATGAATCTAATCATCCAGAGTAATCACCTATGTCGGTGTGCCGGGCTTTTGTATCAGCAAATTTCTTCAACCTCTGTGAACAACAGCAGTTTCCAGACTGACTTTTGGGTTCAACTTTGACCTGTTGTCCTTTCTGTAGAAGTGTGAACACAGTTTTCCTGTGCAATGAGGTATTATTACTGACATTTCGAGAGCACTCGCTTTCTGTTTTGTGAATAAAGCGGTTGCTAATCTGGTTAAACTGTTGGCATGTTTAAAACCTGCCTGATCGTTTCTTGCCCTTGTAGGATGGTGTGGAAATGCTGTAGCCATGTTCTCAAACCTCATCATTTACTTTTGCGAGTACACTGTCAGAACTGATGACAAAAAAAATCATAATCAAATAATGGCCTAAACTTATTCTGTATTAATTAGCTAATCCTTTTCACCACCGCCTCTCACAAGCTCAGATATGTTGAAGCCTAAAACAAATACACCGGTGGGCATTTTCTCTAAGTCGCCACAGCAGATGTAGAACTATTTTCAGTCTTAAGGATGTAGGCTGATGCTCAGATCTCCTGCAGCGAATCAGACATAAACAGACATGTCCTACAGGGCATGTTGCCATACCTATCTGTCTCAGCTTTGATCTGCCTACACTCCCTCCTGCCTCTCCTGTGGTTGCAAGAAAAGGATGCTTACGTAAAATTGGTAAGAAGTTGCGAACCAGAGGTGGAACTACATGATAAGGAGGAATGGTGGTGTGTGTATGGATAGAGCATGCTTTCTGACATTTGGGAAAGAAATTTTGGGGGGGGGGGGAGTGAGGCAGGAGCACTTGACAGCCAGAGAGAGAACAAGGAGGGCAGAGCAAATGGATGAGAGCTCAAGAATATAGAGAAGAAAGGCTCTAGCCGCCTCCGCTAACACAATTGATTGCAACAAGGAGACAACATGTCTACTTTGTTTTTGCCCCCTGTGCCCTTGCTTCTCCATGTTTCTATGTGCTGTTTGATTTTTTGCTCTGCAGCTTGGACAATGTGATAAAATTCAGTCTATTGTCTGGAAGGGGGGACTACATCACCCAGATCTCTTCACTTGACAGTCCTGGTGGAGACCTAATAAACAGCCATTTTTACACCATTTGTATTGTCTCTCAGGGAATGGGAATACTGCTGCTGTGTAGCAGTACAAATTGTGTGCGTGTGTTCCCAGGCAGATTTGTGCATTAAAATGTATTATTCAGAGGATACTGCAGAGTTTGGTATAAAACAAATCCACTGATGATTCCTCACGCGTACATGACGTCCCTCCATCACACTTGCTTTACCCAAATCTGCACGGCTGAATGAAATAAATATGAAGCATGGATTACATGTCTGTGCCCCTCTGCAGCAACGTCACGTCAAATCCAACCCCACACACACACTGCATGTCTGAGAACTCATTGCACTGATCTGTTCAACACTCACATTCCACAGGAACGTCAATGACATACTTAAAAAAACAAATAAAACAAAATAAAGACGTTTGACATTTCGACGACAAAGGTAAGGTAAAGTAGAAAACTAGCATGCCATGTTGGAACTTTTTTTCATTTACAAGTGAAAAGGGAGCTTGACTTTAGTCAACATAAGGAAAAAGGATATGATCAGTTTCATATGTTCTCTTTGCCTCAGATTGGGGTGCGTGGGCATTAGTTAAGTGTTCATTGTCTGAAAGTCCGTCCTTTCCAGCAAATTGTTAGTCCAAGCAAAAAAAGAATTTTTTTTTAAATAAAATAAAATAAATGTACTCAAGAGGAGTGACAAACCAATGGGATTCTCTTCCTTGCCAAAAGTAGGTGTCCCTTCTCTTCCAGTTGTGTTACTCTTTGGCAAAATGAATGGTGAGAGGAGAGAGCAGAATAGAGCGGGGACCCAGCTGGAATCTGTACAGAAGGTATAGGAGGGGAGGGGGGGCAAAAGATGCTCTAAAGAGGTTGTAAATTAAGGGGGGAAGTAGGGGTGTTTAAATCAGAGTCTTATCCCATTAGGCAGTGGGGCTCCTCTCCATTGGGCACCTCTCCTCAAGGCTAAGCGTCGTACTTCTTCCCCGTTCTGTGGATGTGATGGAACAGCGTCATGGAGAACGCCATACCCAGGAGCTGTGGGGGAAACGAGAAGGAGATAGTGAATTTGTGTCTGCATGTATGCATGTGTTTACGCATGATATATGTGTGTGTCTGTGTGGTCTTTTCGATGTTGATGCTATGGGCTGTCATGTGTTTTGATGCACAATAAATCCTGTGGTGGGGCACCAGCACATTTTCGTTCAGTCTCTTTTACTCAGATGGCCTTCATAGCAGGCTCTGGAATCTTTGTGATGGAAAAAGAAAATGTACAGCATGCACAAGCATTAAGTCAGTGAAGTAAATTGAGATGCCACTGAATCAAAGTAGCCAGCTATCTCTTTGAAGTTTCCATTACCCCTGATACTTCTACATCAAACACAGTCATAAGGCTGATCCTAAAACTATTATCTGGCAAAGTTCGGATGGCACGGAAATGGCAAAGTACTCTATGGTGCATTGTCTATACTGAAAAGGCAAGGTGAACTTCCTGTAAACAACCTCCACTGGGGATTCCTACAGGATGTGATTATGCCAGGGAAAGCTGCTGATTCTCTTTTATTTTAACTCAAAACCTAAATTATGGGGCTGCTTCAGAGAAAATGCTACTTTAACTCGCTGTCAATCAAAACACAAAAGTCAAAAGTGCCATTTGAGGTAAATATCCAGCTTAGAGGGAGTTAGGACCAATGAAAAACTGTCTTAGTGCTTCTAAACCAACACAATTATTTATATGTGGCTCAAAGTTTTGCCTGCTTCATTGAGTCTGAGTGAGACAGCAGTACAAGACTCCTCAAAGCTAATTCATCATCCATATATAAATACAGCTGAGATTTCTAAAACCAATGTGGTTGAAGTTATATAGGCTTTTGCCAAAATCAGTTGTATGCTGCTAGTCTAAGTCATTCATTAAACAGTTCTCTGTTACTCTGGCTATTATGTAACATTGTAACATGTAACATTGCAGTTACATAATAGGGCGTCGGCTTTTCATGATGCTCATCGCTCTCATGTCCTCCGCCTTGCCTTCGAGTAATTTAACAGCTCAAGGTCTGTTTTTCGACTCTGCCACCCTCACCTGAAAAGAAGAACCTGAGTGAGGAGAGTGTGTATGTGTGTGCGTATGTCAATAAATCACTGTCAGCCGAGTCAGTGTTGTGGGGTTTCATTCTGCATGAAGACATTATCACTCCCCAAAAATGACCAATATTTGTCCCTCTTCTGCATATGCATACTGTGTGTATATGTGTGTGTTTGGACAAGAATGAACAGACAGAGGAGAGATGGTGTCAGAGAGAGAGAAAAGAGTCTGAGTTGGAATAAATGCATGTGAGCATGTACGAAGAGTGTGATGTCATGAATACATAAAGATTGGAAGGTGGTCAATATATAATGCTGACTTTCCCTCAGTGAGGTGGTGACCTTACAGTAAAGCTCAGGCACCATCTTCCCCTAATAACCTTGGAAATGCGCAGCTATGGATTCATGTATTAGCAGACTGAGGACTTGTCTTGCATGAGCACAGTCATAGGGAGGGCAGTAAAGCAAGAGGGAGTAGTGAAAGCATTAAAAGTCAAAAGGAAAAAGCATAGTGCAGGTGATGATACACCGCATGTACAGAAATTTTAATTGCCTTTCCATCCTCATGGTTTTCTTTTTGTGCATAACAAAAAGTGGAAAAAAATATCAAAAACAAAAAACAAAACAGTCGACAACAGTCGCAAAAATGTTTTTACACTTGGCTGAGGAGCAAAAGCTGAAAATGCGATGAAAACAGACATGATGTACATGAAGGACATGACTTAAGTGTCACTCGAGCAGATGAAAACAACAGATCTGTGTGGACTGATAATCTTCTTGTCGGCAACGTTCCTCAAATACTATGTAAAACAAAAATAAATGACATATTTCCATCACGTTTTCTACATCATTTCTGCATTTCGTTTTGGTAAATTCATTTAAAATTTGCACTACATTTAGAGGGAAAGTTGATTGAGTAGTGAGTGCCATAAAGGTATTTTATGTAAAGGTTGCAAGGACAGAAATTGGCAGACAACAGACAACAGAGTTTTCTCTTAATGTGCACTATATGTGATAGAGTAGGAGCTGAAGGAATGACATATAGAATTGCAAGGTGAAATGTTGCCTTGTTAGATAGGTGCATGAATAGATTAAATTGACCAGATAAAAGGGTCCAATACTGAAGCAAAGACATTTCCTTCCATCCATTTACATCAGGCAGGGTCCTCTGAACATCACTTCAACAACAGTGTATTACAGGGTGGCACATATAGACAGACAATTATTCCCACTCATTGGGCACACTCATGGGCAATTTAGTGTCTCAAATTGTCATCAACATTTAAGTCTTTGGAGCCAAGAGAACAAGCCCCCAGCTGGGTGTTTCTGGATCCAAACCCAGGACTGTCTTGCTGCCCACTGCGCTTGCCCATAAAAAAAGACGTGTCAGTGTGAGCTAAAAATGTTTAAACTTGAGTGAGAACCTCCCACCTATCCCAGGGCTTTATGACTCCAGTTCAAAAATATACAGACTACAGGAAAAAGGAGAGCCTATACGAAAATTGGAGAAAGAAATGAGTTCCTGATGAGTTCTGAAATCAGTCAGAGTCTGAGTTGTCACACAAACACAGCATAGACACTGACATTGCAAGCATTACAGTTGATACCTTGGTTGTTTGGAGAGAATAAACAAAACAACAGTCAAATCTGTGCAAAAACAAAGCAAGAATACATGTTTTGTTCAGTCTGAAGACACTTAGGACATAACCTCCAAGTAAGTGGAAACTAGTGAAAACTACTTCAAAGACAGTGAGACACTCACTGTACAAAGACGTATAGATGTAAAGAACAGTTTAGGACTAAGAGAAACTATCTTAAGAGGAATATCTCTCGCACCTTCCTACAGTGTCTTTAATCTGCGACTATACCTGCTCTTCTATATTCAGTATCTCCACTCTCCTATCTTCGCTCCTTATACATGGCTACAGCCTGTTGGCATAAAGCCAGGTGGCTTTGATTCTCCCAGACAGGACCAGGGTGCAGAAGACAGTGACTTCAATATTTCAAGATGTGTGGGTGCCCAGAACGCCCACTGAGCATCATAACTTTCTCAGTAGATGGTGGTGGCCACTAGATGTACATGTTTTTTAATAAACAGAGATAGAGAAGAAGAAACAGAGATAGAGAAGAAATGGGGAACAAATTTTTCACTAAGCCTCCTACCTGCACTACTAAGATGACCATGCCAATGGTTCCCAGCAGGTGCTTGTTGTCATCCAGCCATTCCTCCACTTTCTCGAAGCAGCCCTAAAATGGAACAAAACCTTGTAAAGAGACCACTAAACATATGTGTATTTTTAGTGTGGCATAGGAATCATGTCACTTTACTTGCAGTGATGCTTGTAACCTGTTCGGTCAACTAGAAAAACCATCCAGTTCACGCTTTTATAGCTTCTCTTACATAAGAGATGTACCCTTGGATGAATGAACAACAGGTTGAGGTGTAAAAACAAATTAATTACCCATGAGTAATGACTTTTATATGCAGACTTATAGGCCATATGGACAGACGTGTGCACTAACTCTTAAATGTATTCCCACCTGGGTTCATTCAGAGGTAACTCACTGGCAGGGAGGTAGGGTGAAGGATGTAATGGTGGTTTCAGCTGCAAACTGGTGCCCCTTCTTAAGTGTGGCTGCTGAGGCAGCATGTAAGGCTTTACTATATAGTGTGTGGCCCTCTCCTCTGGGCAGGATTACGCACAAGCTTTTAGCGCTGCGCTTTCCCAATGGGCCAGCTCAATGTCTGCCTATTCTCACTTTAGCAATTATATTACAGCTTTTAATCCCCTACTTTGGCCCTGCTAACAAACCACATGTCAAACCAATAGCAGATTAGACTTGTAATGGGGGAGACTGGTGAACATTGTGCTGCAATGTCTTTGAGAAAAAGGGACTGATGTCTCATGCATAATGAAAAGAAACAAACAGCACGGTCAGAATTCAGTAATAAGACGAAAACAGCTACTTTAAGTACACACAGATGGTTGTAAAAGCCACTACTGAACAGATAGACCAGAGATTTAAAGTATATAAAATATATGATTTTTGTGTCCCCCGTGAATCCTGTACTAATAATAGTCAGTGTCAAAGATCAACATAATTATTATTTTAAACCATATATATTCTAACACAACTTAGTGAGAAATGGCAAGACCATATGGATCTGGCTGATGATGCATAATGATACTGTACAGAGACACAAAACAACAACAAATGACACAACCCTGTGGTCGTTTTGTGTCTCTCTGTAGAAGTTTTGTATCTCTTTCCAGTCATTTTGTTTCTGTATGTAGCCATTTTTTTTCTCCATGTAGTGGTTTTGTGTCTCTTTGTAGTCATTTTGTTTCTCCATGTAGTGGTTTTGTGTCTATTTGTAGTCATTTCTTTCTGTATGTAGTCATTTTCTTTCTCTATGTAGTGGTTTTGTGTCTATTTTTAGTCATTTTGTTTTTCCATGTAGTGGCTTTGTGTCTATATGTAGTCATTTTGTTTCTCCATGTAGTGGTTTTGTGTCTATTTGTAGTCATTTTCTTTCTCTATGTAGTGGTTTTGTGTCTATTTGTAGTCATTTTGTTTCTTTCTCCATGTAGTGGTTTTGTGTGTATTTGTAGTTATTTTCTTTCTATTTATAGTCATTTTCTTTCTCTATGTAGTCATTTTGTTTCTCCATGTAGTGGTTTTGTGTCTATTTGTAGTCATTTTGTTTCTCCATGTAGTGGTTTTGTGTCTATTTGTAGTCATTTTCTTTCTCTATGTAGTGGTTTTGTGTCTATTTGTAGTCATTTTCTTTCTGTATGTAGTCATTTTCTTTCTCTATGTAGTGGTTTTGTGTCTATTTGTAGTCATTTTCTTTCTCTTTGCAGTCATTTTCTTTCTCTATGTAGTGGTTTTGAGTCTCTTTGTAGTCATTTTCTTTCTCTATGTAGTGGTTTTGAGTCTCTTTGTAGTCATTTTCTTTCTCTATGTAGTGGTTTTGAGTCTCTTTGTAGTCATTTTGTTTCTCTATGTAAAGGTTTTGAGTCTCTTTGTAGTCATTTTGTTTCTCTACGTAGTGGTTTTGTGTCTCTTGTAGTCATTTTCTTTCTCAATGTAGTGGTTTTGAGTCTCTTTGTAGTCATTTTGTTTATGGTTTTGTGTCTCTTTATAGTTATTTTGTTTCTCTATGTAGTGGTTTTGTGTGTATTTGTAGTTATTTTCTTTCTCTTTGTAGTCATTTTCTTTCTCTATGTAGTGGTTTTGAGTCTCTTTGTAGTCATTTTGTTTCTCTATGTAATGGTTTTGAGTCTCTTTGTAGTCATTTTGTTTCTCTATGTAATGGTTTTGAATCTCTTTGTAGTCATTTTGTTTATAGTTTGATGTCTCTTTCAAATTATTTTGTTTCTCTATGTAGTGGTTTTAAATCTCTTTGTAGTCATTTTGTTTCTGTATGTAGTCATTTTGTTTCTCTATGTAATGGTTTTGAGTCTCTTTGTAGTCATTTTGTTTCTCTATGTAATGGTTTTGAATCTCTTTGTAGTCATTTTGCTTCTGTATGTAGTCATTTTGTTTCTCTATGTAGTGGTTTTGAGTTTCTTTGTAGTAATTTTGTTTCTGTATGTAATGGTTTTGAGTCTCTTTGTAGTCATTTTGTTTCTCTTTGTAGTGGTTTTGTGTCTCTTTGTGGCCATTCATTTCAAAAAGAAATGTGACTTCAAACAGAAGCTCTGGCCCAGGGACCAAAAAACATGTTGCATTTACATTACAACCAATGTGAACTCACCCTGTTCCAGAACATGGTGGTAGAGTTACGCCCACAGTTCTGGTAGTGCTCCTGGCAGCAGCGGTCAGGAACTACCTTCTCCTTCAGGGCATCGTGCCAGTCGGTGTATGCTATCACACCGCAGCACTTCCACTGGGAATAACACACACACACCGGACACAAGATTAGTTAATGCTTCCTGCCAGTCCGGGGAGACCTCAAACTAACTTTTATGTAACAAGTATTGTAATTAGTCCCTGTGCTTTAGAGAACTGCAATAATGGAATGAAGTGTATGTTAATGTCGCATTAATGCCACAGCCAGGAATGCATTAGCTGGAATATTTCAGGAAAAATGTTGCATTTAGGTATAAACATCTTTTGCATTTTTTTAATGCATGTATCACTTCAAGTATGTGAGAAAACTGTCATGCTGATGTTTCTAATATTTGATGTAATATGCTGTGTGAGATCTGCCTACCTCTGCCTGGATGATGTTCCAGGCATTTCGCAGGCCTATGTTGTTTTCTGAGTTATAGAGAGCCAGCCCGTCCTTCAGGTCCTGCTTGGCATTCTCACTCACCTGGAGACGAAAAAGACAACACCAGCCCTGGTTAGAGATCTTGGTATGAAGGGGTTAGTTAAGCTAGAACTGTTAATTAAGTTATAGCATTAATTATTTTCTTTATATTGGTATAGGCAGTTGAAACTTGAGTGTTTGTAAGAATGCATTAACATTATTCTGCTCTTTTCAAACTATCGATAATGATGGTGTCCATGGGGTCCCAGTACTTTTGAGTGTTTTTAGAGGATAATGTATGATTGATCATGGATTCAACTAATTAATCATGGTGAAAATAGTGCATAGACACAACTAGAATGTAAAGACAGAAAGTACAAGTGGAAAACAACAGCAGCTCAGCTACATGTAACTTTTTCTTGTCATCTAAAAATAACCCTGCTGCAGCGACTTGGACTTTTGCATGATGACTGAAGATCTGACACGTCATGTGTCGCTTCGCTCCACACACACATCTTCAACATGCCCTTCAGCAGAGCTAGCAAATCATTTTCCTCTTGATTGAACCCCAACAATGTGCTCAGGGTTGTGCCATGTCTGATGGAGATTAATATCTCATTGGATGTGTTAATGAGATACAAAATCAGAGCTTTCGTTCTCCTGCAGTTTGCTTTGCCCGTGGGGATTTGCTAACTGCCAGGACAGATTGAAAGGGGCTTCAGATAAGGGGTAATTATAACTGGAAAAATGACATGCACTGCCAGAACCATGCTGTACATCTTCACAGGCAATACAAGTTATATTACAACAAAAGGAACATACTTGCTTTAATAGTTAGAGCTTAAGGCCTCAAACTGTACCTGGAAAAAGAAATCTGCACACAATCAGTAATAAATCCTTCAGTTAAAAAATTATAGAAAAAAAGGAAATTGAAGCAGCCTGGTAGATAACATTATAACATTTATAAAAAATACAATTTCAATGTCACTTGACTAATTAGTTGTGTAGCTCTGCAGAGACCTGTATTCTGTACACTGTACAGAACATGAGATGGACCAAACCTTACTTTGATCATACAGAAAACTAGATTAAGCTTTTAATTAAGTGGTTCAGCAATTTATTGGTGGGAAGAAAACCCTCAAACCCTTGTTTTTTGAGCTGCAAGGCATAAGAAAACTATTTGCTGAATTAAACATAAATGTGAAACAGATTTTTTACAGAACAATTAAAGTTTCCCTGGCAATAAAATGCTTTAGTAGTCATTAATCATGCAAAATCCATTTATAACATCCGCTAAAACATTTGGAATAAGATTAGTATCATTTCAAATCACATTCTTCTTTCTTGCTCTGTAACTTTGCTGATGCAGAGGAGCGCATCTATGTATTGCACCTCGAGCTGCAGGCCCTACCATATCTGTCCTTGTGCAGGAAAATGAGATGAAGAGCAGCATCATCAATCTTTGCCTCATACTTTGTTTCTATGCTCTATCTTCTCCTCGCCATCTAGGCTATGTGATGCGGCTCGCTCATTACTGACTCCTCACTAACACAGTCACTAGAGACAAGGGGCCCCCCTACTACAATAAAAATCATTCTCTGGGTCTCTGTACATCTTCCATTTCATGTGTGGAAGTCTTTGTAACTGCGTGAAATGAAACTTAATGATCAAGACTTACCGCTAACGATATGCAGACAAATGGCTGCAGAACAAACAGGGATTTGATCATGCAACACTCTGCCCCATTTTCCCCTTGCAAAAGGAGCAGATACAAACACATCTTTGTTGCTTTAGCCTATTTTTTCTGAAAAGGAAAAATAACTTCTTGAATGTTGCTGGTTCTGGAAATTGTTCACAAATAACAGTCCAATATCATACTTTGGCAACATCTCACTCCTGGTAAGTTTTCTCTGAAAGTTGCTACTGGGCATTAATGCAATACCTCCAGTGTGGAATATTGACAAAACCCTGACACATGGCTCATACTTCTCATTAAATAGATAAGCTTGTGGTTTGCTCTGGGCTGACCAAGTCCATGCTCAGCAATACAGGACAGCACATTCATCACAGAAATCTAGGGTTCAGCGCAGCCAGCAGGGCGAACACACACGAGTCACAGAAAGGGAGAAAACAGAGGGAGATGTGCAGGTATACACGTTGACAGGGCGGGGGAAGGAATACGCTTTCTACCCAAATTGGTGTGTGTTTTCTGTCACTGTGCATAAAAGCAGAGAGCAGACAGTGGGTGGTGGATTGTCTTGTAAACACCTGTCTATCACTTGTAATAACACAATACATCCAGCCAGTACTGAACTTACAAAATGCAAAGGTATATGCTTTTTTCATTTATTTTTTCTGATCCCAGGACAGAGACATTAATAACTTCCTGCTGTCAGAATTGGACCCCAGATCTGGTGTGAACCCCTTGGGGACCAGGTACACTGGGACTTGGCACTGTGCAGACATGGAGCCACACTGCTAACACATTTTCATAGAACCGTGACCATGACCGTGCTGTCTGCTCCAATTTTTATAAATGTGAAAGAGCAGATCTTTTTGTCAGTGTTTCATTGTTGAACATGCACCTCAAATCCAATTTTCCTGTTCAAACAGCAAAGGTCACATCTGCACAACGTAGGTGACACATTCTGCCATGGGAAGAACACATTTGGAGGTATGTGAGTTGTACCTCAGTGCTGATTCTCTTGTATTTCTTTCTCATTAGTTTTGCCTCTGAGGATGACTGACTAACAACTGGTGTCTCAGAGGGCAGTTTAAGTTCCTTACAAGACACGACAATGTGTTGCTTATTTACAGTAGGTGGTGTGATGGGTGTATAGAAGAGCAATTAGTGTATTATGTGAGTCTCTTCACTTTTACCCAACTGCTATTTATCACTTTGAGTGATTGAAATCTTCATATGATGTTAAAGTGTTTATTTACAAATGAATCACCATCTCTGCAGTCCAATTTTACAAATTTCAGTAGTATGGCACCTTCTGTTGGAGCTACACAAGAGCCTGGCATGAATAACTGAAGCAGAGCCATGGCATTGGTCAAAGAAATAAGTGTCTAACATCAACTTCTCACTGAAAATTCTCTCAACATAAACCTGTTGTCAAAATTATTTTGGCTCTTTGGGCAGCACACACATTAATTAATTAATTAATTAATTAATATAAAAATGCTGACTGTAGCCACTTTAAACACTCCTTCCTTTACTTACACATTTACCCTCCTAGAATATAAGGCAGGTTCCTGACACTTACACAACATATCGACAGTCTGTACTGGAGAAAAAATAGGTTCCCATGTGAAATCACATGGAAAATACATGTTTTGGTATGAAATAGTATGGATTATTTGACAACAATGTGGTTACATGTAGGTCAAGTTAAAGCAGGCTTCAGACAAATGCCAAAGGAAAACTGAACCCTCCTCCCCCCATCTCATCTTCAATCTTTAAATATGACTCATTCTATGAAGTCTTAAAAAGCTACATAATTAAGAAGAAAGTGTCACTTAGACTAAAAAAGACTTATTGTCTTCTTCTGAATTGTCAGATCACAGAGAAACTGGTGGCTTAACTCCAGTCAGCTGAACAACAGCCTTGAAAGAGCGTTACCTCATAATTAAGCATAAACTCATGTCAACCCAAAGCATCCTTTTCACATCTAATTTTTTACATTCACTCTAAGCCAAGGTACCTCTTTCAAAAGTGTTCAGAACTGTCATACTCTGTTCCACAATCACTCTTGGTTCACATGTATCCATGGCACACTTGCTCTAATCGTTACATCCTTTCACTCTGTAGCACCCCAAGAACCGAAGCTAACAATATTTTACTGTTGCCCTGATTGCACAGCTCTGGACAAGTGCGTTAGCTAACTGCCCGTAAAAGTAATATAAATGATGTGGAGAGGAACAGGATCTCAACCAGAGGTCTTCAACGGCACATCATTAAACAGGCTACTTAATTCCCTCAGTTGCTCTGCAAGCCTGTGTCGGGTAGCCTGAGGCCAGGGCACTCGACAGAGTAGGGGGAAGACCCACTCTGTAAATGGTGTGGAAAAAGCATGGCCAGGAATTGAACATTATCCTGGCGATATACAAATGCAACACATGACTAGATGTGTCTGCTGGGTTGTTGAGCTTAGTAAGATAAATCAGGCATGCTGTACGGCCTTCCCCTCTTTTATGTGACTAACCTTTCCTTCCTCCTTTATGACAGCATTGCCTTTCTCTAAAACTTTACAGTGACACCTCTCCTCTTTTGATCCTCTCTTCAGACTATTTTTATGTAGTTCTCTATCTCTCCTCTAACAATTTCCCTCCCTAACACATTCATCTTTCTTTCCTTCCCTGCCTAGGATATCTCACCTCCTTTTTTCTCTCAACCGCGTCCACCTGCTTTCCCCTCCTCTTTTTTACTCCTTCCCCTGCATCCCATGCACATGCTTCAGAGCTTCCCTTCTCTGCTTGCCAGGTTCTGCTTCCTGATTCCGAGCTAATAAACCTTCACTGGTGTTCGGCTCGGCATGTTGGGTCGACGGAGGCACAATGAGGCCACAGCGTTAAAGACGGATGGCTGTAATCTGGTTTGTGGCCCAGCCATCTGCTGTAGTCAGCTGGTTGCTAACTGCAGGGCCAGCCTATAGTATACTACAGCCTGTACATGGCATTTAATCATAGAGCTTAACACCACTGGACTATGAGGTACCTATATATAAGCTATACCTGAGCTATACTTGGAGGCAAGACTGCTGGGGTGGGGAAGAAGAGAGAGAAATTCTCCATTAAGAAGAAAGCGCTCTACCTCTTAAGCAGGATTAAACGGGTGGAAATGCAGGAGTAAGAAGGGAGACAGGGAGACTGACACAATTAAAGCATCTCGTCAACAGCTTGTCACCAGGAAGGATCACAGAGGCATCACTCATGACTTAAAGATGACCTATTTGAAAGACTAAAATATCTGTTTTGCAGGCCTCTGTCGATACACATTTTAAAGCTGCCAACTACTGTATGTCTTCCAGACTTGTTAATAAATGCTTTGTGATTAGAAGATCAAATAGGAGAAGTGAATTAGTGATTCCTCTGATCACAGGCTGTAGCAGAGGATGAGGAGAGCCTCACATGGCATACTAGATCTCGCTGGAGAGAAGCAAGACAGGAGGAGAGAAAAAAACATTTGAAGTGGGTTGGACACCGATTGTCTTTAATCGAATCCTGACATTCTTTATCATAAAATGCTATCTGTGTAATATCACCACAAATTTGCAGGACATTGTTTTTTGAAGGCAGTCTGAAAATGTCATCTCCAATAACATAATTTGCTGTCATGGCATTGCTTTCCAATGACATTTGAAGACCAATAAAGGGAAATAAATTTGGTAGCGATCAGCATTATCGTGGTCTCACATCCCATTAGGTCTAAGCCAGAGTAAACACAAGATGGGAGGAACATAAAAAACGGTTCCTATTCACTGGAAATTGTGTGAAGGAGACAGTTCTCTCCGACTCACACCCTATCCCTTACTAATGCCGACTCATTTGATTGAACATTTAAGAAATCCTTAGCCCTACTTGGTTATCTCTTCCTGACTTCACAGGTGAAGGGAAGGCGCTGCTGTGAAGTCAAGAGGCTCTCTATTAAAATTCCATCGGAGGGATCAGGGTTTGGAGCCCCCCCGCCCCCCCCCCCAAAGTTAAGCCGGTAATATTTTGGAGATAAGGCTGCAGACATATTTACTCCCGACAGGGTGTGCCTCCGAGACCTGATCCAAATCTGAGAGTGGATTGGCTGCTAAATGAATTTCTTTATCTGCCTGAGAGACTCAGTTTGAGCAATAACCTCAGAACAAAGACGGAGAATTAGCTGGGTGTCCCGAGGGCCGGGTGACATAGAGACTTTGAATATATAAATAGACAGATCTATCAACAACACGTCCTTGAAAACAGATAGAAGTCTTCATTGTAGTGTTAATTTTGTCAGCCATTTTAAAATGTAGTCTTAGTCCTGTGTCAGATGCCCCTGTTAATTGATGGGGTGGGGATGGAGCAGTGGATAAGTTGCATGCCTTTAGTGTGAGAGACCCAGGTTCAACTCCCCACTCTGAGACATCTACCAATGTGTCCTCGAGCAACACACTTAACCTTGTTGTTCCAGAGGTGTGCGACCTCTGACATATATAGCAATTGTAAGTCGCTTTGGACAAAAGCTAAATGTAATGTTATTTTTTTCATATTTAATTCACTGTGTACTAATTTATTAGTCAAGTTTTAGTTGACTAAAAGTCTGGGTATTTTAGTCTGATTTTAGTCAAAAGAAAATCAAAAGTATTTTAGTCTAATACCCAAGTGATTAGCCTTGATATGCCGCTTCAAGTTTGTCGCGTTTTTTCCAAAAATCTTATAAACACATCAGGTTTTTTTTCTTCACGTTTTTACTGCTGAATCATTAATAGCTGCAAGCATGTAGGCCTGGGGCTGACTGTTAAAGTATCAGGTATGTTTGTCTTATTATAATAATAATTTTTATCATATGTAGTCATTTTGCGACCTGACCTTTCTTTTCTCCGTGAGAGGGAAGAATTTAGAAAGTTGCGTGGCGCTGCAGGGAGCCCCCTGCTGCAGTAGTAGTCCTACATGGATCATGCGTAATATTCATCCAGCCAGAGGGAACGATCATGAACCATTCACAGCGTGTCGGAGCGTACAGTCGGTGATAGTTCCCTCTGGCTGGATGAAGTCTGACTCTCCGCATGATCCATGATGATAGAGAAATATAGAGATTAATGGCAATAAAGCAAGCTGTCAATATTTTCCTCACCCGTTGCCCCAGTCGGCCAGCATTCAAAGCACAGGAAGAAAAAAATACCGCTACCGAATACCGAATGAAAACTGTTTAAGTGAAAATGAAGAGGGCCTGTAATATTTTTTTGTCTCCTCATTATACTGACAAAAGAAAGAGAGATTTTATTAACGTTTTTATTTTTCCATTTTAGTCTCGTCATTCTTTGTCAACAATACTGCATGTTATTATAGTCACAGTCAGCGTTTAAGGACATTGTCACCATCTCGTCTCATTTTCATCAGGGAAAAAAAGTTGAATATATTTCGTTTAGTTATGTCTGATGAAAGTAACACTACTTCATTGCTTTTCTTGCACAAGACATTTGTCATTTTTAGGATGAAATATTTGTGGGGCAATTTAATTAAACATGGAGAAGAATCTGTTCATGGATGTCAATGATCTCCAGAGCTATACATATCGTCATCTGTTGTCACCACATAGACCCACACCTGACTTAAGCCCATGCAGTGGTCATGGGAAATGTGCTTGGGACCAATTACAGGAAGCCAACTGGTTGGGATTAGGCTTAATTTTGTGGCCTAACCTTTGACTGCTGGGTTACTGACAGAATGAAAAAAACAAATATAAAAAGACTAAACTCAGATCCCCGGAAGCAACTGGAGCATAGATATGTTTACCACACTAACACGTTTCATTGCTTTGTGCAGTTGTGTGTGGTGTGCATGTGTGTGTGTGCAATATGTAACCCTTTCCCAATCTAGGGCATTCAAACTGTAATGTATGCCACACAGCCTTGGCATACATTGTGAAACGTTAGACTGCATAAAGAAAATGCTACCAAGTTAACTGGAACAATAACAGACAGAAGCTTTTACATTCAGACATAACATGGAAAACAAAATTAGCTTACCTTATCTGAGTACACAAAGAACAGGATGAGTAATATCAGCTCTGCCAGGAGAATTATCAGCAGGACAATGAAGAACTGTCAGAGAGACGGAGAAGAGCCTTGTTTTAACAATTGCTTTGGCAGTATTGTAAATCTACCTTGTCATGCTGGTGAAAACATCTGAGACCGGGCCTCTGTTGCCTCATTGTTCCTCTGAGCGCTAAAGGAGGTCAGAAAAAACAGCCCTTACATGACTGTAGATTACAAACGTGACAGTTTTTATGCTTTTCATAATACACTCAGCATCTGTGATTTGTAGTGATTTTGACTTATACTCACACTCAAATGCAATGTGAGTGAGTATTCTATATGTGTGCATGGAAAGATGATCAGCCGCTAAATGACTAGTTTTTTTAAAATTTAGTTTAGTTTATTGGGGGGTTAAGTGATGGATTGACATTGCAACTGGTTGCCTGGTAACCTCACTCACTGTGACAACAAGACTCTAGGAAATGATTTTGAACAAACAAACAGGATATAACGTGTTAATTAGTGACCCTTAGAGATGCTGCAGATTTTGTTATCTTCGGACAGAGCCAGGCTAGCTGTATCCCCCTGTTTTCAGTGTTTGTGCTAAGCTAAGCTAACTGACACACTGGCTGTAGCTTCCTATTCAGCATACAGACATGCCAGAGGTATCAATCTTCTCGTCTAAGTCTCCATAAGAAAGCAAATAAGTGTATTTGGCAAAATGTAGAACAATTCCTTTAAGGTTACAATCAATGATGAATACAGAATACACAGGGACCCAGATTTCTCAATAATAACACGAAGCACATACTGAACACAACACGAAAAAAAACAGGAAAAGGAAAGACAGGAAAAGAGAGATGAAGGAGGAGATGGTAAGGACAGATGGAGGAAAAAAAATGAGAATCTATGTGCCGTAGGGCTTGTGAATGTGAGAGGAGGGGAAGAAGGTTTAATACCTCCCAATATTAATTTCCAACACAGCCTTGCATCTCATCTACTATTCACGTCTCCCTACTTTACTCCCCTTCAGCTCAATATTTACCAATCTCTTCTGCACAGCAGGGGAACTGGCACGCGAACCTAGATTTCAGAAAACCCCATTCATCCCAAACTCATTTGGGAGGAAAGGGGTAGGCTATTATTTGTGTCAAAGCCCCGATGAAATAGTTAAGACAGTTTGTTGTTGGTTGAGTATCTGGGTTGCCAGTTTATCGTATCACTGTTGTGCCTTCACAGTCAGTTTGTCACATTTTCCTAGTGCTGAAAGTTAAAGGAACAGCTTCTGTACACAAAATTAGCGGCGCTCTGATGGCTCTGTGTGAGAATGTGTGTGTATATGTATTCATATGCAAACACAGCTTTGTGGGCGTATGCTCTCATTTGCCAGTAATTCACACTGGTTTTAAAGATTTGACATTTCAGCCGGATATTTCAGTGTTTTCTCTCCCACTTTCTTTCTGTATTTTTTATTTTATTTAATGTGTCTCAGTAAACAGCTTTTGGCAGCAAAAAAGAGACACTGAAGATGTACTGCAAAGGATGTCTAAGCTTTGAATATTTCTAATCCAGAGAGAGTTGTTCTCAGAGTAACTTCAGAGATAATATGTCAAGGTAGACGCTTGGATCCGTTTGCTCTGGGACATCTAAACCCACTCTGATGTTATCACGCTCCCCCACCCCTGGGTGTGCGGAGCCGGACAAGCAGGCTAAGAAAAAACAACAACAACAACTACTAGCACCAACAGTTCCGCACTAAACAGAATTATCATGGCCAAATATGAAACGCTGCCACACGAATATGTGGCAAGAGACTTAATGAGAAACATCAGAACTGCTGAATTTACCATTAAGTCTCTTAAGTTCTCATTCCAGCTGCATTCTTCACCCCCTCCACCTCCCTCTTCCCTGCACTCCACTCTCTTCCTCTTTTTACTTCACAGTTGTTAGTCAGGTGAAGGAAGCCATGTCGAACACTGAGGATTTGGTGGGGCTTTTGACTGACGCAAGAGCTTCAAGGGATAGAGCTGTTTGTTGATGTTAAGTACCCAGAGCCCCAACTGCTCTCCTCATTTAAAGTTTCTATACATGAAAGTTCCGCACAAACCTCATTCACCTGGGTGAACTTTTGTAATTAGCTTGCTTAAGATGAAACACTTGTACTACTTGGGTAAAACATTGCAACGTAAAGAAAGAGGAGTCTTCCTAATGAATAATAGAACATTTTTCAATTATTAAGCACAGAAATATCAAGTGCCTTCAGTGCATGCACAGTAATTCAACCATGTTGGTGGCACAAAAGGTCTATTGATTGACAACTCTTTCACAGGGCTGTGACCAAAGCCATGGAAATGACACAAATGCGTTGGTGTTAATTTGTAGGAAGGGAGAATCCCACTGCTCAGTGCTAATTTTCCTCTGCGAGCCCCTGAGGTTTGATACAATGCAGACTGAACTCATCCTGTCACCCGTCTACCGCCGCTTAGATTCCGGCTGGAACACAAATCCAAATATGCTGCTTAGTTCTTGCTGGCCTTTGGCCAGTGTGTGTAGGTGTATGGGAACATATGTGAGAAGCTGTCTCCACAAGACATTTCTGTCAATATTTGCATGGATGATATGAGGGAATGTGAGAAAAAATATCCAAAGTAGGAGACATCGTCAGCCTAGGTATGTAGATTTAACTCACGCTCAGAAGCAGGCACTTGTTCTCCTTGATGGCGCCCAGGCAACCGAGAAAGCCTGTTACCATGACGATGGCGCCGATGGCAATGACCATGTTGGCAGCCGACAGTGAGGGGAATGAGGGCGAGAAGGTGGCGAAGCTGCCCTGGGACACAGAGAGCCAGATGCCCACGCCGAGCAGCCCGCAGCCACATAACTGAAAGGCAAGAGATAAGACAGATGACAGGTGAGATGAGAAAACAAGTAGCAGATGAATCACTTTTCAGGGTTAGACACTATTGACAACCAAGCTCATTATCAGCTCTCCCCTGGCAGATTTTGCTCATGATGACAGACGTTCAGAACAATATAGTAATCTACAGAGTTAGGTTAGCTCTAAATGAACAGAAATCCCAGCTAAAAAAGCCCTGTGTAACAGGCTCAATTTCCCTCCCGTTGCCCAGGGAATTGCCCACACAGTCATCCATCACCCAACACTGTTCAAAAAACAAGAGGGTTTACACCAATTACAACTATGATAAGCCACTAACAGCTCTGCAAGAGATTAGAGCAAAAATTGGACTTGGGCCGCGCTGGTTTTGCATGTTTGAGCTGATTATGTTAAATCCAGAACAAACAGAGATGTAATTACTGCCACCCCCTATAACAAAAACTTCCAAGCTCTCCAAAACCACCGGCAGTAGACTTGAACTTCACCTAGAGGGAGCAATTCCCTAATTCCTCTCTGCCACCCTGCCAACACCCCACCCCTCCACCCGATGTGTGTGAGGTCTGAAACCTGAGTCCATTAATGCAAGAAGGTGTTTATGGAAGGGTTTGATTGGCGGGGTGGAGTGTCACACCTTGCTGATGTGTTGGGGAGATGAACATGCCCACCACTTGGTGAAATATATGCCAGGAGGTAAGTGGTGACATACTGCCTGCATCCAATAGAATAAAATACCCAGGGCAATCTTACCATGAATTACAAAAAACATCTCAAATGAGTTAAAATATGGAAAGGCACCATGGTAAATCATCACACCCCTTCCACCCTTCTATTCACACTCTTCCTTTCTCATCTTCGCACTGCTGCTCCAGAACACTTTAATGCCTGTCAGCAACACACACCGAGGCACACATTCATGTAAATGTACGCACACAGTCATCAGGTAGGGATTATGAATAAACTGCTTCCCTTTTCTCTTTCAGAATAAAATGATGAATACATAATGCAAATTTTCTTGGCAAATTTTCTTGGTCTGACAAAGTTTAACTGACAAAAAGCTCAACAGATAATAAACCTGCAAATGTGCTGCAGCACTTTCACAACAAACAAGTGTAGCTTCAGTTGAACAAATGGCACAGGTCTGTGGCAATTAGAGATGTTAGGTGATAAGGTGTAAGATAAATTTTGGGGTTTCAAATGCAAGCCTGATGAGGTGGTGAGAGATGCCTCGGATCTAATGAGTATATAAGATCTGTAGATACATAAACTGAGTTCTGGCAACCCTCTCTCATTAACCTGTGACCTTTGAGCAGTGAGGTTTGACTTTGTGCAGGCTCACCACCAAGTGACCGAGTGCTTCAGTACATTTACAACAGCACACTCAGGTGGATGGATGATACACATGCTCTCCTGAGGACTACGAAATTACTAGATGCAATCAAAAGTGAGGACACAGAGAGAAAGAATCAGGACTGTACGTAAATGACTCAGGGTAGATAAAAGCCCTGTTGAGAGTGCTGAAATTTCTGCACTGACTGGTTGCGCTGCTCACGGTGTGTGATTTTGTTAAAGATTGGAGTAGCTGCTCTAACGAACAGACTCTGCCACCAAGGTTGAGGTTGAAGGCAAGGGGGGGCTGCGAACAGAGCCCGTCCAGCAGACTGTGAGAGTTGTTGTCACATATGGATGACAGTAAAGTCACACTGGATTTCTCACCAGGAATGAACGAGTGGTCTGAGTAAGACCACTCCTGAGAGCGTGAGAGAGAGAGCGGCGCATTGGTGCTCCAAAGACTTTCAATCATCTATTGTATAAATAATTCAGAGGCAACTGTATACGCTGGGAGGCACCCGCTGGCCCTTTATGCTTGCCTGATTAAAAACGGGACAATGAAAAGTCAATTGAAAATGCTGGTAAAGGTCATGTCCCTATGCAGAGTGGCTAATATACGGCATCACAGCTGACACTCTTCAGAAGGCCAGATTATTTAGAGCGTGAGGAAGGGTTCCAGGGGGCAGCAGGAGGAATAGTAAGTTTAAGAGGCCAGCTAGATAGAGTGGATTTAAAGCTAGCGAGGGGAGCACCAGGAGGTTTAAGAGTCCAGGTGGAGAGGGATACAGGACCTTCTCTTAATTGTGTTTAATGCCCAGTGAAGGGAGCTTGTCCAAGTGTGTCATTCTCTTAAGTGACTGTGAAACCACCCAGCCCCTACTCAATCTGTCTGATCTGAGCCTACCAGGAGTCTAATCTCTGCCTTGCTTCTTCTACCACTACTACTACTACTACAACAACAACAGCGTGCAGTCATCAGACCTCTGTATCGGTGCCACAGGAAATACCTCCAGTTTAAGCTCTGATCTCTTTGGTTATCTGACCTTGGTGTGTGTGTCTCAGCTTGACCTTGAGCCTCTCAGCTGAGCTCCTTATGTACTTTTAATTGTGGGACAGTCATGCTTTGATATCCCATCTGCGGGGAAGGATCAAGGAATCCCTAAATACTGGAGAGGCTTGTAAACAGTCATGTTGAGGGCTTACTATTAAAGAAGTCATTGTTGTTGCATCAATCAGAGCAGAAGATGCTGAGCGTTATGATTAACATTTGGGTTGGAGGAATAAATTGGCATATTACCATATTTTCTAGGGAGATAGAAATACAAAAATAAAAGTTTATAAAATAAGGTTTCATCTCGCTTTAGGTCTGAGTGATGTAAGTTGATACACCGACTGATGAAATGACTTCGAAACTAAGACCAGTTTTTACACTTTATGTATGATCTGCTAGTCACTCATTAAAATTGTTCCACAGTACTACTAACCATACCAACGTGTATGTAAGATTATTTGTCTATGCAACTTGACTACACCAATTATCTGTGGAGAAAAAGACAACCAGCATGGATGCTTTGGGCTGCTACTCTGCTTTCACGATCTATGCATGTAACTTTACAGGGCACGGCACATGACAGCTTGCCAGGTCCACTACTATTTCAATTTTAACAAGCTTCAGTGAGGGATCGAGTCTTTTAGCATTCTAGCTTGTCAAATATGTATTTATGGTTTAGTTACAGGAAAACACTGTCAAAACAACTTGGCTGTTTTGTCTTGTTGATGTTCTGTTTTGTCTGGTTGATGTTCCCATGCATACATGCAGCACAGAGATGCTTCCTTCCAATTTATCACTTACTTTCATATTTGAGGATGATAGGAGCATATCTTTCAGCCGTGATAATGAAAACTTCTTTGCAGTCTGGATCACAAAACTTGCTTTGAATTGAGTTTGAGGGTGGTTACTCCTGAATCGTTTTTTAAGAAAATCAATGAAAAAGAGTAAGACCAGACCGAGAGAATATGTGACCTTTTCATACGTGTTAGGCGGTATTTTGAGAGCACCTCCACCGCAAGACAGAATGCAGTCCGGTGTCTAAATGTCATTTGTGGAAGAAGTGACAAAAGGCGCCCAGTAGAGAGGAGCGGAATAGAGCAACATTAACTTTCTGGAGTAGGAAATTGGAGGACATGAGATATGACTCTATCTAGCTGTATGAATGAGGCCCTGCTGTTTGCGGCCCTGTAACAAGCTCAGGGTGAAAATAATTGCAATAATACTGTGTGAAGAAACTGTGAGGCAACTTTCCAAACAGGAAGGAGAGGTGAACGGGGTCAACCACAAGTTGTGTGAAAGAGGAATGGAAAGCATTAAAGCCAGAAAGATTGGACACACACGTGAAATGTGTGTATGAGAAAGAGAGATTGATCTTAGAGTGAGAGAAGAAGAAGAAAATAGAGGCTGACCCTTCATCCGAGAGGCTGGCTCAGAGAATTATCAGTTGCTGAGGTAACTGGCTCAGTAACACGGGTCCACCCCGACACAAGACCCCAACTTCAATCTCCCCCAGAGGAAGGGGGTCTGAGAGTGTGTGTATGATTGTGTGTGTTTTTCACACACAAAGGTCACACCCTGTTGTAAAGAATGACAGCTTTTTGTCAAAATATTGCTGTCTTCTGTGGCTTCTCTCATCACATGGGCTTAGTGGTCCTGTTTGTAAAGTTTAAGCGTGTGTGTGTGCATGTTTGAATGGCTGTGATGCATTCTTAAGCCTCTTACTTCAGTTTACTAAAGACTTTACAGCTGAGAGTAAATAATTGGTCAACAAAGAAACACAAATAACAATCTTCTGTAGACTGTGCTATACTGAAATCTAACATTTTGTTTAAGTAATTAGTAAAGCACGTCTACCATTACAGCAGAGTAACCCATAAAATTGGGGAAAAAGTCAACATGTCTGCACTGCTTGAGGAATGAGCAACTTCATCACTATACGATCCCCTCTGCCCTTAACTGCAACTCTTTTCTTTTTATTGGGAAAAAATGTTTTTTTGTCTTGCGGCACACAAAATCTCTGCTTTATCCCAGCATTGATTTTGCCCTAAAATGAAGACAGAAGATATTCATCTCAGATAAAAGAAGATTTTTCATTTCTCGCCATGTGAACCTGGAAGCCTGTGATTCACGTTACTATATAAGCACAAAATGGCTTGCCAACTGTGCGAGGAACAGAATCACTGAACATCAACCATAATAAAGCAACAGTAAACATCAAATAGGAGCAAAAGAAAAAGCCTAAAAGTAAAGACAGGCTATTTGTATTTTCTACCCAGCAAGTGGGAAAGGTCTTCTTTGAGGCATGCTGTGAAAGAAAAAGGAGTCGTTTTAAGAGTAGACTCTCCAGAGAGGGTGTTTGTGTGTGCCTGTCAGAAAAGGTTGTTCTTTTAAAGATATCTTCCTGATAAATAAGTACTTTTACTTCCTTTATCCTCCATGGCGGCCACATTTGAGCAAACAAAACAAAAGCCCAGGTGACACAGAAGAACTGTAGGGCTATATTATTTTTCACATTAGTCTTAAGAAACCTTGTTGTTTTAGTTCCTTTATCATTATTGGCCAATATGTCCATATATATATACAGTATATATGTCAATAGCAGCAA